GTCCAAATCCAACACAGTACGTGCCGCATCAGATTGGCTCTTTATTGTCACGGTGAAATTTTCCAGGTACATGTTCAGAGAAACAGCTCCAATCTTTAGTGATTTGGGAGATCGAGGGAATCTTTTTGAAGGATTGTGTGTGTGGGGGGGGAGGTTGGGGAGGTTATGCAACAGTATGCTTATATCACGTATTTTAAGTTGGTTGCATATATCAACAGTCAAAACATTCACACAATCAGCCCTGATTAAGGTGATGCGTTGGAATTTGAGCCTCAGATTTTGGAGTCAACATGTTTCTGCCACAGAAGCCCAATATACTCACCCCAAAGCTTTGCCACAGCCAATCTTGGTAGCTGTTTTGCAGCCTTCCCACCCCTCCCCCACAAGAGTACAGCTGTTGCCTGTGGCCATGCTGTGCTGGTGGGAGATGCTTGGCTGAGCCACTGGTGCTAATGAGCTCCCAGCCTCTTGCTGGGGCAGACATGAGTTCCAGACAGCGCCAAGGCACACCTTACATAATGCTGCTGTTGCCACCACCACCACCCCCTGGGCATCTGTCTGAGCCTAAAGACACACATACTCAGTCCTGTACACCTACAGGACACAGTGTTTCATAACCACGTCACTCACATACTAACAGCAGCCAGTTCCAGGAGAGGGAAGGAGCAGGACTAAGCCTGTGTGGAGCACGGAGGGGGTAAACACATTAATCCAGAGTGGCTGCCAAACATCAACATTTCCTAAGAAAGGTAGTAGGTATGCCCCTTGCCTAGAAGTTTAAAAAAAAAAAACAATAATTAAAACTTGCTTGTGCATATTATCCAGTGGTTGCATGATAAAAATAAATGCAATTACTGCAACTTATGAGTAACTGGATAAAAGCATTTGCCCTCAATTCCTTTGACTTTGCATTGAAAAAACTTTTAATTGAAGATTCATTTTCAGCCCTCCGTGATTTTTCCCCAACATGTCATTAAAATGTACATCCAAGTATTTGATTTTTTGAGTTTCAGACCTTGGTACATTATCTAGCAAATTTGTTATTTACAGTTAGAATAGGGAGAAGGCATTTTACTGGTCTGTTCCTGTCAACTTGGAGGATGTAAGGTATGATTTCCATATTCTTTGGAAACATGAAGTGGGGTTGGGAAGCTGTGTTTCTTACTTAAACTCCTCTGTTGCTGCCAGAAACCCAACTCCTTTTTCAGGGTCAGGACAAAACCTTCAGATCCTAGGCTTTGCCCTTTGGGGGACACTTTGTTTCTCAGAATGCCCCAGTCATTTTTTGGGGTCTCTCCACCAGAAGCAAAACTGTAGGACCAGAAGATAACGCATGGCAGCACCATGCAAATTAGCTCCATCCATAAACTTCCTACAGGGCAAAACAAGTCAGTGAGCCTATCCCACCAATGACCCACTGCCTGGCACTATATAAACCAGAACTTCCCCATTCCCATCCAAGATAAAACTTGAATCTATCCCAAAATCTCAGTGCAGCCATCCCCATCCTCACGCCCCCCGAATGATTTAGAACTACCAGGATCCTTGACCATCAGCCTTGCTAGCTAAGGCATTCCAAATCATCTGATCTTCCTTTACTACCTGTGCTAATAAGGGAGAGAGAGGAAAGGTGGAGTACTCAGTAGTGCAGAGAAGAAACAGGGCCTTTTACATTTGGGTTCTTCACTTAAATGCAAAGCGGGAAGAAGCCACCAAGATTTTATTTTTATATGGATCTCTCCTAGCCCTAGGAAGTTTCTCTAATGCTTTAATTACATTGTATTGACATTGGCTGCTATATTGCAATATGTGTTTACATAAACCACATAGAGGTCCTATGATATCAAGCAGTAGATGTCATTTCAATAAAATGAATAATCCAAATCACAAGGGCCAAAATACAACAGCCACATGGAGAAGGGGGAAGCTGAGGTGGAGCGGTGACACTTCAAGGTTCGACACCTCTACCCTAATGTGCTTTAGTTAGTGCAGCAGCAAGGTGGAAAGCATGATTACATTTTGGGGGATTCCCTTGGCATGGTCTATGCAGATCAGATATCCATTCTTTGCTTAATTCTGTGATGTCCAGGCCAAACTTTATCCCACTCTTGCCCAGCTCCATCTCTTGTCTTGAGATCCCATTGACAGGAGTAAAACCTGACTGTCCTTTTAAAATACATTGCTGATGTCCTTATTATAAATAATGGTTCAATTTCTGTCCATCTTTGCTGGCTAGAATGGGACATCTATATTTTTCTCATACTGAGAATGGTGAAAGGGAAGGGAAGGATGGTGAAAGGAAAGGAATTATACTAGCCCCATTAAAAGAATTAATTTTTCCCTCTTGCTTCTCCCATTCCTTCTAATGTCTCTTTAGATTGTAAGCTTGTGGGCACAGAACACCTTGTTGTTGAATGGCTTATTTGTAAGCTGTTCCTAGAACCCTTTTGGCTGAGGAGCAGCATAAAAAATAGTTTGCATCAATTAACCCCCCAGCTGCTATTTTAACATAAGTGAGTTGGGATTTAGTTGTGGCATGACGTAAAACAGATGTCAATTGAATTTCCTTCACATTCAGACCTTTTACATTGCTAAAAGTTTGAGGAAACCTTTTGCTCGGAACTGGCTTAAGCATCCAACCCCTACAGCGTGCTTTGTGTATCAGTATCATATCAAGCTCTTATTTCCTAGTTTTACCTCATTTAAAATACAAAGGACCCTTTACAAAGCCACTGGGTGCAGATGAGCTTTTCCAGCTACCAAGTTTGCCTTTAATTTGGGAAAACACAGTCCCAAGGTATGAAGTACAAACAGGATTACAAAAACAAACTCTTTACCCAAAGACCTGGCATGCTGTCTTTTAAGACCGGTAACAATAGGCCTCTTAGCTCACTTTAATTACTTACTAGTTTTAAGTGTGTAAAAATGTAGGACAATGGTGCCTAAGAGTCAACTTCTTTAGTTTCCTGAGCCCAGGATACTGTTCTAAGGAGGCACTACTTCACATGCTATTCTTTCCTACTCACAGTGTGATGTAGTAGTTAAGAGTGCATGAGTGAGACTCAAGAAACTTGGGTTCTAGTCCACACTCAGCCACAGAAGTTGCTGGGTGACTTCAGGTCAGTCACAGACCAACATACCTCACGGGGTTGTTGTTGTGAGGATAAGATTGAAAGGAGAATTAACAATAACAACAGCATACTAGACCTACCAATGCTGATAGTCAATAGACATTCATTCCAATACAAGTATATAAAAGTGGGGCAGGAAAGTCAGAATATTTGCCTATCAAGCCAAGCACTGACTGCTTAGACAAACAGGTGGTCTCCAGGCCCTTCGGCAATAGAATTTTCACATCACCATTGGCTTAATTTTTTAAACTAATGTCGAGGATGGAACTTGAGACCTTCCAAAAATCCCAGGTCTGCCAAGGAGCTATGGTCCATCCCTAAACTTAACCCTCTTTACAGATATTTTGTTCTGCTTTCTCCTATTATAATGGGTTACACACAAATATATTACATTTCATATGCTTCTAACATCTCCCTCCCAGCCACTGCCTTCCCCCATGAAGTACTAACTCCACAAGAAACAGGTGATGTAGACCTCAGGTACTATACAGAATTGCTGGCTAATTAGTATGTTTGTTGTTATAACAGGACTTTATGGAGGATTTCTTAGGAGGTTCTCCACAGTTAACAGTTGGGCCTGCATGTATCTACCTGCTGAGAAGCTATCTAGAGTGTTTGGGGATTAGTCACTATGTAACCTTAATTCTCCTTCTACAGCAATTGTTATTTTCATGTGCTAGTTATGCAGTGTGCATTTATGCCAATTATGAAGCTCAGAAATGTGGAAAGAAAGGCACCTCCATACTTGTCCCTGCCACTGGCAAAGAAAACAAGATGTTGGTCTTGTTCTGTGGGAAAACTGGGACTTGGGACACTCCCATCTCACTGTGACACAATTTGAATAAAAAGCAAGCCAGGAGAAGACTCCATTGCACCCTGCCTTGAGAATAAGAAACCTAGATCAATTAGACATTGTATTCTTAAATACCTGCAACAGGTTCCTAAACCTTTTGGTTTCAAAATCCTGTAGAATGCAGAGTCAGCACATCACAAGGGCATGCACACATCACTGTTCACAAAGGACTGAAAGTGTCAAAGACAGCCATCTGCCTTGCAGAACACTCTAGGTAGGGAATCTTTATGCTCCCAGATAGCTGAGAATTTGCAACGGCAAGTACTTCATTATCTGACAGTCAGCTTATGCTTAACTGAGGTGTTGGTTGTAGAGGGGGAACTACTAGGGTAGGATGAAAGCATGCCTCCTAGAGGACAAAGCAGTTATGGCAGAACATGAATTGTTACCCAGCACGACCAGACCACATCGTATCACTCATAAAATGCTCCACTGGATCTTTTCCTCACTGCACCTTCCAAGTAGTCCTAGCATGAAACCAGGTATTCAAGGTACTTTCCCCACCACTGATCCTGCACTGTGACACTGCATCCTGAGAAAGCACAGCTACAATTGAACAAACAGTCCCAGCTCTGTCCAACTGCTACATCCCAACTAAGCCCTAGTTCCTTCAGAGCCTCTTTCCTCTTGCTAACCTTAGAAATGTCTTTTGAGACCGCTCAGCATACAAGCACACACAGGCACACTGTAGACAATACATGCCAGGAAATTTTAATACCATAACATTTCCCTTATGCAGAGGGGACTAGTGTCTAGGGAAGGATCTGTAAACTGCAGAGTGCTTATAAGCGCCTGTCTTTTAAACTTGCACATCTGTATTCCAATTCCTATTTTACACATCCCTTTCCAGTTTGAGAAAGCTAGTTAGCAAGACTAGGTATTCTCATTAGTGTTGCCAACAAATCTTTCCAGATGACAAACTTTTCCAGAGGCTGCCCTGACAAAAGACACCCCCTGAAGAATGCTGATGGGCCTCCACACCAGAATTCCCGACATCAATGAAAATGGCACCTTGATTGATGAACAGCAACAAATTCATTTCCCTTACAGTTTATTTACATGTTTCCCCTTAGGGTGAACGGTTGCAAATGGACTGACAATCTCCGCATCATCACAACACCTGACTGGGACCTCAGACATAACTGTATCCAGCCCAGGAGATATGATCCAGAAGGAAGCCAGAGGGAGAAAAACAAAAACGGGGGCCAGAGTTGAAATTAGCTAGCCGATCAGTGAGGGGAATGAATTCAATGTTGTGGCTGGTTTTGGGTGTCCAATGGAAGTAAGTATCAGCAACAGGACAGAAAGAAGTGAAAATGTCAGATTCTGCATCTTTCCACCACAGCACGATCAGAGGCCACTGAAAGGGGAGTTCTGGTGGGCAAGGGGTGGGCAAGAGTAGGCTTGGGATGGTGGGTGGTAGGGGCAGGGGGAATAAGTGGAAGTCAGTTTGTAGTTCTTCATTTTGCACTGGGTGGCTTGTAGGGCTCCAGTAACAGACTTGAGAAGGTGTTGACTTTGTCAGCCCCTCGCACTTCATGGGGCAAGAGCGGCAGCTTGACAATGTGAAAATCTTCATAGAGGTCTTCCATCTGGAGGAAGGAAAGAACACACCAAGTGTCAAAGGAGCACCTAATAGTCACAAGTTTCTTGGTAGAAATCTTGATAGAATCACAAACGCATTTCTGGTCTAACTTTGCCCCATCGGTTATAAAGTGTATCATATTCATTCTCAGAAACTTTTTTGCATATACATCAGCTTTACAGCTTTAATTCAATAACAGATCTAAACTGTAATCATAACCCAGTGTCAAAGAGCTTCAGACAGAAACCTGGGAAGTGTTTTTGTGCTTAGCAGCTACAAGTTCACTGTTATGAAAATATTAGCTCTCTCATTGATGGAAATTTCTTAGCTTTCATTTACACAAGCTCAACTCTCCAGTGTTGACACAGCTAAAGTGGGTGCACTAAGAAAAGGAATCACTCAGTTGGAAGAGACTACAATTGCCAGGTCAAAGTATGAATAATTCTATACTTAGTGCAGAAGCAAAAGGGAGGTGTAAAAACAAAAACAATCAATCACGTGATTAGAAGACAGCTTGAAGGGATGCAGGACAGATCAGAACATATTGCTGAGAGAAATTTGTTCCTGCTGCGCTTCCCACCCTTAACCCTGGCTCAGAGTAACCATCTCATGCAGCAAACCTCTCTCTCTTTTTCTTTTTCAAAGGATAAAATGGAAGAGCTAGAAGTGGCAGCAGCATGAAGATAAAAGAAACCAGAACACTGGTGGGGAAAATAAAGGTTTGACTTGAAGAAGGATGTGTTTAAAAAAAACTAACCCCAGAAAAGCTGTAAAGAAATTAAGCAACGACGAAGTAGGGACAGGCAGGATGCCAAGAAGACCGTATGGGGGGAAAAAAGGATGCCAAAATTAGAAAAGAAAAACATGAGCAAAATGGGAAAGAAAGGAATGATGAACAAAATGTAAGAGAATGCAAAGGTACAGAACCTCTCTCAGTCCAAGGAATGAATTCCATTTTGGAGAAGCTTTTAGGGATTGATTTCTAATGTTGGGCAGTGCCAAAAGCAAAAGAAGTGGGGTTAAAATACCCGCATACTTTAGCATAAAGCATTTACTGTGAGCAGCTAAGCCTTGGACGAGGCATTTCAAGCTTTTAGAATGCAAGAAAAGCTGGAAAGCCACCCAACAATCAGTGAGGGAAAGGAGGTGGAGTCAGAGGAAGTGTGGCATTCTATAGATGCCTAGTCTGAACCTCCTGGAAGGTTGGATATGGCTCCTGGGCCTGAAGTACCACAACCCTAAGATAAAGGATAAAGAATGCTGAAACTTGTGGAGAACAGCTTGCTTATGCTGGATTTAGAGGCTTGCTAGAAAGAATATCTGGACAAAAGGACTATGCAAAACTGCTACTGAAACATCCATTGTTATTATCAGTGATGATGGGGTTAGACAAAACTCATCCAGGGCAACATGAGAAAGGGGTGAAATTCCAATATAGGAGGGGTGGCCAGACTGACGCAATGGAAGAGCCACAATTAAATGACAGATGGTTGAGAGGTGCAAGTGGGTGCCTGTGGGCAGCGGTGGGAGGGGCGAACGGCAAGCAGGTGCCTGCAGGTGCCACAGCAGTGAGCAGCAAGCTGCAAAATAAACGCAAAGAGCTGCACGTGGCTCTTGAGCCTCGGTTTGACCACCCCTGCATTATAGTATCACAGCAATGGGAAGAGCAGTAATGAGAAACCTGTTTCCTGCCCTCTCCAGAGATAATTATACTCTTGCTGAGAACCTGAACACAAGTCATAAAACAATTATTCAGAATACTGTGAGCCGGGCAGCCTCAGGCTGAAGACAAAATAATGTAGTAGAGAGAACAGTAAAAGTCCAGGCATTTAACGTTCATGGAATCTTTACTGTCCCAGAGGCTGGGACTCAAGAAGCTAGATACTGATTTGAATAGAGGGTGGCAGCCTTCTGCATGACTGCTCACAAGTGAGCAGGACAGAATCACCCAGCAGCACTGCTGAAGGGCATCCAAATATGAGTCTCTGCATGTCTGCTTGGAAGCAAGCACAAGCAGCAGGTCTATTCACAAGTAAGAAGGGCATGCCTCTGCAGGACAAAGGCTCAGGAGGAAGGAGGACTGAGTCACTCATCTGCTTTCTCTCCAGGGCCCAACCCCTTTTGCTGCTTGGAGAGAAGAATTTTTTCTGCTAGTAGAAGATCTGGAGCCCAGAAAGGAAGCTGGCAGGCCTGATGGAGAGCCCCCGGACTGCATCTGCCCTAAAGGTTCCTCAGTCTATCTTGATTTATAGAAGCTTCATATTTATGCCTTCCCAACACACATTCTTCAAGGGACACAAGAAAATTAGAAAGGTCTCTAACAATACCTGGTCAAGATATTTCGACTGGATTTTGTGCCGGGCCTCACACATCTTGCATGGCTTTTCTGGGTCAGGAAAGACCAACTGATTGACTATGATGTTGTGGGTGTCAATCTTGCACTTGGCTAGTTCCTGAATGAGTCGTTCTGTTTCATACAGGGACAGGAACTCAGCAATGCAGACACAGATAAATGTGGTTTGCTCCTGCAGAGTAGACAAGGTAGCATTAGCTTAGTGACAAAACAGCAGGGCATGGCTGTTTATTTCCTGCTTCCCACACAACTCCCTCTTCCACTCTAACTATCAGCATCTCCATTCCCAACCCTGCCAACAATCCTTCACAGGCATAGAGTCAGAAGGTAAAACTATGGAGAATGCAGCAAAAATTGCTCCCCTTTGTAAGCACTGCAGCCGCCACTGCTCCCAGGACAGCGGCCACCTAAGTAGCCTACCAGGTATTTTACTGCTATCAGCAGAAGGGGGAAAATGGCTGTGGAACAGATGAAAAGGCATTCAGACAGCCACTGCCCTCTCAGGGGGCACAGCAGCCTCATCTGACTCTCTCTGCACTGTCTGGCCGAGTTCATGTCTATCCTCTCTGCAGCTGTCCATTCATTTGCTTAACAGAAAGCCCAATGACCATACAGAAGGGCCCTTGGGCAGCTGCTTTGTGCACCTCCTGTGTTGCTACCAGAGACACAGAAAGGGAGAACAGCAGCTCTTCCTTGTTTTTCAGCTCCGAAACACAGAAAAGCACCCAGGTACTTCTAGCCCTGACATCCTCCCTCTCAGCTACTCTATAAGGAGAATGAAGAGGACAGAAAGGGTGAGCAGAAGTAGCATGCAAGGCCACTTGTTCTTTCCGGGACCCAAAACAATTTGTTTTAAGGCTGGAGTGAACTGCAAGGCATGCTGCCCAGAATGAAACGGGGGCCAGTACATCTGGGGCAGTTTATTCACCACAGGTGAGCAGACAAGTGGCAATTCCCAAGGTCAAGTTAATTGGCTCAGTCCAGTTCAGATTTAACATAGATTCTAACTACATTTGGACATAGTACTCTGTCCACAACACACACACACACACTTGCACAACAAACCCTGTAACAGAATGCAGGATTGTCAGCCCATACCTCCTCTATCATGCAAGATCTTATAGTATACTGCACTGCTATATATGAAGCTCCCCAAGGCCCTGGAATAGATATGACTTTATTAAATAGGTACATTCTTCCCAAGAGCATTTGATGCTGGATTTCTTTCCTCTGAAATATTCCCCCCCCCCATATTTTATTGATTGTGAACTGTCCCGAGATTCCATGCATATGGGACAACATATAAACGTTTTAAATAAATAAATAATTTTTACAAGAGAAAATGCCAAACAATTAATGGGATGGGCAGGAATCTTACAATGCAGGCTATAGCTGTGGTTGGCAATGTTTTTTCAAAAGGTTAGGAATGCTTCCCTAGTGAGAAATAGGCTAACAGTCATCTCTTGACCCACAATCAAAGATGAGCTCCAGTACAGCCTAACTACATTAGATAAACGCTTTTGTTGCAATACCTTGATTCACAATACTTTGTCTGTTCCATACTGCCAATGGGAAAGGTTTGCCAAGCCACTCAGACTTTTATAATTCAAAGACACACACTGCTATTCCCACAAAAGATAAATATTCACAGGGACTGTTCCAGAACAGATTACTCCAGAGTGGGGGTTGCAGCACTTTGCAAAGACAAAGGTTATGTACCTCCATGCCTTGGAGGTAGATTTAATTACACCCCTGCAACATTTGCCTGTAGTCCTCCAAGGAAGCCCAGGAGGCATGCAATCCCAGCATTCTTACTGCTTTGACAAACTAAAATCAGCTTTAATAGCAGTCTTAGAGCTCTTTGATCAGAAAAGAATGCACATGAAGGAGTGCAGTAAGGGTCTGTAACAGTTTACACTAGCTGAGATTCACAGGTTCTGCTGAGGAAAAGTTTACGCTTCCTTCTCTGCTAGGTGGCAGCTGCACCTTTAAACAGCAGCCCATACTCAGCAATCCAAAATCATCAGCTGAAAACAGAAAGCCAGAAAGGGATGTGGTTGATTAGAATGGATATGAGTGTAAGCTACTCTATAATTCAAACAACACATTAATCCTGCTGGAAATTTTAACCATGATACACAATCAGGCAAAGCAGGGATAGGATGGCCAGTGCAGCAAACTAAAATGCCCTCTGATCTGCAGCAAGCCATTTAGTGCTGGCCACAGTCTGACTTTCTAAAAAAGTGCCTGTATGTTCTCCACACTTGGGCAAGTGGAAACAGACCAGGGCTAGACAAAGAGTACATGCCAAACTATGACTTTAAAAGATAGTTAGCAGTGGGCTGTAAAGGTAGGATATGTAGAAAACACCCTTGCCAGCAGAATTCTTGGGGGAGGGAGTTGTGGGGGGAGGCCCTGGGCTGCCCTCATTTTCCCAAGTATGGATAACACAGATGCACAAGGACCTTCCTAAGATATCCCCCAGAAACTTGTAAAAAAGACTGGGGGATACTGACTCAGTTTCTTCCCTTCCAAGAAGAATTCCCAGGGTTTTTAGGGTGTTAGAAAGCCCCAGTTGCTCCCTCTGTTTTACAATCTACCCCAAGTGGATAGCACCTTGAGAAGCAGTGAAGCCTGAAAGAAAGCCTGAGGGGGGTACCCAAGGCTTTAAACAGACAAGCCTGCTTTGCCACAGGCTATTGATCCACATTTTGAATCTCCTTAACCACTGCTAGCAGGTAGAGAGGACAACTTTTGTAGCTGTCTCTGCCGCTTCAGCATTCTGGAGTACCTGGGAAAGGCAATTAGCTGCTGGCCCCTTGGCTAGACTGGCACTCCTTTCTGTCACTCTTGCCAATGGACTCTGTTTTTTGTTTTTGTTTTTAAACTTGACCCTAGCTTATTTTGTTGTCTGGGTATGGACAGCACAATAAGCCACAGTAGGTTTATTAAACCCTATTGCAACCGTACAATGTGGGCTTATTAAACCCTAGAAACGAGTGGGTCCTAGATCAAATCAAGCCAGAACTCCCCTGGAAGCAACACTGACAAAGCAGAGCCTGCCATACCTTGAGCACATCATGAGAAGGCAAGACACACTGGAAAAGATAATCATGCTCAGGACAATTGAAGGCAGAAGAAAAGGAAGGCCATACAAAAGATGTATTGACTCCATAAAAGAAACCACAGTCTTGAAGTTAGAACAGTTTAGCAGGGATGCCATGGATAGGACTTTTTCGAGGCTTTTCATTCACATGGTTGCCATGAGTTGGAGATAATTTGGCAGCATATAGCAACAAGTACAAGCCACAGCAACTTAGGCTTTTAAACCACCCTGAAGGAAAAGTGCTAAGTTTATGTAACACACTAAATCACCATGGCTCAAAAACTACCATGGCTCAGTGTGTGGTGCAAACCCAGACTATGAATAGCCAACAGTGGGTTGGTCATTTCCAGAACAACCCATGGTGCACTTGCCAGTTGTTCAGGTTTACCATAGGCTGACATCCCCTGAGTTTCCCCTCAGTTTCCAGCCAGTGTCCCAGAAAACTTCACTAAAGCTGAATTGTCTCCTCTTCCTGCTGTGATTGCTTTAGCTTTTTTCCTTTTCCCTACAGCCCTCCAAAACTTTTTGCTCCAATTCCTGAGTGTAAAGCAGGTAACAGCCCCTCTAAAGTGCCCAAGAAGCATGCTGGAAGTGTTGTCACTGGTTCATCACCCTCCACTTTTTTTTAGCATTAGAAGTCTGTGAACTTTTACATTTATTTTTTCAGCCAAATTTCCATGGATTTTATTTTTAAAGGGATTTTCACAAGAACATAAATATATGTATATGCATATAAATCTAACCCACCGCCCAAATAGTTCTGTCCAAAACTAGGTTTTAGGAGGAAGCCTGAGGTTTTGCACCTGTCAAAGCTCCATGCTCATGTAACAAGGGGTGGGTCACACTCTTCCACCTGAGCACCCAGTGCCTCAGGGAAGAGTGAAAAAGGTGCAGAATACTGAGAGGAGTCATATCATCTCAAAAATATATAGCAGGACCTATATATAACCTCCTTTTGTGAGCAATGATCACCTGTAGCTTTGCTTTTCCTCAATGAATGACCTTTTGACAGCAGTGAGGACAGTGGAAAGTAAAAAATAAAAAAAAAAAAAAACCTATTTGCAGCCTCTCTGTGTTAATGCCTTCTGCATGTTGACCACAGGCACCTCCCAGGACATCATGTACATGTGAATTCTGTTACAGATCCCAACAAACGTGCACATTTGAAATTACATAAATCAAAACAAAACGTTTTTAACCATTTAACAAAACCATTTCTGCACATTCCTTGTGCTTAAAAAATATATATAAGATGTTGAACAAGAGACAGGCCTTCCAATGTGCCACTTGGGCACTTTGGAGGGGCTGTCTATGGCTCTCAACTTGAAGATTGCCAATGCAACCTCCAAATAAACCAGTAATAAAGGGGGAAAACTGCAGTGAATGAAAAAAGGGCTCACTATCATGAGAGAGCCCTGACCTTGTAGCAGTTGCTCCACTGTGCTATTTAGGCATCTGTGGATCAGCTGTCACTGGTGGTGACCCAAGTGAGCTCAGCAAAAGGAGCAAAGGGGTTGCTGCCACTTCCTGAAACCCATGGAAGAGCAGTTAACAAGGTGTGGATGACCCAACAACCCATTATGGTTTCCAGAACCCCTGGAGCAAATTACGGACTGTCGGGGTGGGCTGCCTTATGGCACTCAAGCTGCCCAAGCAAAGTAGAACAGCTCACCCTGGCTTGCCACTCACAATGCACTATGGTCTTGTGCAAACCCAGCCATTGTTCGACTTCTAGAGCTTCACTAACATCAGTGAAGCAGATTAACTTCTGGCAGAAGCATTAACTAGGAAGCTGAAGACTGGAGCTGAACTTTAGCTTTACTACAAATTCCAAAAAGCATTTAGCCAGAACCTGTACTTCTCTTTCAGTATAAATATACATTAGAAAAGGAAGCTACTATGAATAAGAAAAGGCCTTTTAAATTTGTATGATATAAACTCTCATCAGTGTTCTGGAAGAGGGAGCACATCATAATTCTCTTGGAATTTCTTGGCACATCCCCTAAAGATCCAAAAGGCTCAATAATCTCTGTTCCAGAACTCATTCTTCCCTGCAGGTACCAGCTTTACCCTGATTGGAGAATTATCTGCTCAAACTGATTGCTGCTACAGTTACAGGTATGGTAAAAGCATGCAGGTATAAATCAGCGTTATTTATATGTACAACACAAGTAACTGCATTCCTTGCAGTCATCTACTGACTTCCCCATACTGTTGGAAGGAACTACTTTTACAAGAACCACCACTTTTATGTGGAACTCTGTAAATAACAAGCCCTTAAATGCCACATATTTGACAACGTGGAGGATCTACCCTCTATGAAGCAATTGCTATGTAGTAGGGATTCCAGGGGAAGCCTCGAGCTTCTGCTACATGCCTCAATACTAGGTGCGTCTTGCCCCAGTGAACACGGGATTTGCTCTTCACTCAGGATGAGATATGGCGCTAGGATCCTCTCAGGAACTACTTCTGCAAAAATCCCTCCTTCCCTGGCATACAAACATCACATAGAGAACATGGTGCATTGGAACCACCTCCTCCCTTCACCTTTGCAATATACTTGCCGGATCTTTGAACTGCTCGCTGACTGAACGGATAACAGGGAGGGTCTCCTCCAGCTTGGAGGCCAGTTGGTCAGCATTCATGTCTCCCAGGCCAAGCATGTTGCACATCTAGTAAAGAACAAATGGACAGGGAGCTGCAATGACAGGCCTCTATCAATAGTGGGCAAATCACCCTTATAAATGTCTTACACAGCATTGCAGGCAAAGTGTGTGCATGTGCAGGGAAGCAGGAAGCTAAACCTGCTGATCAGCTCAGCCTAGAATAACAAAGCCCTGAAAAGTATGGGCAATAACAGTGGTACTGTGCTACAACTCAACAAGATGGAAATAATCAACCAGTTTACATTTGTCCTTAGTGCTACAAGAATAGTCCATCTCCTTTCCCCTTTTACCTGTGATATGAAGGGACTGATCTGGTTCTTTATCTGCATCAGTCGACCTAGTCCCCGCTCCACAATAGTTGGGAAATTGAGCAGCCGTAGCGTGTGCCCTGTGGGTGCTGTGTCAAACACCACCACGGAGAAATTCATCCCTTTCACCAACCTGTGCGGGCCAGAGAAAGACCTATCAGCAGCTTCATCATCTTTTGGGAAGAGTGCACTAAAAAGTGCCTCCCCATAACTTTATTTCTAGTTGCTTAGCCATTGACTAAAATACCCGTGCAAGTCTCCTACTCACAGAACGTTATGTCCCCATATGTGAATGCCCATTATGGATGTTATTTCACTGCATAATCACAGTTTGACCTATCCATAGCTACAGTTGCCCTCAATCTAAGACATCTGGACTCTTTTATGAGCTCTGGAAAGTCCAGTATTGCCCTGAGAATCCAAGTTTTCATAATTAGTGCTACATGAAGGGCATACAGGATGTGGTATCACACTTAGCAACATTCTTAATTCCTTGGCTATCCACAAGACCTGTTGTGGCTGTTTTCCCCCCAGCATAATTATAGCATTCAAAGAGTGTCAGTGTTTTCTTTGTTTGAGGGCAACTGTGTTTTTGGGCTTGTGCTCAATGGTAGTGTGGCTTAAAGCCCATTCATTTCAATGAGCTGACTCTAAGTAGGATTAATATTGGATGTAACCAAGGGAATCCATGTTATACACAACAGAATAAAGCATATTGTTAAACTATAGCTAAGCAGTTGGAAGTTAATATAACGCAATAAAAGATGCAAAGGTCACACAAACATGAGAATTCTGGACATACATAAAACATATTATAGTGGCTATCCCCACTTCTCTACCTTCTGCTAACCTCAACTTCAGAACAGTGAGCACAATAAAAGGCATTTCAAGTTTGGCTTTTGATTTCCCAATCTAAGGCTCAAACAAGCAGCAGGGGATATCATACCTGATGCCCCAGATGACAATTCTCACCTCATCACTTCAGCATAGCTCATGGCCTCATCAATACCAGGAAAGGCACTCATTGCCTCCTGCATCATCTTCTTGCCCATACTCAGCATGTTATCCTCTTCAAAGAATTCATCTGGAAGTTCAGCCACACCCAGGCTGGGGTCAATCTCCTAGGGAATCAAATATGGTCAGAACGTTACAGTATTGGCTTTACAAAGCAAGAGTAATATTATTGTTTAGACACTGAAGAACAATTAGAATGAAGAACTACAATTCCTGATCTGTAGAACAAGATGCACAGGCACTGAAGCTGGACTCAAAATTGCCACACGCTATTGATTTCTTTTTATAATCGAGGTGTTGAAATATACATAAGCTAGATTCAAACAAAGCCACACACTGAAGTCCTATTAGTTTCAACACAAAAGCATTAAGCACATGCCTAGCTCTTCCTTTAACATCATTGCTGAATCTGGTCCTATTTAATCACTTCATATGTATCTTCCAAAGGCAAAGACTACCACCACTAAACAAATGGAAGGTGATCACTCAGCCCACAGGCCAACTAGTCTAGCATTCTGTTCCTGCAGTGGTCTATTGGATGACTGTGGGATGTCTACAAGCAGGATATGAGCTTAATCACACCCTTTCGGTTGCATTCCTCAGCAGCTGGCATACAAGGGCATACTGCCTCCAAGATGGGAGGAAAGAAAATAGCATCATGACAACTGTTGATAGCCTCATCCTCTGTGATTTTATCTAGTTGCTTTAAAGCCATCCACACTGGTGATCATCCAATCCTTTGGTAGTAAACACCAAGTTGCCTGTGTGCAGAAGTCTGTCCTTTTATCTGTCCTGAATCCCTACCCATTTCTCTATATTGTATGTTCATTCTCAGATTGTGACAAGAAAAACCCTTCTCCCTATCCATTTCACAATGGCATGAATAATTTTATACACCTTTTATACATGTGCCCCACTTATTCACTTTTTTCTAAGCTAAAAAGCTCCAAACTTTGTAACTTTTTCTCATACATGAATTGCTTCAGTCCTGGAATAATTTTAGTTGCCTATTTATTTTTTTCCTGCTCTTTCTCATTGTTCTCACCTTTAGGTATCAGGCAGATGAATGGAAACTTCCACAGCTCTGTCTCAAGCCAAGTTTCATGTCCCAACTTTTGATGAGAAATTTAGATTTCCCCTTTTTAGACTTTATTAGTAAACTATGTGTGTATGAAATATTCCGTTTCTACTCGGAAATACTGGGAAAGAATTTATAACACACAAAGCCTCCCTAGATCTATTTGAATTAAGGGGAACAACTGTTATTCTGACAGTCCAGAATATCTGAGTTGAGAGTTTCAGAATAGTGTTACTATCATTACACTTGTACTGTTTCTCTGCCCTGAACGTTGATCCATCACTTACACCAAGCCTAAAGACTCATTTGTTAAATTTTCCATATCGAATTTTTATCATTTCTTTTTCTCACTTTCTTCTGGTCTCATTAGACTGGAAGGCTGCAGCTATGTCTTTTTTGTATAACTGTCCAGACTCCAGAGTCTACGGGAATGGGGCACTATATAAATATTAGTATAGATAAAAAATAAAAGTTAAATATATAATGCCTAGATATGAGATAGACCATCAAATATTCCTCAGCATCCAAAGTACAAAATAGAAAAAAATGGTTTTGGAAGGATATGAAGTGGCTAGAAATGTTTTACTATTCCTGCATATCATTCTGCTATTAAAGTTATCACCCAACGTCAGCCCCTTCTCAATACACAAGAACAGATTTTTACATAACAAGCATTTTGACTGATCAAACTACAGAAAGGTACACTCACCATGGCAAAAAGGTTATCGTAGCCCTTTACTTTGGTGGGAACTTTGGAAAATTTCTGGTCAAAGGCATCTGAGATATTATGAGCAGGATCTGTTGAGATTATGAGGACGCTCTCCCGCACTTTGGAGAGCTGCACAGCTAAGCTGCAGCTGGGTCCAGAAAGTAAAATAATGTGCAGTTAACACAGGAACAAAAACAAACAGCAGGTTTGAAACTAAAGGTGAAACTTACATATACACTACAAGTCGAGATATTTAAGAACATAATTTTATTTCATTAAATCCAAGTTGGAGATATCTCATAGTGACAAGGCTTCTAGCAAGAATTACTCTTAGAAACATAGAAACAGAGTCAGAAGGGGTCTTCAGGGCCATTTAGTCTGACCCCTGGCTCCAGCAAGATTACATTGCTGGCAGGACTGTAAGAGTGTAATGAAGTGTAGGAGAGAAAGCTGGTTCTGACCTTTGTTAAGCCAATTATTTTTGTTCTTTACACAACAAATTGACGGTTGATATACAGAATGTGGGTAACTACACTGCAATTGACCTCAAAGTTCTATAGATTAAACATACTATTATACTTAGCCTAGGGGTTACAAAGACGTGAATTAGAAAAAGAAGCAACCTTTTGCCCTGTTCACACAAATCTTCTAACACCCACAGAAAATGGAAGAAAAGTGTGTATGTTTACTTGCTCGATGGGCTATTTTCCAGGCTCCCATTATAAAGAGAATTCTATTTTTCATTCTTAAGTTGTCAGCTCCTCCCATCCAGGTTCCTCTGCCTCGAACATTTCAATGAGAGATAGAAATACAATCGGTAGAAACTTGGCCTAGCATATAAGCCCAGCGCTAGGGCTGCTGCGCTTTTTATCCGCTCACGCAACTCTTAAAGGGACAGGCGCCCTGCCAAGAAGAAAAAGGTGAAGGCAGCCATCCTCCCACGACAGCGTTATTCCTCATTTCGGCTAATTCACCTGCAGGTGGTCTTGCCGACACCGCCCTTCCCTCCGACGAAGATCCATTTCAGACTCCGCTGTTCGATAATGTTGCTTAGTGTCGGCTCCAGAGGCTCCACGTCAGGCGCGTCCTCAAATTCGTCCACTTCAGCAGCTAATCCGGACGCAGCCACCACTGCTGCTGCCATCTTAGACCAAAGTCACGTGACAACACCTGGGCTACTCCATTTTACAAGGAGGTTTCTGATTTTTCACTCGGTGTCTGCAATCCTTCTCAGGGAGAAATAGCGCAGCCGCACGTACTTCGCCTTACTTTTCTGTTACTCATGCGATGCGTTGATGTTAATGGGCCATAGAAAGGCTCAACCGCAGGAAAAAACCCACCCCTCCCTAGCTGGCTACTATAGTTCTGCCCAAACTCGCCTTGTTTCAGCGGATTGGTCTCGGGGCTGTAGGAGGAGCATTAAGCGCCCACCCCTTTCTACCTCTCATTGGTGGAACACGTCACACTTTAATTGTTCATATTTCTGCCGCTTTGTTTTGTGATTGGTTCGGAAGGACTGTCACGCCTCTACGGCTCAAGCTCAGCGCGCCTAATATAACCATACGTTTAGCTTTGACGTATGTAGGCTAACAGTATTGATTTTTTCAACGCATGCTCTTTGACTTTCCCATCGCGCTCTGCGGCAGGAGGTATTATCCTCTATTCCCGTCGTGCTCTGCGGCTTGTATACTCAAGCAAGGAGGGCGGTGCAAGATGGCGGCGGCGCAAGGCGGCGGAGGAGGAAGAAGAGGTTCAGGTTCCGAGGCGGCCGAACCGGGCGGAGTGAACGTGTTCGCCAACGATGGATCTTTCTTGGAGCTCTTCAAGCGGCGGATGGAAGAGGCTGCTGCAGCGGGAGGGAAGAGCGGACCGGGAACGGGGGGAGCTGGGGCCGAGAAGCAGAAAGAGACCGAACCGCGGCCGGAGCCGCCCGGGGAACACGAACCGCCGGGAAAGAAGCGGAGCGGGAGCGCCCTCAGCTTCGTAAGGGATCCGGACACTGACCTTCCCTCTCCTTCCCTTCGTCTCCTTTCCTCCTCTTCTCTTCGCGTCTCTTCCCCTCCCCCACTGCCTGTAAAGGACTGAGGCTCTCGTGCCTTCTGTCCGTTTCTTTCCTCTCAACGGTAGTCCAGTTCTCTCCTTTGATGACAGCCCTTGATAGGTGTGGGATAGGCAGACATTCGGCAGGTGAAGCACTTTCCCCACCTGTGTAAAATGCTTATTTTTCCGCCCGTATGCGCTGGTATGAGAATATCGTTACTAGAAACCCTGTTTGAACGCACTTCCTTTCCCTGGCGTTGCACTGTAGCTTGTCTTCTCCCCCAGGGAAGTAACGTGGCTGTTTGTTCTGAAAGTTCTTATTATGCGAGGCATAATTATAAGCCTAACTGGTGTGAGTGCTGTACTTTAATTCGGATTTCTATTTTGTCCCCCTTTAAACTTTAGATAAAGTATAGATGTGTGCAGGAAGTGAAGTATTATTGCTATTCATTTCATTGCTATGCTGCCCAATAGCAGAAGCTGTATGGCAGTTTTAAATTTAAAGTTACCATTTTTGTCAAAAGAAACTAGTGGAATCCTGTGGTGCTTTGCTCAATGCCAGTTATTGCTGTGCAAGTTCATGTTTTACTCCTTCTGTGGAATGGACCTGGAAGCAGGCACCTGTAGGATGCTCCTGTAAGCATAATTTCTGATAAGGAACAAGGAGACTGTTACTTGTGAGGAGAAAATATATATACTTGAACATAGATTTGGTTGAATCAGGCCTGGTTTCAAATTAAAGAACAAGCCTCAAAATCCTTTTTACTTTCAGATCTTAATAGCATTTGCTTAGTAGTAACATTAAATCCAGTGTGTCTAATTTCTGAGTGGCTGTGTTCCTACATCACAACTGAACTACCTACTGCTTTTTGTTTCAAGAAGTCAAGCTCTTGGGTAGCCTGAACTGAGACATCCCAACAAAATTACAATTCTATTTTTCAATCCAGAGTCTTAATTTGAGTCAGGTAGTTGTAAGAGTTCATAGTTCAAAGAAAAGGAAACATGCAAGGTGCAAAGTTCTTAGTGATCACAAGTGTCCCACATGGGACTTCCATGATCCAAAAACTGTCAGTCATGACATGAAGCATAACACACAGGGTTTATTCAGGCAAGAAGCAACGCATGTATGGAATGAGTCCTCATGATCTGCAAGTAGATACGACAACATGTTTTATATTACAATAGGCAAAGGATTAAGATAAAGTAGGTCTAGGGAGCAGCTGCTAGTGATTAGGTATATGAAAATGGGTATTTTCTGAAAATGAGCCAGGATATATTTTTCTTCCTTTTAAACACTTGTGCAAGTGTGTAGCTGGAATCGATTTTTTACCTAGCACACAGGAGTTTTCCTGTATGGATAGTTAGTTTTCTCTTGTGTAGCTTTCTGGAACAGAAACGAACTCTTCTTATCATTGTTACTGATGTGGTAATTCTGAAATGATCTGCTACCATTTTGCTCACAATAAGCAGGAAAAGGTGCAAATGTGATTGCATCCTCATCTGGTAAAGCTTTATTAATATACACAGCATTCTAGTAACAGGGTAGTTGGAGCCTGTATTTATCTGCTCAGAAGTCTTATTGAGGTCAGTGGGACTTTCTCCCAGATAGGCATGCTTAGCAAAGCAATCACAGAACAAGTTTTGTTTCCTGTCTTAGGAATGTGGGTTTTCCTAAAGAGAGTTTTAATTAAAATATAGAAGTGGGGAAAGTATTTGCATATGTATTGTGCATAACTGTTGGGGAAATGGGTAGGCAGAGCTTATGGGTACATGCTTGTTCGTATTTCATGGGACTATAAAGCAAGCGAGGAGCTGTTGCATCTGTTAGTGGCCATAGGAATCCCACTGGTGTTTTTTAATCTCTGATCCATCTATTTTCAAGCTGCTTTCTTCAACTAAGCAGAACATTGATTTTTCAAAATGAAAGCTTGATACTTAGAGTTCTGAGCCTGCCAGTGCTGTTAGAAATACAGGTTTCTTGCTTTATGAAACGATATCTCGTGGTTTGTTAAGATGTATATAGCACTTCTCCAAACACATAAAATATAGAAACAGAGCGAGTCAGAAGGGGTCTCTCGGGCCATCTAGTCTGACCCCCACCTCTAACCGGCTCAGCTCACGACATGCCCACCATGTGCATGTCTAGCCTATCTTTGAACACCCTCACCGATGAGGCCTGAACCACCTCCCGTGGAAGCCCATTCCATATTCTTGGAGTCCTAACTGTCAGGAAGTACTTCCTGGCATCTAAATTGAAACTGGGTTTTTTTTTTTTTGTTTATTTTATTTTTTGATTTATATCCTGCTTTTTTCCTACAAAGGGCTCAAGGCAGCTTGCATCATTCTCCTCCTCCATCTTACCCCACAGCAACAACTCTGTGAGGTAGGTTGGGCTGAGAGTCCTGTGACTGGCCCAAAGTCACCCAGTTGGTTCCATGACTGAGTGGGGACTAGAACCCAGATCGTCTGAGTCCCAGTCCCATGCTCTTAACCACTATAGCACACTGGTTCCCTGAGCTTCACTCCGTTGCAGTGTGTCCTGCCCTCCTCTGCAGGGGAGAACAGGTCTCTACCCACCTTCATGTGACACCCCCTCATATACTTGTATGTCACCAACAGATCCCCTTGGAGTCTCCTTAGAGGGGATCTGTTGGCAGCATGCAGGTATGTCATCTCCTGATGATAAAAAGACATCATTCTATTAGAAAACGTATACCTGGTTCTCCTTATTTGACTGCTGACATGATTAACAGAAAGTACTGCTCCTTCATCCCAATGAGGATTTCAGGGTGATGTAAACAAAAACAAACATTCAAAACAATCAAATGATAAAACCAAAACCTAACAAATAAGATGGAGAATGACAAAACTAGTTCAATCAGCTTTAAACACACAAATATAAATTATAAAATATAACATCTTTGATTTTAAAAAGCCTGTGCAAAAAATATTTTAACTTATTGCACCCCTTGTGGGAGGGTATTCCAGAACTGGGGCACCTTTGCAGAGAAGGGCCTTTTGTATATCAGAAGAGGGCTTCTCCATATTTCTTCTACAGGCAAGTACATCAAGAATGGCCTTCTCCAACAATCTAAATGTGCAGGCAGGTTGATATGGAAGGAAAGTCCTTCTGGTATTTGGCTTCTAAGCCATTTAAGACTTTACAGGTAAGCACCAGCACTTTGGGCTCAGAAGTGGATAGGCAGTCAAATTAGCTCCTTCAGAAGTGAAGTGATATGGCTCCATCGAGGCAAACTAGCCAGAATTCTGGCATCTGAGGTATATACTAGGTAGCATGTGAGTGAGATTTTAATTATAGGAGAGTGCAAGAGAAAGTATAATAATGGTTAACAGACAGCAAGCATGGAAAGAATTCAGAATACATCCATTTCTTGTTATGTTTTTTAAAAATGTGTGGGCTTGACTGTACAGATGTATTGGTGAACACTGCTAAGGTGCCCTTTTACCCTCCTAGCACAACGGTGTAGGTAACGCTCGGCAGCTCTGTACTGACTGACAGGTGTGATGGCAAGCTAAGATGATCTAATTGAAGGACTCCCTATACCGTTATATAGTGGGCAACATTCCCCTTGCAGCTCCCAGGCTCGTATAACGGTTGCAGTCTTCTATCCCTTCACCCAGGTGGGCAAGCGGAGAGGGGGCAGCAAGCTAGCCCTGAAGACAGGAGTGGTAGCCAAGAAACAAAAGACAGAGGATGAGGTAAGTTGGCATATGTCAGTTATGTTAACCAGTGGTAATGTTTTGTGGTATTCAAGAATTTTAATTTGACAGCCCATTATGAGGCTTATGGCAAACTTCATTTCAGCAAATATGAAAGGTAAAGCAAAGGCATTTCTGCAATTCATACCATTTCCATTTATGTTTGGTTTCTCACAGGGCTGGCTTTGGCCTCTCAGACATAAGAAAGTGCCTTATTTTGTGTGTGAAAAGTTGTTAGGGAAGAACTCTTCAGCTGTGGTAAAAGCTCAGGAGAGGCTGCTTAGATTGATGTGTGTGAGTGGAAAGAGTGAGTGAAAATGATTGAGGAGATGCAAGGGGAAATATGCTGGCTGGGGATGCTGGCAGTTATAGTCCACAAAGGGAGGGTATTGGACTGTGGAAGAATGGGTTAGGTTACAAGATGGTCAGTAGTCCAAGCATTTAAATATGGCTTTCCCCAGTTCACGTACAACAACCTGTGTTCCCTAATTCATTGCCTCTCCTAGGCAATGTGTAGACCTGTTCTTTAGAGTTGTTGTTCTTAATATGGTATGTTTTAAAGTGCAAGAATTATTAGCATGTAAACTTTAATATTTGCCTCCCCTTCTTTCTTTTGTAGGTTTTGACAAGTAAAGGAGATGCATGGGCCAAATATATGGCTGAAGTGAAAAAGTACAAAGCCCACCAGTGCAGTGATGATGATAAAACCCGCCCTTTGGTGAAATAGCTTTCATCTCCAGCCAGGACTGACTTTGATGTACATAATTATTTAAAGCGTCAAAGGAGAGTAGCTCTGCCCCACAGACTGAATGCTGCCATGGCAGTAAATGACTTGCCATACTTTTGTATCTGGGAATTTAGAGCCTCCTTCACTGTTTCATTTATTGTTTTCCTCTTCTGAAAACTAAGAATTTTGACTTAGTTGCAGGATTTTTTTTTAAATTTGTAATCCCCCAAATAGTGGAATTGGTCTGACATGTCTTTTCCCTGAATCACCAGGCAACATGCTTTGCTGGCAAAATCTTTGGCACTGAGCCTTTGCTTAACACTTCCAACACACCTGAAGTTTCTACCATGAGAATGAGGCTCCATCTTTGCCAAATTCATTATCTCTGACTGTTGAAGGTAAACTTAAATGTGGTTGCAGGTAGTCAATATGCACTGCAGGCATAGTAGTCCCAGAGCACTTTGTTATCCTTATCTGTCCATGGTGAAAGATGAGTGGTGCTGGATTTCTTGGTATGCTTACAATCTTCTGATTTTTCCTCCCCGTGTTTCACTGTACGTTACAGTGAGTTAATGTGGTTTTATTCTGAATTCCAGTTGCTGCTGCTTAAGCCTGTTCCTAGCCTTCTGGTATGCATGCTGCAATCTAGCACTGATGATTAATCTGTGCCTACCTGCTATCTAAGAAGGTAGAAACTTGGTCTGCAATTATGCCAGGTATTATGTATTGGAGAAAACTTGCCTAAATTAGTATAAACCTATCCTGAAACAAATGGAACTCTGAATACCATGATTCTAGCCTTTCATTAGCCTCAGTCTTGGGCTTTGTGATCAGAGTTCTTGGGCTGTAAGAAAGATCTAGAATGGAGGCTTATGGCTATTGGTTTGTCAGCTGTTTGCTGTATACATTGGATCTATTTACTTATTTTCAAGTATCTCCAGTTTGTTTCTTTACACTTTCCACAAGATAGCATGTTAGAGCTATAATGTAAACCCTTATTGCAGATAATGTGATTTGTCACTGAGAGTGACTAAACATGACAACTTCCTGGAAATGCTTCTAGTATGCCTAGAAGGTACAGTTTTAAAAAGACAACTTTTTGTAGTCTGGTATCTAGGACCCAGTTTTTGTCCTAGCATGTGCATGGGGTTCACTCCTGAATCTTACCCTATTTGTTCATCTCCTTTTAATGGAATGGGCTGTTTGTGTAAGAGAAGAGTTAAAACATGACTTCTGAACCATGCTAAACTTGCATTATTCACAAAGAAGGATTGTAAATGCAGAAGGAAAACTAGCTGATGGTTTTTATTGCCATCTGAGGTTAAATGGGAGTTCATGAAACAGCCCGTGGGTCATATTGGTATATAAGTATCTTCCCTCCTGAAACCGTCACTGCTTGCTATCAATCAAAAGAGCTTTGGTATGTGTAGGACTCTTAAAGACCTTTGAGACAGAAAATAATGCTCTTTAATGCTAAGTACTCTTGCTGGAATTTCACTCAAACTGAGCCTTCTTCAGACCTTTCCTCCTAACATGTGGGAAGGGGTATGTTGTGCTCAGTAACACATCTTCAGCAGAAAGGGTTCCTGCATGTGTACATCTTGAATGCATGTGGGCTTTTCAACATGATTGGGAGCACTGATCATATGGCAGTCTTTCACACACGCAATTGTGGACATGTAGAAGCCTGTGTCAGACCTCCTGAATGGGTTGGGGGCAGGACTAAAAGACATCTTCCTGTCTCTGCCCCTCCAATGCATTCAGCCTGATGTCATGTCTGAAAGGGGCTCATGGCTGTCATCTGAGAAACTATTTGCCTATTGAAAGCTTGAAGCAACTTTGGAGGATTAAATATGTCACTGGTATCCGGTTTCCTGCCTGCTATAAAGGGGTTGCAGTTTGCTTTCTTAAACACTTGATCAGACTCCCTCCCTTATTGCTTTTGAACACCATAGCCCAGCTTAGAGCACTGATAATCATTCTAATATTAGCTTTTAAAAATAAAATTCTGTTGTGGATATTGATTTGTTAGCCATCTTTTGCTTTCTGTGGATGCATATTTTTCAGATGCTGCTACTAATACCTATAAACCGAAGAACTTGAAAGATGAATGAAATAGGATTCTGTTCCAACTCTTATCATAAAAGTTGTTAATGTTCTGTTTGCTTAATATAGGATAAACACTTCCCTTGATTGTACACTTAAGATCATTACTTCAAAATGTGCATTGAAGGGGAAAGGAAGAGATCATTTTCCTTAATTACTTAATTGTGTGACTTAGATCTTGAATACACAGGCAGAGTTCCATTACCTCGGCACTAAGCTCTCTGCACTGTATACTTCAAGCAGAGAAATGCAGTCTCTGCAGGCAAGCAGTCTGTGCCCATGGGGCCAGGGGGACTAACTTTTGTACACTTAATGTGGTTTCATCTCAATGAGCTGACTACAGCTACATCAGACCTTTGAGGATCCAGTTTGCCTTCCAGATACTCCCTATTATTTGCCCAAAGTGACTATGTCAGTTGGAAGAAACAAATGGTTATTGGATATAAAGATACCAGGTCTAGCTGCACTGAGCGATCCTAGTAATGGAATACTACTTTGTAAAAGCAATTTGGTCTCATTTCCTCTATTGCAGGGATACAGAATTTCAGGCCCAATTTGGCCCTTCAGGATACTTGGGATGGCCATGCCACCTCCTGGCCCCACACTTCCCTGATCACTGATGGTTTGGTGGGGTAGTTTTTCACTCCATAAGGTTGAAATGCCCCTCTGAAGGCTTGCTTACTGGTGTAAGAATATGTCCCCCAAGAGCTCTGAAATGGAAGCTGGCCCTCATTCAATATTCCTGCTCTACAGAGTGCTTGGGCACACAGAAAAAAACTGATTAAAATTGTAGCCTTTTGTATTTTAGTGGCCTGAAACAGGTAGTTCTAATTGCACAAGATGGTCACATCTTTCTCATGTGCACTGCTCTTCACAGCACAGCTTCTCTATGTGGCTGCTTACACCGTCTCATGGAGGAGGAAAGTAGTTTTCTCTGGAATCTAAACTAAGCTTCTATGCTCTGCTTTTGTCTATGAAAGACTGAAGATTGAAGGCAGCATATTTTCCAAAATGTACACTTGCACAGAAGTACATCTATACAGAAGCTGCTTAAACTGACCATTTACCATGTTTCTGGAAAAGGGAGTCAAACGAATGGGCAAACGGGTATGAAAGCAGATCTCCACTTTCCCTGACATAAACTATTGTTTTGCAAGTTGTTTATCTTTATTTCCTAAATGTTGCTGGTCTTACTGTACCCATTGTGCTGTGAAATATTTTTGTAAATATTTCCTAAATGATTTATACTCCTAGGACTACCAGTGATAGGTGGGAAATTCCACTGCTGCATATCTCTCTCAGTGGTTTGCATTCCTTAATTTGATATGGTTAGTTTAATAAGCATTAAACAGAAAAATGGAGTTCTAGATGTTGCTGCTCTCTACTAAATGAGCTTCTTCATTATATATGAAGTTACCTGAAATGGAGTCTGACCACTGGCTCTAGGAACTCCAGCAGAACTCATGGTATCTGCTACCTTTGAGCAATGTTGTCTAGGATTGGATTGGTTATCTTTAAACTAGGTTTTTACCACTGAACTATGACCTATACTATAAAGGTCCCCCTGCACATATGTGCTAGTCATGTCTGACTCTGGAGCCAGTGCTCATCTCCGTTTGTAAGCTGAAGAGCCAGTGTTTTCTAAAGATGCTTCCATGGTCATGTGGCTGACATGACTAAACATTGAGGCTGACAGAACGCCGTTATCTTTCCCAATGAAGTGGTACCTATTTATCTACTTGCATTTGCATGCTTTCAAATTGCTAGGTAGGCAAGAGTTGGGACAAAGCAGCATGCGCTCACCCCATTATATAACTATAGAAATAACTGGATTTGTTCTTCCAGTTGTTCTTACATTCTCCTGTTTCTTACTGTCCCATTTCAGTAGCAGAAGTACCAGAAATGTCCTTGTGCTTGGTACTACTGGAGATATGTCATTGTGCCTTGAAGGCCTTTGGCACATAAAATGGGTGATCATTGCCAGTGGAAGACTGGAACACTATGGAAGTCTGCATAGCACACTACGGACATTGAATTATCTCCCTGCTGTACTCAATATGTCACATAATCCTGAATTGAAGGGAGCAATCCTTTCCATGCAGCCTCCTATCTCCTGTACTTTCCAGTGGCATAGTTGAACTGCAACAAGGCGATAGAGACTGGCTGGAGGTAAGTGAGGTGGAACAGACGGCACTGGCAAGAGCAGCATTAGGCAGCTGTGCGCTCTCAGATGTTTTGGACCACAACTTGTATAAGCACTAAACAATGGATGTCCTGTAGCCTTTTCCATTGCCAGTATATTATCCCCAGCTGAGCTCTCCCATAGAAGTTCAGCTCTTAAAGGAAAACAGCTTCTACAATGCCTATTAGTTTTTCCTTCTGCATTCTCAAGGCAATGAAACACTGTTCAAAGGAATGGGGTACAGCCACCTTTCCCCTTGCCAGTGTTGGAGTTACACTAGCAAAAGGAGTCTTGCAGTATGGTTTGCAAAACAACTCTACCTTCCCTGAAACAGTAAGAGGACGGACCCAAACCTTAACATGGGATTCTGTTACTTTACGGTTGATTCTAATAGTTATGACTGGCCATTGTAGCAAAAGAGAAAATCTAGAGCAGAGCAGAATTGTTGCTGCTTGACCACTAGAATAATTCTCTTTGGCTCGGTCTGCTCACATTCACTTTAGCTGAAAAAGTTATGGAAAGTATCTGAGTTACTTATCCAATACTTAAAGTGAATGTTCACATTCACATTAGTTACTTATCCAATATATATTTACATGTACAAGGAATTATAGGCAATCTGTTTTATTTCCATTTCAATGCAATGTACATCAGTTTCACTTTCAAGTGCTAGATCCTTGTTAAGGACAATACATAATCAGAAAAGCACTTTCACACTTCTCCACTTGCAAGGCAATAAACAGCAATGACTAAGGGAAACCTTGCCAAATAGTGTGCCTGCTGCATGGCACTAACTAATAGACTGCGGTAGCAGTTTCCTATGGGACAAGAGTCTTCACTTGATTTTGTGTAAGGCAAACTGAGTAAACACTGAGCAACAAACAAGCAGAATTCCTTCACCTCTTATAATAGTGCACTTGAATGCCTTAACTGACAGTCTCTTGAAGGGCTTTTACCATATTGAGTCAACAACTTTCTATAAAAAATGTTATTTACAAACATTTGTCTCATTCTATAATCATGCTAACAAATTGTCTAAAAAGTGTCAATACTGTTTTCATTACAGTGTTGTGGAAAGGCAGGAACTTTGAATTGTGAGAGAAACATCTGCATTTCCTGTCCAGTTAACTGCACCCAAATCAATATGGTGTGAGTGAAACATTTGTTTGCTCTTTGAATGCATTTCATCTACATGCCAAGATAAAGTCCCTCTCTCCTATCTCTGAATTTGTATAAACATGAACATCTACCTGCCCCACAAAAGCTTCAGAAGTACCATGCTGTACCTCTTCAGAACAGCTATAAAACTTCCCTCTTGATAGAGGGAGAAAATCTTGAAAAGCACAAAAGAACAAGGAAATACTATCCTTCATTCTTCTTAGCTTGAAACACCAACCTTTAAATAGAAGCAGGCTGCCTCTAACAGCTACAGAATCAAGCTCTGTTTTTCTTCCCAGTAATATCACAGTTCCAAACTGCCCCAGAAAGGTAGAAGACCATTAGGCTTCTTTCTGCACTGCAGCTTAGGAAATTGGATGAATTTTCAATAGTGCACAAGATCGGAACACACCTGCTTCTGCCCGCTGGTTTAAATGAAGCACTCTTCAGCTTTGCAGGAGAAAGGGAAATCCTAAAGAAAAGCCACTTTAACAAAACTCTAATTCTGCCACACACTGACCAGAGCTGGTTGTATCTCCAAATACCTCTTTAGATTTAAAATAAGATTTCAGCAACCAACAACAGCTTTAGGCAACCGTCTTTTTTGGCCAAAAAGTTACCGGTCCAATATAGCACTCTAGGAGTACTGTATTTGCTAACTCAATCGAAATTTAAAATGGTGTGAAGGCAGAAAATAGCTTCAAATATTAGTCTTGATCTTCAAATTCATGTGTGGGTGGAGCAGAAGGACAACTCCAACATTACCATTTCCTCTCCCAGCATCGTCACCTACACTGGATACAATGCTCAGATATGGCACAAGTCAGCCTTTAGTAGAGCCAGCCAAGCCAGAAACAGCTGTGAGTTGTCCTTGGGGCCTGGGACCAGGTTCTTTGCCATAGGATTCTTTGGTGTATCCCAGAAATGTGCAAATAAAAGTGTGTGCCATATCCCAGCCCCCTACACAGCCCCAGCCTGGAAGCATTAACAAGAGCAGGGTGCAGAGCCACCTCAGTTGGTCTCATAAGAGGACAGCAGAGCAGCATCAACTGGTTCCATGCAAGAAGGACAAGTGAATGATCGCATCAGCCAGTCATCAATGCAGTGTACATGGTAGATGTGCAGACAGGGCAGGAATCGGATGGGATCTCCATAGACAAAATCCAGCATGCAGATCACACACCTGGAGGCAGAGGGAAAAAAAGGAAATAGAATTCTTAGCATAAGGATGCTGCAAGACTATCAGAAAGGCTTTTATTTTACTTTCCCTTTCCAGTTTGCCACATGGCAGGATCAGGAATGCAACTAAAGAACAGTGTATTCTCTTGTGCTGTCCATAATACTTTCAAATAATAAAAATTAGAGCTCAGAATTCTATGTTCAGATGATGACACTAGAGTTCCCTTGTGTTGAATTCCAGAGGAGCAATTTGAAAGGACTGCACTACCTTCAAACAGGTAAAATATTCAGGCTCTCCACAAATACCTCCCAGACACTGAGGCCTGCAAGGAATGTTGGGTTGATTTGGTGCCTTGAGTTTTGGTATTATGATATTAGCATTTCTTTCAAAATAAAGTCAGTTTACGCTACTAGTTTGGAGGTCAAATTGCCACTGCTTAGTGGATCCACTCTGTAGCTGCAAAGCAAAACAATCTTACAAAAAACCCCTTTCTTGGGCAAGATAGCCCCTGTTAGGCAACTAATAAAAATAAAAATTTCTTACAGTGACCAGAAGTGATTGCTAAAACAGAAATCATACAAGACAGTTACAGATCTTCCATCTTGATCTATTTGGTTTTCCACACTAGAAAGACCTTCCTTCACAAACATCCTTATATGGGACATTCTCTATTGGATGATCTGCCATAACTAAAACCTGCTGATACATGTAAATTGATATGATTCTTTTAAAATAAATTATATACTCTGCATATCAAACCTGCAGTGGTTAGATATATTCAGAATTTCGTTTAAATATGCAGCCTGTGTACCTTCATGTTCTCTGTAACAGAAATCCATGGTTAGAGGATTAATTTGCTACCAGGGTAAATAAACTATGGCCTTCTAGATGTTCAGTTATGGTTATCATCCCTGATAACTGATATTTTTCCAGCATTTAACAATCTAATTTTTAAACTTTGTTTATATATATCCTTTTTTATTCTGTGCAGCTGCTATGCTTCTGTGTTGAAAAATAGCAATCACAATTAGGGGTTTTTAAATTAATGTTTGAGGGTATGTTTTTTCAGTTTTTAATTTTGACTTTTGCTAACTGCCCAGAGGACACTGGCTATTGGAAGGCATAAAAATGAATTAAATAAACAAAAAGCAAGAATGCTGGCTGAAACGGATGGGAGTCTAAAATCATCAGGATGGTCAGAAGTTCCCCATCCATAATAAAGAGTTAATATTATTTCTTTACTAGTTAGGATTCAGCTACTTTCTGTGAAACTGGTCTCTCATACCAAGTCTGACCAAACTCATTTCTCTCTGACAGATGTTCTCCAAAAAAATCAAAATAAAAAAATGGGGGGATACATTATGGATGTGTGGCTACCGTGGGTGTACAGTTCATGGATCCACCTCAGCAACTCCATCTTACTTCATGACCTAAGACTATACTCAGGTTGTCTTGTCTGTGGCTGGGATAAAAAGTGATCTGTGTTCACTTATGTCCCCAACCAAGTTTCGGTTTACCGATGAACTGTGATGACAACATCTAATAGTTCATGAACCTAAGGAATAATAATAAAAAACAGGAACAGCTGAGAGTGTCTAAAGAGCCAAGCTCAAGGAACCAAGGTTCAATTTGGATGCCAGGAAGTACTTCCTGACAGTTAGGACCACAAGGGTATGTAATGGGCTTCCACAGGAGATGGTTGAGGCCCCATAGGTGAGGGTGTTCAAGGATAGGCTCTGGACATGCACATGGTAGGCATGTCATGAGCAGAGCCAGCTGGAGCCAGGGGTCAGACTAGATGGCCTGGGAAGCTCCTTCTGACTTGCTCTGTTTCTATGTTTCTAAGATGTGTGTATGCATAGGTTTTTCTTTTAGGAGAGGCTTTCCAGCTTAGCACTGAAGATCATTTTGCTTTACATCCACTTGCCTCATTTCAAAAGTTTAAGTTAGTTTTCTGCTGATTTTTTTTCAAAACTTCTTTACAATTTCTTCAAAGACCTACATTTTTTCCTAGTAGTGTATTCAAGAAGATTATTTTCTCCATTTGGAAAACAGATTCATGCAATGTAAGGTTCTTAAAATAGCAGGAGGTTCTATATAGCAATATACTATGGAAACATTGCCTATACTTTACATCTTAGCCTGTAGAGATTAAAGCAGTGTTTAACAGCAGGTATATTTTTTTCTTTCGGGCACCAGGTAGGTGCTTTTTTCATTTTCAGACTCAGGAGAATCAATACCTATTGCACTTTGCAAGGCAAACTGTTGCATGGTGTTACTTGAGGTATAAAGATTGCTCATGCATCCATTCCTATGAAATTTGTAGGACTCTGCTTAAACTAACAGATAAATACAAATGCTAGAGAACATACTCTTTGATTTTCTTTTCTGATGGTTCTGAGCCTGGATCGAAGATTCCTTTGGGAAGATGTTGAATTAGTCCAATCCTCTGAGCTATACGGATCTGCTCTTCTTCTGTTAATTGTGTGGCAAGACGTGCCTGGCTGGGTGTAGGGTGATACACTGGAATTGATGCATGTTCCTAGAAAGTCAGAAAAATAAGTAGCTATTAAATGCCTGTTACTCTTGTAAGCAGGCAGTAATCCAATGGAGCTATAGTACCCATACTCACATATGGCAATCCAAGCAGCAACACTATATCAAAAGATCTACATATTCCTGAAATCGCTTCCATTCACTTGCATACTGGCTACTTAACCTTCTGACAGATATGGTAGGGTAACAGGTCAAATCAAATGTTTTGAATTTCCAACTCCCAGAAGCCCCTGCCACATGACCATTGGTCAGGAATACTGGGAGCTAAAGCCTGAAACATTTGGAAATTTAGTTTCTGCCCACCCCTAGAAGAACTACTGGTCTTTTATACACTCAGGTGTTAGGATCTGCAAATAATTAACTCCCCATAAAATGATCAGATCCAACTTTTGCTTCTCTAACTAGGAATGTGTCTAGTTAAATATGTGTTAGACAGTAATCCATTTGTTTATAGTAAACATGCAACATTCATGCTCCAACTCCTTTCTCAAAGGTGGACATTCTTGCTTCTCAGCCCATGTTTTAAATCAACATAGGCAATTCAGCAAACTGAAGTTGTCTTATGGGCATGGGCAATACTTGGTCTCTATAGCACGTGATAATTTTAAGGAGCACTGAGCTGGTCAGAGGTTCAGGATGTAAGAACTGGAATGATGGCCAGAACCAGACATCTATTTATTTCAGCAGTTTAACAGTGGCCAGCCAAAAGTTATAAGGAGCTCAACAAAACATGATGACAACATCCATTCCCTGTTCTTACTGCACATCAGGGGTCAGCAATCTGGAACCCTCCAGCTGTTGTAGACCAACTGCCATCAGCCTCACCCAGCATGGCCAATCATTATAGGATCTGTACATTATAAACCCCAGCAGCCTATTCCAGTGAAGGCGTCTCATTTTAAGCTCAAAGTTCATCCAAAGGAAACACAAACACTTGTGCCGAGGATGATGAACAGTTTATTGAAAACAAAATTGGAATGTGGATGCAATGCTCAACAAAGAAGCAGAGAGAAAGCTCATGCACATCCCTCCGATAGGCCCAGGGCTTCCTTCTGTGATGGACAGCACTCCTGGAAACTAAGTTGCTTAGACACATGTGTGCTCCTTGGTCTACATGGAAAGCCAAAGTGCAAAGCTAAGGATTCTAGAAGCTGCCAGCAGTGGGGAGGGCAAGAGAAGACCCAACTATCCCAATGAACTTCCACAAAAGGGTATGTCAGCATCTTCATTGCAAGGATGAGCGAAAGAGTTCACAGCAGCTGGTTATTCCTTCACTGAGGCCCCTTACTACCCTACAGATTTTTCACAGCCATTAACCTAGTACAAATTGGTTGCTTCTATGGCTACACTAAAGGCCCAAGCTGAGCACTGCGAACAGTTCACACTAACTTCTTATCACAGTGTCTCCAGTGTCCCAATACACAATCCAAATACTGAATATGGAAAGCACTGGATTGTCTGATACTCACATACATCATCCACCAATCTGCGGTGTACTGGTTTTAAACAGGACAGTTGCCACCAAAACATGTCTTTCTCATGTCTTTATCTAATACCTTAAACATTCATCTATGCTACTGGGCTTTGCAGCAACTTTTAGTAATAAATTCCACAAGTTAGCTTTGTGTGTGTGAAGTAGGATTTTTGTTTGTCTAATCTGCTGTTGATCAGTTTCAACAGAAATGAAAAACTTTTGAAGTCATTGGAAATAATTTCCTATCCACCTAAAGAGGTCTGCTCTGATGCTTTAAGGGAGCAGGGATGGAATTCCATTCTCTTACTTTTTTTAGAAATGAAGCATTGTCTTATGTTGTCCTATTCCCTCCCTGTAGTTTCAAGCAGATTTATGGTGATACAAATGATGGAACAATTGCCCTTTCCCTCATTTTTTCCAGGAGAATGTTGTCCTGCAGGTGCAGTAACTTGCAAAAATGCAAGTAGGAGAAACAATTCTCAGCTATAGGAAAGCAAAGATCATGGGACAACCAGTCAAAGGATGATAACAAACTACCCTGTGCACACTAGGTAATTTCTCTGTGGAAAGAGATAGCAGTATATGAAACATGACTCAGTCTCCTGGGAGCAGGGACTCGGTGTCTTTTAAAAATTCATCAGAAATGGTGCAAGCACACCAGCTCTAAAACAGATGTTGAAGTCTAAAAACTTCATCTCCAACCAAAAGCCAATGTGTCAGGGCATTCAATCTCTTTAGTAAAGCATGGCGCCCCCTTTGTCAACACCTTACACAGGGTGATTCATGCACCAATTTCTTTCAGTCCAACTTTAATTACTACTCAAACTGCTCAACTTCCCAGCAGCTCTGTACAGCTCTAGAGCCTTCAAATAATTTTATCTGAGTAGTTGTTTCTCCATAGCAGGGGTCCTCAAACTTTTTCGGTAGGGGGCCAGTTGAAAGGCGGTGGCTACATGCACGGGTTGGTGAGGTGCCATCGGGCACGCGTGGCGGTGGCTTGCTCGCTTGGAGACCATCTCCAATTGAGCAAGCCACCACCTCCCCGCGCTGCAAGGCAGCGGCAAGCGCGGATGAATGGGAGGCAGGCAGCGGCTTGCTCACTCAGAGACCATCTCCAAGCGAGCAAGCCATGACCTCCCCGCCCACGTAGCAAGCGCACAGGCGACGAACGGCAGTGCGGGCTGGATGGATGGCCATGGCGGGCTGGATCCGTCCTGCAGGCCACAGTTTGAGGACCCATACTCTATAGATTAAATCAGAGTTCATACTTTTACCCCATTGTGGCTACTTCCTTGCAGGCACTTTTTTTCAGATCTTGCCCTTTATTCTCATGACCATCCTATTAAGTAAGTTAACCTTACTGTGGCTTGTTCATTGCTGCCTAATAAGGGCCATTTTATGCATTAACCTAGATTTCCTGCTACTGTTCATTTGAAGGGGTTCCAGTAGAACCTGGCTTCCTGATCACAGTATCTGTATAATGCATGTACTCACAAGCACATGTGGTCACATTCATAGCCTACATTTTACAGAAAACAGCCTACGTATATCCCCCACCCCTCATTTGAATCTTGGCCTATCCACAAAGGTGTTCCAGATGAAGCTTTTCCTGTGAAATTGTCCCAGTTCATTCACTGTATTTTATGGGGGACCAGACACATCTTCCATTTGTAACCCTCCACTTGTGTTTTCTCACTTCTTTTGTTTTTAACTTACAACAAAAAACCTGATAAAAAAAGAATGAATAGCTACACAATGTATTTTGACTAAAAGCCTTATGAGCAATCTGCCCACCACTCTGTCTAGTAAATTATTTTGGCAACTTTCTGTTTCCCAGATGTTTATATGAGGTGGCATCTTCCACTGCTGACTCCACTTCCATTCCACATCCTTCACTCAAGAATGCTCACCAGGATAAATCCTTCAATTTGTGTTTTACAGACTTCTCTCTGATAAGTGAGAAGAGCAGATTGGCTTCTCTAATCATTCCAATTCTAGAGCCGAAACTCTCTGGGTAATCCACAGTATACAACATTACATGAAATGTTTAACATTTAAGAATTTAAAACAGTTTAAAAACAAGTTAATAGTAATAAAACTACCAGGATCTGATAAAAAAAAAACAACCCTAATATCTTAGTGCTATCTATAGAAGCCCAAAGGTTAAAGGGGCAATTCCCTTCTTAGTATTCAAGGCTGCTTACACAGCAAGGATGCCTAGTATTACCAATCAAAAGACACTGGACAGCTATTTTACCTCGAACCCCTTAACGCGCGTTATTAATGGAAAAAAATGGCTGGAAATCACGAGAGGCTCATAACTGGAGGACTCTCCACTCCTGAGCTGCCAAAATTCCAAGAATGAGGCGAGGCAAGCCAACTGCATAATAAAAGCCTCGTCTGGAAGCTACTAAAGTTTAAATGCTATTGCCTACTCCCCGACTTGAACAGCGCATCAAGCGCTATCCTTGTGTACTTGGGTCTAGTTCACGTATATGAAAGAAGTCAGGGTCTCCTCCATCATGTTCCCAGTCGCCCCTCCGTCACTCTAGGTAGCCTTGTCCCCTACGTCTGCATACTACCACCTGCCCAGCAAAGGCTTGCAGGCTACCCATGGGAGACCCAACGCTCAGCATCGCAGTCGGCAAGAGGCGGAGCACATCCGCTCCAAGCCCTCCCCTCCCCCCACTCGGTACCTGGTAGGGGGGCGGCGGGGCAGGGATAGGAGGCGGAGGTGGATCTCCGGCCCCAAGGCTCGCACCATCGCCCGTAGAGTCGTTGAGCAACGACAAGTCATCAGCCGCCTGCGAAGAAAGGCAGCCCCCCATGCCCACCCGAGCCTGCCCGCTCGGGGCCGCTGCCGGGTCCGGCCCGGGCAACCTCCCGCAGCCAGCTCCGGAACCGAGGGGGGTGGGCCGCGGCAGCAATAGGGGCTCGCGTAGCATGACGGGAATTGTAGTCTTACCACAGGGAATACTGCGCCTGCGCGCTGCAAAGCAAAAGGGCGGCGGGGCAGCTGGGAGGAGTGGTGCGGAAGACGAGCGGCTATGATCTCCATATTCTTTTGCCTGAGACGTTGAACAAAAGGAGCCGCATCAAACGGCAAAATATTCGCTATGGGTTTATATTTTAATGATGTTTTCGCTTTGTGGAAAAGCTCAAGTTGACTCACGAGTCATGTTGGGTTTGACTTGATCGCAGCTGTTCTGGAAAGAATGGGTGAGCCTTCAGATTAAGAGTAACCGATCGTGACTAATTCCAGCAGCACTTGTTTAATTAAATAAGAGTGAATGTCCAGATTGTCATCTAACTCAGAATAGTTATGGCTTGTTAAGAGAGCCTATGCCAACTTACTTTGTAAATTTAAAACTGCAGCTGTGAACCGCAGGACTTCTTCATTTTTCTAAAGTGAACTAGTATCTCATGCATCTGAGGAAATAGTCTGCAGTCCACAAAAGTTTATGCCATAATGAATGTGTTAGTTTTGAAGGTGCCAGAAGACCCTTCCTTATTTTTTATAAGAGTAGTTAGTCATTCATAGCTATAATAATACTGATGGAACATATTTTCTGCTAAAAAAATGCTTCTACAAATGTTATTCCATAACACTTGCTTTTAGTTTAGTTTAGCTGTATATGGGACAATCATACTTCTTAAAATTTATTCTTAAAGTATCCTATCCATTCAATTCAACATAAAGTAATAATATGTTATAACATATACAAACATCCCTGTCCTGTTTTTTTCATAGATTATATGAGTATGATAAAATAGCAACAAGTTGGTCAGCAAATGTGCAATAGCTGCAGATTGCAATAGTCAATAAAAATGAAGCCTTGTGGCTTCTTAACGATCAGTACATGTACCATGGTATAAACATTTTTGTATTAGAGTCTAGTTTATGCAGCTCAACCATGTAAGACATGCATATGGTATATTATATATAAAGCCAGAATGAGAAAGACCCACATCCAGTGATGCCAAAAACAAAATGGCCCCTCACAACCATTGCCATCACCATGAGTACTCGCAGGAACTCTAATCCTGAAAAACTCATGACAGGTGACAGGAGGGCAGTGTTCTCAATTTCCATATACAGGCCTATAGCTAACCAGGAGCTGCAGGGACAATGCATCCATAAAGTTAACCTGAGGAGGAAGTACTGGGGAAAATAGTTCCTCTACTACCAATTGAAGAGACACCACTTATTGAATAACTTTTGCATAACTTGGATCCTTTGTAGGACTTGTCAGAGAACAGTATGATGAGCTAGAATAGATGGCAAATAGAGCCTGCTCTGCATAGGAACCAAGGAAAAACGGTGAATCCCAGTAACTACAGACCAATGGTTATCCCCACAAGAGGATGCTCAATACCATGGTATCTCACCTTATTCCATAGTTTTAAGTAAGGAACAGCAGTCAAGCTGGAATAAATGTCCTTTCCTCCTGAAGTCCTCTGCCCCATCATGGGAATGGCCAGGGTGGTTCACTGTGAGGCAGTTGATGGGTTCATATAAGCCTATGCCCTATGCAGTGCTGGTGTTAGGAACAGAAAAGATCTGGGACTCAGAGCCACAACACTAAAAACATGTGCAATTTTACACTGGTTAATTTACATTGGTTCTAATGTTTCTCTATATCTTTATAGGGCTCTGTCTCCTATTGTAAAAAGGGATATGTGAACAGTGAACAGGAGTGCACTTGGTTTCAGGGGAAAATAAAACTTCAGGCAGAAGGATTGGAATGGACAGCAGGCAGTGAAGCACATATGGGAAAAAGCAGGTTATTCCAGGAGGATCAGACACAAATCACAACCTATACCTTTATTTCAGCATGTGCCCATAGACTGCAGGATAGTGGGCAAATTCGTAATTTGTGAACATTTGTAATTTGTAAACATTGTTAATCGTCCAGAGATCTTTGGCTATTGGGCAGTGTGTGTGTGTGTATATAAATAGATTTGCTGACAGCAGCCAGTGCTCCCACTGTATGGATTTGTTCCCAGTTCATTAGTTGTTTACTAAAGTTAATCAGAAGTAGCATTGCATTAGCTCCACAAAACTTAATGGATGTTCCTTTTCCCCAGAACTACACACACCTACAAAATTTCCATGCAACAGAACAGTGGTTCTGATGCAAAGTGCGTGATGATGGAGAACAATTTGTCTTTGCACTGGCTGCAAAAATGATGAAACTTATGCTCTCACAGCTCCCCCACAAGTCTTCAGGATCAGATCAGGTGCAATCCTGCGTAACAAGGTAGCATCAATAGTGAACCCTTTCCTATTGACTACTTTTTAAACTGTTTCTTTCGGCGGGAAATTTCAAAGCTAAGCCGTACTAGCTTATTTCAATACAAGTAACAAGGCATTCTGTATCAACTAAAAGACTTAATTTTTATTATGGTATATGGTGTCTTAACACGGTCTCGCATTCTGTTTTCTCCCATTAGAGTTCCATGACCACAAGTAATCTGCGCAAGAAGAAAAACTACTTGTTAAAAACAGAAAAAGCGGTCCCAAGCAAATAATGCGGAAGGGATAAGTCCCCGCTCGCTGCCAAATAGCAACCAAGTTCGGCTTGTTCCCCGTGACGTCTAACAGCGCTTGTAGACTAAGGGTCAGACGGCGCGACTGCCGCTGTTTCGCGGAATCACGTGACAAACTTTCTAATGCGCGCGTGCGCGCGTTCTTTTTTTCCCTCGACGCGCGCGAGTGCCTCTTGCCCCTCCCGTTTTCTCTTGGTCACGTGAGCGGCAAAGACGGCGGCCGGCCCGGCTCATCGTCCGCGTGTTGCGTTCTCTAGTAGCTTGCCGCCCCTTCCTTCTCTTTCTCCTTTCTCGGAGCTGACGCCGCGGCCTGAGGCTGGGCACGCGGGAACCAGGCAGGTACCGTGCCGGGGTGATACGTGTGTTTGTGGGAGTGTGGGAGGCGATGGCGCGAGACTCTGTGAGCTTCGGCCTAGGCAGGAGTTGGGCGAAAGGAAGCCTTCAGGGTGCCGGGCTGAGTCCGCCTACGGGTGGCTGAGTCGGGAACCACTGAGGGAAGGCGGTAATGAGGCAGATTCTGGATTACTTGCTGAATGGGAGTCAGGCCTGGCTGGGGCGACTGGGGTGGGGGTCGACGGCGCCCGCCAAGCTCGGCGGGTCTGGCTAAGGATGGCTATGGGGGAGGGGCGCAAGAGCTTCCGTTGTGGTCAGTGGGGCCCTCTGCCACCCCACAGCAGTTGTCGCTTTTCATGTTGCTTCTGTGTGGGAGGTGATGCTGCAGAACCCAAACGGGGGTGGGGTGCAGAGAGAGCGCGGAACGGCAGTGGCGGGACCGGCGGGGGAGGTCGCGTAAGATACATGCCCCGGTACATGCTTTAACAACCTAAGAAGGGGCAGGCTGGATCAGATCTGTGGTCCAGCTGTTCCAGCATTATATTCCTAGAAGCACCCGATTCTGGAAGCCTCAGGTATTCAAAAAGAAGCTGGACAGCCATTTGAGCGGGATGGTGTAAATAAAATTTGTGTCCTGAACCAGCAGGGCGTTGGACCTGATGGCCTTCAAGGCCCCTTCCAACTCTACTATTCTATGATTCTAAGAAAGAGTAAGTCTTGAGTAAGCCTTCTCACTCATGCCCTAGCACTTCGAATTCGGTGGGCTATACTGCCTCTTGAACATGGAGGTTCCACTTAGAATCTGATGATTCAGCCTCCATCATTATGTCTAACATTTTCTTTGCACAAACAGTTAAGATGATTAAACTTAAAAGTTCTCATATGCCCTGCACTCCGGGCTGAGCAGTGAGATCTGTTTGCTTTTTCAATAGATGTTCAAGTTCTATCACCTGGAGCTAAGTACACAATAGTAGCTTAAGAAGGTGGACAAAAAATTGCAGAACAACCCAAATATTCTTTTTTGGGTGCTAGAATTAGAGCGTGCAGCCATAATTTCACACACAGATCTGTTAATCTTCAAGCTTCCTTTGTTTCAGCATCCTACTTTAGGAGGAAGTGGAAAAATGCTTTTCCTTATTTTAAACCAGTGGGCATTGGAAATCCTGGCTGATCTACTCCAAATCACTCAGAGATCTAGCAATAGATTTTAATCTATCTTCTTTCCATGTCATGAACTGAAGATCTTGCATTTTAACTTGCATTATGCTGCTAATCTAGTCTCTGTAGTGAGCATGTACACCGAACTATGTCTTTGCTTTTGAATGGTAGTTCATTAGAGCCCCATTCTGAAAGAGGAATAGTAAATAGCCAGTTCAAATGCAATAAAAAGAGGTGGCTTTGCAGTGAGTCATAGCTGTATTCACTGATCAAAATCAAAATTGGAACGGATATTCTGAAGAATGGAAGCTGAAAAGCTAACAAAATGGTGGGTACTAATGAGTGGAGAGAGAACTGATAGATGTTTTTTTAAAAGGTAGATACATATTCCCAGACGTGTGTATTATAGCAGGGAAGTACTTGACCTCTAATGAAATTTAACAGAAAAGTCACACAGCTAGAGTCACAAAGGCAGTCAAAATTTTATTGTTGTGTTGCTCAGTGCTGTGTCACATTTAGTATTAAACAGATGTATGTCAAAGTCACACAATCACATTCAGTATAGCAATCTACATAGAAACCCTAATTAAAGAAAAAGTATTTTATTAGATGTAAACTGTAGCTTATGCAGAGCTTGGAAAATTCAGGATTTAGACAAAATTACAACCTGAAGAGAATATGCCTAGATGGATCCATCAATGGGTGATAGCTGCACATTTCTTCCCATATATAACTACCTGGTCCCTAAGATCTGATGAGGCCCTTCTGAGAGAGCCATTCTTTAAGGAGTTAAAGAGGATGGCAAATAGAAGAGGGGCCTTCTCAGTGGCTGGGTCCATTTATGGAATTGTCTTCCGAAAGCAGTTCACCTGGCACCATTTTTTTGGCGCCAGGTGAAAACAGTCCTCTGGGCATTTTAACAATTGATTTTTATATTAGGTTGTTATTTATACTGTTTTAGCCTTAATATATTTTAACTTACTGATATCTGATCCCTTGGCAGTGTGTTTTCTCTGTTTTATGTTGCTTTTATTATTATATAATATTATTGTAATCACTTAGAGTCTTCAGACTAGTTACAATGGAATATAAGTTGAATAAATAAAACAAACAGTATGCATCTTTTAGCATGTTATTTCTGTATAATTACCATACTCTCGAGTAACTGCAGTAACTCAAGCTGTAGCCAATTACAAAGTTACTCACTTAGATATATGTAGGGGTTAGGAGATGTTTTGATCAAACATATTGCCTACAGGCCTGAAACTGACACTTGAGGGGAAATCCCTATAGTGTATAGGAAAGAACTTCTAGTTCTTTCTTTAGCTCTGGGATTTCATCTCTTTCTTATCTTGTATGTAAAAGAACAATTTTTTATAGTGCAAGACAGGATAAACAAAATCTACATGTTCTTCTACACTTATTGGGTGGTATTGCAACTTTGCCAAACTTGCCAGGCTTGAAATATTACAGCTCTTCTAATATATCTTCCAGGGCCCTGATAGCAATATCCCTTGGCTTCTATAGGTCTCAAATACCTTTCTGTATGCTGCAATTCCTGAATATAAGTTGGCATGGACTAAAACAAGGCAGTGCACTATTTATCAGTGTCTGTTGTGTTTTTAATCATGAAAGTGTTGTTCGATTTTTGTAGCCTAAGATCGGATGATGTCTGAGTGTTTAAGTAGCTGTCTTAAGTCATTGAGCTGACCACTAGGTTTGCATTTCATGTGAATAATTCCAATTCTTTTTCATTCTACAGTTAGGTAGATTCCCATCATGGATTGGCAGCCAGATGAACAGGGGCTCCAGCAAGTACTTCAGTTACTCAAAGACTCCCAGTCTCCAAACACAGCAACCCAGCGTATTGTGCAAGATGTATCCTTGGTATACTCAAGGTTGCCACAGAAAGTGCATGATATAGGAGAAAACACCTTTTTATTTGCAGTTAATATCAAAGAGATCAGGAAAAAGTCACTTGCTAAAAAGAAATTTAGTTGAAAGTGAGATTTCTTGAGCTGTGAGCAGGAATATAAGGTCTGGTCTTCAAAACTGTACTCTTATTGTTTAAGGATTTGGGTATTCCAAACAGCAGAGACCCACACCTATATCAGAAGAAAGTTTTGGAAACCAGGAAGTCATAGTTCTTAACATTCTGTCATCAAGAAATTTTATCTTAACAAATGTTACAGAAACTGAAACAGCTCAACCAATTCCCTGATTTCAATAACTACTTGATATTTGTCTTGACGCGTCTGAAATCTGAGGGTATGTCCATTCAATTTGCCATTATGATAGCTTGAGGAGTACATGTATATTGATTATGTAATATTAGTAACTTAAATGTTAACTTATTAAATGGTAAGTTGGTCCCAATGTCTATTTACCTTGGTGAAAGAAAATTCTAAAAAATGTTAGTGACAGATATGAATCCTCAGTAAGTGTAGATGGTATTGCCTGATTTAGCAAGCCGAAAGAGCTTCCCCTTCCCCTTTTTGGCAGACTCACTGTTTGGTCTGTTGTGTCTTCCAGGGAAGAAATGAGATAATTTTGTTGTTCAAGTTGGTTAGTGAAGAATAGGAGAAAGGGGATCCTCCAGAGTCAAAAGTTCTAACTTTCCATTTGCAAGCTGTTGATCTTCATCCTCTTTACAATGGAGGTTATAAAACTTTACAATGGAGGTTATAAGAGAGCAATGCAAGAGTTAAAAAACTGAGGTTTTCTGAGTTGGGGGTGTCTCTTGCTCAAAATCTAGATAAGGGCAAGAAATTCAAGCCCATTGTAAGCACAGAAATAGCGGGCAAAAGTCCCTGTAGATAAGAGTGCTCTGTAACTATGATAGCCAGAGAGTGCTACTAGATTTCATGCCCAATCAACTGACATTCTTTGGCTGGCCTTTGCGCATTGGGACCTTCTCTACCTCTACAGCCTCATACCCCCATAAAATGTGCTCTGCAAGGCCTCCATAAGAGCTAGTTTTGAGGGTATATGAGAACTGCAGTGGGAGGGAATTCCCTCATCTTCTAGTTCGGTTGACAGAAATAGTTCCATCAGTGAAAGAACATAATTGGATTTCACCCATATATCACTAACCATCATTCGCCTATGCTAAACATTGGTATATTTGTCTTCTTCAGTATGAAGTGACAGGAAAAAATAGGCCTTTCTTTCTTTACCCCCCTTAAAATTGCACCAGTTCTGCTGTTCGGCTGAGATCAAAGCAGCTTTTCATTCTGCCTGGTGAAAGTTCTGTGTTAGAGAAAATTTACATATTCAGTCAGAGGATCATGTTTATTTTATGGTTACTGGGAGCCATAGAGTAGCAGCTATTCTTAAGATATTTTATGTTGTATTTGAAAAATTGTTTTAGTAAAAAACGAATGTACCTCCTGTGTCTCATTGTTTGAGGTCTAGGCAGTAGAACGTACCTCAGTCATTCTTAATTTTTTGAAGGCAGGGATTTGTTCACAGCTCTCCACAGCAGATGGGATGTCCCCAAGTGTTTAATTGTGCCAAGTTCCTGTTTTTCCTTTTATAAGTAAATAGTGGGGTTCTGTTTACCTCTTTCCCCTTTTCTTTCTTGAGAACTTAAGGTCACCATAATGTAAGCAGTTCCTATGCAGGTCTTCCAATGCAGTTCGTTTTGGCAAGTGGGAGGACATAGTAAACTCTAAGCATGCCTAGTATAAGTCATACCTAAGACCTCCCAGATGGAGATGAACAAATGAAGATGATCAAAAATCATCAGTTTGCAGTGAATGGAAACATTAATATGTATTCATATACAGTTCTAAAATGACAAATATTCATGAAAAATGCATGAGGACCTGTTCAGTTTAATTCAATTAAAGGAGCGAGTCCAAGGCGATCTTGCGAGTAAGCCGGTACCTTGCCGTGCAGCGGATTACTCACAAGGAGATTGTTTCCTCCGAGTTTGGACTCACTTGGAGAAAATTATCTCTGTGCGCACGCGCCCCTGCCTTGCCACACGCGTGCCTGCCCACTGGCCTGGCCTGGACCTCCTGCCTGCACCATCTTGGCAGCCAGTGCCCATCACTGGCACCAAGTTCGCAGTTTTTCACAATTTGCAGGTGCGTCAGGAACATAACCCCCGCAAATTTCAGGGGACTCCTGTATATCAAGATTCATATCAAACATCCTAAAATCTACAGTAGTGCAGTAGAAAGCTCTAAAATCTATGTCACAGTTGAGCATTGTGATCTTCCAGATAATGTTGGGTTACGCCCCATCAGCTCTGACAACTTCCCATGAATGTTCCATTGCATTATATGACCAAACGCTTGTCACTCTGTTTATTTTGGTGGCTTAGTTGAGGCTCATTCCAACTCAGACTTATTAACAAGCTTCCTTCAGTTATAGCAAGGCCTGGTACTTTGGTCCCATTAGATCTTTCAAGCAATGGAAGTAGTTCATGAGGAGAATTCCCTAGAATGTGTGTTACTCCCTGGGATTTTAGGACATACACTACCACTTCAGCTTAGTCAAAAACACTTTTTGGTGATCCTCTTTTTTTTTTTAAACTATGGCTCAGGTCGTCATTATCCCTCTGTTTTCTGTATCTTCTGTGGTGTACAGTATAACAGGTCTTGCAGAATTCATTTCTACTCCAAAACAATCTCTCTAAATAGATGAACCAACTCGTTCTCTGAGCGGTCTGATCCTGAAGAACAATGTGAAGGCTCATTACCAGAGTTTCCCTCAGCCTGTTGCTGAGTTCATTAAGCAAGAATGTCTTAACAACATTGGAGATGCTTCTTCTCTTATCAGAGCTACCATTGGTGAGTGCTAGGGAAAGGATGGGTGGAGCATGTCTCTGGATCTCAACAATGAAGCTAAATTTCTATTTTTAAGCAGCATGTCTAGAGTTAGGCAACCTAGTGCCCTCCAGATATGGCCACACTGGCTAGGGGTAATGGGAGAAATAGTCCACATTTTTAATAGCAGTTGCTGTTCTAACTTGCAGTTAAATCAGAAACCAAGGAAGTAGAAATCAGTTTACCCTTACACCATGTTCAGGTGCATGTATAAATATTAGGTAATCATGCTTCTAGTGTTTGTGAAGCAGCCACAAGTTGTAAATCTCATATAGCCACCATAGAACCAAGATAATGAAAAGGTCATGTAGGATGCCTCTTTCATGGCAAATATGTTTACGGTTCATATAAGGTGCTAGGTGTGATTCTTTTTCATCTTTCTTTTGACTTTCCCAAAACCAAGTAAGCAAAATCCACATATTGGATGAAGGATTTGCATAAATCATTCCAGTTTTCTAGAGATAGTGACTGGTCATGATACATATCAGTGCATTTAACAGTTCTGATATGTCCTCTTACTGTGTCAGTGCCTTAGTAAGTTGGGTACACCAGATGCTTTTCTCTTACTGAAAAGGAAATTTCAGAATAATTCATAACTCTGAATTGCTTTGGAGGCTGCTCTCAACTCCATGCAGAACTTTGCTACATTTAGGGTCTGGAATATTAAAGCATCTTTTCTCTTTGGCACTAAAAGTTCAGGAGAGAGAGTTGTTCAGTATAGAAAGTTAAATGAGCTCATGTGGCGTGTTCCTTCTTTTTGCAGGTATTCTTATAACAACCATTGCTTCAAAAGGGGAGCTGCAAATGTGGCCAGAGCTCCTGCCCCAGCTCTGCAATCTACTCAATTCTGAGGATTACAACACATGTGAAGTGAGTAGGAAACTGCATAGGTTAGTTGAAAGCCTGATTGCAGTGCCAGGCAAGATAATGCAATCATGATAGTGGAAATTATAATGTTTGGCATGGAAATAGTGCTTGGTGGTCTAGTGTCAGAAGAGAAGCCATGGGAAGTGTGTCCTAGATTTTTTCAAATATGGTTGATGGTAGCACAGCAGTGTGTTCTGCACGTCAATAAATTAATGTGACTTAGTTGCCTAATGCTGTGCCTTTCTATACAGATGTTACCCTCTGCTAAGTTCAGTGGGGCATACTGGTGTGTTGTATTGCAGCCTTAGGAGATGAAATTATTATTTCAAAAAAACAAAAATCCCAACAATTTATTTCTAAGTGGTTGTTCACTTAACCTGATGAGGATTGAGTTGTCATGTGGCAAAAGTATATTCTTGCTGTGTGCTATAGAATCCAAATAGTGATGCTGTTTCACTGGTACAGGTACATCCAGTTTTCCATCAACCCAATATGAAGCGTAAATTAAACTATATCAGTAGGATGGGATGTGTGATAACTGAGGGGGTTTTTTGGGTGAGATACTGTTTTAGTGAGAGTGAAGGAATCAGGAGCATTTAGGAATATTAGAAGCCATGAAAACAACAAAAGTAGACCTTCCAACCTAAAGGCCCTGCTTTTTAATGCCAGAACAGTTGCTGGGAAAATTTCAGTCATCCAAGATCAGAGTCTGGATGAAAATGCTGACCTTCTTGTATCATAGAGAATTGGCTGAGAGAAAAGAAGAGAGTTGATAGCTAGCTTTGTCCTTTAGGTTATCCCGAAGTACAGCAGGCTGACGGTGAGAGTGGGCATGGTGATGGACGGGCAGCATTCTATAAAAATGCCATCTCACTGACCAGATGCATCATGCAGCAGTCAACCAATTTGGAAGAAACCTTTCTTTGCTCCAACAAAGAAATATTGAGCTACCAAAATTTAATTCTTGGTCAAAGTGATCAAGAGGCTATTAGTCTGGTCATTCCACCTATATTTGGATGATACTGATTTTCTGGTCCCATTTCAGTCTCATTCAGATCATTATCAGTTAAGTTTGATAATGGACTGGCTGAGATGAACAAATGGAACTTAAATCCAGAAAAGACAGAAGTCTTCTTGGTTATTAGAAAGCCTACCTTGGACACCAGGAGTCAACTAGTTTTGGGTGAAGTTATGCTCCCCTTGAAAGATCAGGTTCATCAGTGGGGAATGCTACTGGGTTCTACACTGCCTTTGGCTCATTAGCCAGTAAGAACGGTATTTTCTTAACTGTTGTTTTGTGTGCAAGCTGCAACTGGTCCTGTCAGTTTGATCTGAGAATTATCCATGTTGTATTACAGACTATTGCACTACAGTCTACTTGAGGCCACTCTTGAAAAACTACATATGGTTCAAAATGTGGCAGCTAGGCTACTAATCCGGGCATCTCTCAAATACAGAAATATCTCTGCTGGTTGTCAATTGTTTTCCAGGCCTTTCTCATTATAAACATGTTCAGTTACTAAGATCAGCTGAAGACCCCCCTGCTTGCAGAGGCCTGCTTGGCAGGCTCTTTGGAAGGGGCCTTTTCTTGTGTTACTCCTAAGCTCTGGAACATAACTTCTTTTAGAGTGATGACTTGTCTCCATTTTCTGTGAATTTAAGAAGGGGATGAAGACACTTCTTTAAACATGGCTTTTAAAGATTATTACTATAATGTTTAAAGTTTTAATGATTATTAAATATGATTATATCATTTTAATATTTTATAATAATACAGTTGTATTAATTATTACTATAATGTTTAATGTTTTAATTGTGCTCAGTGTGTCTTACTATGTTTACATTTGAATATTGTTTTTAGCTTCTAAATTTTTGAAGCCATATTTGGCTGTCTTCAAAAAGGCAATATAAAAATACCATGAATAAGTAATAAAGTAGGAGTTTTTCTCTTTTAAAATCCTGTTGCTAATTATTTTATTAGCATCCCTAGTTATTTGGGCAGTTAGCTGACACATATCCGGCTCTTGCGTGGGATGCCTGGCTAAGCATAGGAGGACGACACGTTCTTTTAAACTGGCAGCTTGTCACTTAAATGGCTTTCTTTTGGCAAGATCTCAAACTGAAATTGAAATTTGGCAGATCTCAAACTGAAAACAGCTCATGCTAGAAGGACAATTTAAGTATTAAAATCAAGATGCCATTATGGGTTTTCCATTGAAGTTCAGATATCCTCTGCCTGTTCCTGAACCCCACATATTTGGTACTAACCATTGCTATGCTCTCTAGGGGGCTTTTGGTGCCTTACAGAAGATCTGTGAAGATTCTGCTGAGCTGCTGGACAGTGATGCTCTCAATCGACCCCTTAATGCCATGATCCCAAAGTTCCTTCAGTTTTTCAAGCACTGCAGTCCCAAGATAAGGTATTTACCTAGTTTGCTGCTGATTCCTGTCCTGTGTTCCATCCATTAGGCAAGATCATGCTTGTTGATCTTATATGTTTGGTGGATATAGAAAGATAGCAACAAAATGGTGATGAAATATAGTAATTTGAGATTGACTTTTTATCAGATTAAACCAAAAGCTGATTACTCATTCATTTCAAATATTTCAACAGTCCCAAAACTAGGTCATAAATGGATGCTAACTGAAACTTTAATCTATTAAGTTTGGGGTGTTTAGACTGCAAACTGGTGCTTGGTTATCCAGGGCTGCACTTCAGGTGGTAAGTTACTGGGGTGAATAGGAACAGCTATTTCAAATAGTTGTTTCATCTGTGTTCCTCCTTTTTCATTAGGTCACATGCCATTGCTTGTGTTAACCAGTTCATCATGGAAAGGGCCCAAGCCTTGATGGATAACATAGACACTTTCATTGAGGTGAGGTGGCTTTCCATGTGCCTGTGATTGTTCTTGAAAGTTAAGGCAGCAGAGGGCCATTTTTTCAGATTCAGATTGTATTAAAGTATAATTCTCACTTCAGCTGACCTGCCAAGGAATCCTTTACCATCTACCACAGAATCACTTTGTGTTTATCACAGAACCTGGGTCACGCTCTGGATGTACGTTAGTTCACTGATAGCAGTGATGACATGTACTAAGGCACAGAATGTTTGTATTCTACAATACGTTCCATGCTCTCTTGCTGCTACACAGTGATGGGAATGAGTAGCCAAACAGCCTTTCAGGGAAATTTACTATTTGAACTATTGTTCAAGATTGCCATGATACTCCACGTTGTGAACTCGTGACTGTCTTTTCCATGTAACTTTTCCCTTATCAGACACCTCTGTCCTATAATTTTGAGGAATTCCAGCTCTTAAAGCTTTTGTCCATTGTTTGATCAGATCTCTTAAAAAGGAAAGATAAGGATTTTTTTAAAGAATTGCATCCTTAGCTTTCTCTGTCTCAGTGATTTCTTTTTACTGCAGTAACATATCCATGGCCAGAGGCAGCCTTAGGAAATACAGAGAGAAAGGTATTTGGTTCTGAACACCAGCATACTTCTTTACTCCAGGCTTAGAGAAATGTAGTATGTACTGATTGTTTTGTGTTACCTCTGCACTTGAAAATGTACAGGCAATATCTGTGGAAAACCTCCAGTGTGTATAGGATAGGACTGGTAGGTCTTGAATACCTGTCCCTCCATTATGCCTTCCTTTTCCTCCTCCTCTGTGCACTTGTTGTCCTCCTGCTAACTGTGCCACTTTGTCATTATACCTCTACTTCCGAAAAATACAAAGCTTTGCAAAGAACTGCAGTTTGTTTATAAAATAAGTACCGTTGTATATTTGCTGTCAGAGGGATCCGAGCATAATGCATCTCCACATGGGAGTAGATGTTCTCTGTCCAAGTTGCAACAATTCTGGAAAAGCCACTTGTGTTGTATGAGGGCTAGTTTGGGCTAGTTGAATTTTGTGGGATTCTTGGCCTAAGGATTTTTTTTAAAGTGAACATTAATTCCTCCTCTTGGCAGCATTTGTTTGCCCTGGCAGTTGATGAAGACCCTGAAGTTCGAAAGAATGTTTGCCGAGCATTGGTGATGCTTCTAGAAGTGCGAATTGACCGACTGATCCCTCATATGCATAGTATCATTCAGGTAGTCACCTTTTCTTTCCCAAACTAGGCCTCTAAAATCTTATCTTGACCTGTGTTTTGGAATACTGTAGTAGGCATTTATAGATCTCAGAAATATGGGCAAGATGTCTATAAACACCTATGTCAGCTTGCCTGTTCCACTGTTAATTTTTGCTGACCACTGTTTTTGTTTCTCCAGTCCTGACAGCCTTGTAGTTGAGAACTCTGTCTCAGAGCTGGCTGCCTTGGCTTCGTCTGTCTAGAGTTCACATGACACAGCAACCCCTTGGTGGGTAAATAGCCATGGTGGGTTGCCATGGCATCCATACTCAGCTCTCTTTCTACAGAATGACTAGTTTTTCAAAAGCAAACTACTCTGATGGCCCATGATTTGTTCTAGGAGGAATTGAATGTCATGTCATCTGAACCTAGGAGACTGATTTTATCATGTGTTGTAAGATGTGGTGAATGAGCCACTTAGCAAGAATCTTTGCCAGTTTTGCCTGTGCTGTTGCCAGTGACCACTGTTCCCTTGCTGCCCAAGTGAGCTTTGATGCAATTGTGGCCTGCTTTTACAATTTTTGGGTAGGGGAGCAACAGAAATTTGTGCAATTGAGATCATACTTTAAACAAACAATCAGACTTGTGCAAGTGTGCAATCATGGCTGCCTGCAGTATGGAGTCTTGTTTTGCCAGTGTTTTTGTTCATGTCTGGTCAGGGTTCAGTAGCCAAATTCCATGGCATTGGGAGAGTGAGCTTCCATATAGGTTAATTACCAGTTGGTGAGCTGCAAATTGGGAAGAAAAGTGATGAAGCTGAAAGGGGCTGTTGTGCATATCCCTCCCTTAGTAGTATAAGGCTGTAGTTTTTAAGTATTGCCCTGACAGTTCCCAGTGCCCTCTACCATTTCCACACTTCCCTCACCCTCTAGGTAACTCCTAGAATGAGAGATCTGCATTGCGTCCCCTTTTCACAAACACTTTTTTGGGCAATTTTCTAAAATTAAAAATAATAAGCAAGTCATGGTCACTCCAATGTGCTGCTTAGGTGACTGTCACTGCCAGCAGCATGAGGCTCTGGAAAAAAAATTGAGAACCTCAACAGGATCATAATTGCAGCAGAGAGTTGGGGAACAAAACGTGCTCTGCTGTGCAGGATCCTGGAATACTGGCTGGAGGACCAGAGGAGAATAACCCACAGTAAGCCCAGTCATCTACTGGGTATACCGCTTCTTGTTCTGTGAACAAACCATACTGCATAGGTTATTTTCAGGGTGGGTTACTGTGTCACATGAGCTTACCTTATACTCCAGCACTTCTGTGAAAACTCACTGAGGGGAAAAAGAGCTGATGTGGCATTCTTCATCTTTTGCTCCCATCCTGTGGTAGTGGGTCACTGCTGTTCCAGTGAACATCCTTACAGTACAACTAATGCTTTGGATGGTTCATCCCCATGGACTGATGCTGTTAATACAGCATGTCACAGCAAAATAGTGCGAGCTCTTGCTGGTAAACTTGTTTCATCATTCAGTGAGGTAAGCAAAGAAGCAATGTGAAGCAAAGAAAGTAGCTGTCGGAGTCAATGTTTTGTGTTGCTGTTCTTTTCTGTTCCTCAGTACATGTTGCAGAGGACCCAGGACAGTGATGAGAATGTGGCATTGGAAGCATGCGAATTCTGGCTGACACTGGCTGAACAACCCATCTGCAAGGAGGTGCTCTCTTCACACCTAGTGCAGTGAGTAGCTGGGCATGCACAGGGATGTGTCCTTGTTTTGAGATGCATATTAGGAAGGCTTATTTTCAGGTGATGTCTCATATTTTCATGGACAACAATTACATTTATTCATGTACAAAAATCTACATTTATTCAAATGCAGTCATGTCTTCTTCTGGAACATCGTTATAACTCCAAACCCCAAATTGTGTTGCAATGGATGCACTAAATGCATCCGTCTGGCTGATGATCTTAATCGGGGCTTATTTTTGGGATAGGGCTTATGTTATGAGCATCCTGAAAAATCATGCAAGGGATTATTTTCTGGTTAGGTTTTATTTTCAGGGAAACAGGGTAGTTAAAGAAGAGCCACCTATCATGACTTTAAAGCACATTTGCCACATAGAGAGACTGTATGGGGGGAGAAGCTTATTCAGAAATTTGGATCCCAAGTAGGTTAGGGCTTTAAAAGAAAACACGAGTTCCTTGCATTGAACTCAGAAGCGAAGTGGCAGCCAGTTCAGAACATTATGACTCCATCTAGCTGTACTAGTTGTAGTTCTGACTGCTGCAGTTTGCAGTAGCTAAAATTTCGGAGTAGTCTTCAAGGTCAATTCTGCATACAGTCCAGTTGGGAGATTACTAGAGTGTGAACCACTGTGGGCAGACAAAAGGGAGTGTCAGTGACTGAACAATAGCAATGGATCCAAAGAGGGTTTCTTAAAGAATAAATGTGCAATCTCCTTATCCAAAGCAGCTGACCCCACCACCTCCCAGAAAGGTATTGCCTACCCCTTGGGCCACCTAATCGATCTCATCCCCCTCTGTGTGAGTTAGTAGCTGACATGGTTGGGCACACTTTATACATTCCCACACTGTATCAGTTGACATTAAATCCACATGACCAGAGTAGGTTGTGCTGTTGGCACCTCTGCTGAATTGTAGAATAAGACCAGAGTGCTCTCTTCGGAGTTGGGATGAAAAAGGGAATTCTAACATGGGAGAGCTTAGGGGAGACTGTGGGCTGTTGAAGAGTTGCTTTTCATACTTGCTATACGTCTTCAATCGACTGCCTTTTATGTTGATAGACAGTAAGTAGAATGTTTACCAGCTGGCTGCAACCTTCTGGGTGTTCATTTGATTGTGGGATATCATGTATTGTTGGATGTCTGTTTGCCTGGCAGTGCAGACCCTAAAGTGAAGCAATGCCTACTATGCTTGCTTACTGCAAGGTTTGATTGATTGGGACAGGGGGTGAAACTATCAGAATGTCAACCTCAAAATCTTGTTCTTGTTTGGTAATGGTTTTTTGCAATATCTGATGTGATCTATGTCATTTTCACTCTAGGCTCTAGTTCTTGACTCATCTTTGTCCTACTTCCTTTTGACAGATTGATTCCAATATTGGTGAATGGAATGAAATATTCTGAAATTGACATCATATTGTTAAAGGTATATTTCTAGTCTTCCTAGTAGCTTGGGAGAGTTAAAGTGCTTGGTATCTAGACAATATCCCTTTTCTGAATTTGTATTCCTCACAACTTCTTGTCTAAGTATAACTATTTAAACAGCTTCTTTGCTGTACTACCTTGGAACTCATTCCTCTTTATGCCACTGTTACTACTGGCCATCCTTGCTGACTCAGAGGAAGGTACAATGGATGGCAGATCTACAGTGCTGAAGCAGTGCCCTTTGTTGTCACAACCAGGATGTTGTATAACCACTTTCCTGTCATAGAATCACAGAAAGGTAGAGTTGCAAGGGGCCATAAGGCCATCTGATACTTGGTTTATTCTTTAAGGCTGTTGGCCTCCAGCAAAAGCAGCACACATTTTTTCTTGCCCCTTTCCTATAAAACTGAGCAAGTAGGTATCCAAATATGTTAGTTTATTAAGGGCACAATCCTATGACTGGTAGATTTTGTCCAGCAAGCCATAGAAAAGGTGGAGACCTGTCCGTGACTTCAGAAAAGCTTTCCAAAGTCCCAGCAGGGATGTCACCTTTGGAGGGGCCCCCTCCTTGCCTCTTAGAGGCCAGATGAAGCCTTGGAATGTCCCCCCCCCCCAATTTTCAGGAGAAATCCTGGAGCTGGTGGGGGTTGAAGGGTGAGGCACAGCTACTTTCTGTCAAAATCAGGAGGTGCTTAACCCCCTCCCCTCGTGAAGAGGGGAAAATATTTAGAAAATAAAAATCTTCCATATAAATACTTTTTGAGAGTGCAGGGAACTCAGAGGTACTCTCCTGCACTTCCTAGGATGCCCATAACCTTCCAAGTTTCAAAAGTTACAGGCAGCCATATGGGATTGCACCCTTAACCATTCATACATGGTTGAACTCTCATAATTAATTGCCAATTCTGCTGTATCAAGCCTGGAGAGGTAGAAGCCATCCAGAGCTGGAGAGGTAGAAGCCATCTAGCACAGATGGAGCTAGAACCCAAACTTTTCTGAGTCACGTTGATGCTGATGTATGTTGATGGAGTTATTCCCTGTCCTTTTAAAAAAGTTGTTTCATAGGATTATGGACTAGATTAGTTGAGTTCAAACACCCACATTCTCAGCTGTTCTTTGTAATTTGATTCATATGTAATTATTGCCCTAAGTATGGTTTTTGTTGAATTGTGGGTTGTCATCATGTGCTAACCCTGCAGTATGGTTTAATTGAATTGTTAACCTCAAACAAATCTTGGCTAACAACAAAACATGAATTTTCTTTCTTGTTGTTTGCTGTTAAGGTATAACCTGTAACAACCCACTAAGAGCCCACATTCAACCATATTTTGAATAATCATTACATGAGAACCAGACTTCTGTTTTCTGGCAGCAGGAAAATTTAGATGGCCAAGCAGATGTGTTCATGGAAGTGATGCATATCCTTTGACCTGACCACAGTGATGGTTTATTGTATTCATACTGTCTGATCCATGAAAGCATGGCCTGAAGGATCCAGAGAGGCCTGAAGGTTTGCCTCTTTCTGTTAGGATTGAGTCACCATATTAGGTGGCTTTGATAACATGATTCACATCCTACCAGGAAGAAGAGGCTGAAAGTGAAAACACTGTTCATGGTCCAGCTTGTTCCTTGCATAAATATGCCCCCAGAGAGTAGCCATCCAGGTTTGGGAGAATAGTTAAGCCATTATATTGGATGCAGTGTTGAAGTATTGTACTGTTTTACAAGATGTCACTTTGCAAGGAGAGCAGAGCAGAGTCTATTAAAGGGGATTCCAGATGCACTTTCCTCTCAATTGCAGGGTGACGTGGAAGAGGATGAAGCCATCCCCGACAGTGAGCAGGATATTAAACCTCGTTTCCACAAATCACGCACAGTTACCCTGCAGCATGAAGAAGAACGGTTGCAGGATGATGAAGAAGGAGAGGATGAGGATGATGACGATGACACACTCTCTGACTGGAATCTGAGTGCGTGCATTAACGTTCTGCACTCTGGGAACTGATAGGAGCCAAGTATCAGTTGTCAGGAGCCAGCTGTGTGGGTCTGTAGACAGGTAGTATCTTGACAGCATCTCCAGGAACAAGTGGAGAGTGTCCCATTCTTGGCCCTTTTCAGTAGACTTTGACCATTGTAGCTGGAGTCCAGTGTGTGAAATACCTTCACGCTTTCCCTACTCAACTGATTTTCTCTAGTACAGCAGGAAAGAGCTAGATGTAGGAAATAAGTTTTGTTTTCCTTGTGTACCAGTTGGTGCTTTTTTTGTGTGACCTAACCCTGAACAATTGGTGTTGCATAGTCTTCAGGGGCAGTGGGGATGAGATACAGGCCACCTGTGCTTACGTAGTGGCCCATTGGGCGTTTTTGGCTCATGGAGGTGCAGGGGTTGTGGACCTCATCGTTCCCTCCACTAGTGCCTTGCAGATTTATTCTAAATCATGCTGCTTTTTCTATGAAAGGGTCTCTGCCTTCAGAGCTTCCTCCATGCTATTTGTGCCTCATGGTCACATCTTTCTTACAGGGAAGTGCTCTGCTGCAGCCCTTGATGTCTTGGCCAATGTCTTCCGAGATGAGCTCCTTCCGCATCTGCTCCCACTGCTCAAAGGACTGCTCTTCCACCCTGAGTGGGTCATCAAGGAGTCAGGAATCCTAGTCCTAGGGGCCATCGCTGAAGGTGAATCCTAACTGTGGGTTTGACTCTGCTGAGAAGTGGAGGACCAGCTATCACTGGCAGTCTCAATGGGTTCCTCTAAGATGCCCTGGTAGGGTGCTGAGTGTATCTTCTACATTTCTAGGCTGTATGCAGGGCATGGTTCCTTACCTCCCCGAACTGATTCCCCACTTGATCCAATGTCTCTCTGACAAGAAGGCCCTAGTGCGCTCCATTGCCTGCTGGACACTGAGCCGTTATGCCCACTGGGTTGTGAGCCAGCCTCCAGACATGTATCTCAAGCCTCTGATGACAGAGCTGCTCAAGCGGATTCTTGACAGCAACAAGAGAGTGCAGGAAGCTGCTTGCAGGTAAGCTGCTCATGACATGGCTTCTGCTTACCAACTTCTTAACCAAATGTCGGGGATTAGGGTTGGCTTTATAACTCATTGGCCCCCAAATATCTCCCTTTTGAAGGTTCCTTTCTGCATATGGTTTAGTGTGCTTCAGCTTGGAAATGCTAGCTCCCCAAAGGCTGTTGCTTTTGCAGAATGGTATCCCATGATCATTATGCATTGTGGTAGGGCAGCGCCAAGCAGTGAAGTTGTGACTAATTAGAAACGGTGTGATACAGGGAAATTTAAGAGTAGGGGATTTGCAGTTGCACTTTCAGGTGTTGTTTCTAAACTGGAATCAAATCAGATTCTTTTGTCTTTGAGCTACAGTTCTGTTCTGTGTCCTGCACTTAGTGGGTTTTCTTTGGATGTGATGAAGAACTTGAAGCTTGATCTCTACTGTGATGGGTCATGTATTCATACTGTCTGATCCAGAGAAATGCCTTGATACCTCAGATCAAAGATGAGGTTTAAGCTTGCAGCCGACTTTTGTGAAATGAAACTGATCTCTTTCATTTCTGGGGTATTAGAAGTCAGCTAGATGTTGTGGGTTTCATTCTCCATGCTTTCTGGTGCTGTTTTCCCTTTGGACTGCGCTAACTATTTCTTCACCTTTAATTTCAGTGCATTTGCCACCCTTGAGGAGGAAGCCTGCACGGAACTGGTCCCGTATCTCAGTTTCATTCTGGATACTTTGGTTTTTGCATTTGGAAAATACCAGCACAAGAATCTCTTAATCCTATATGATGCAATTGGCACCCTGGCTGATTCTGTTGGGCACCACCTCAATCAGCCGGTATGTGCATGCTTTCTGTTGGCAATGGCAGTGGAAATTGCAAACACTTAATCACCATAATTGTTTTTATCTCCTCCTCACTTACTGGGTGAAATATTTCTGGTATAATTTTGAATTCTAACTCTTGGATATAGGGAAAACTAGGATGCAGTTTTCTTTTGTTCTTGTTTAAGTGTGGTATTGTGATATGAAACTCCTTTTCTTTAAGGCTGAGCTATCTAAATTACATGTATATCACAAGTACTGTATTTTTCCATCTATAAGATGCCCCCATGTATAGGACACCCCCACTTTTCTTACCCAAAATTCACATATCACTATTTTAAACACTAAATAGAAGACATTTTTATTTAGTGATTAGGCAATGTTTACATACCAGTACTATTATATTATGCATCACACTTAGCTCTGAGCAAATCACTTTATTCCGTCTCTATTGCATCACTGGTTTCTTCTTCATCACTTTACGCTTGGTTGACACAAATAAGCCACTCCGGTGCTGCTCCAAAATCCACGCCTTAAGCCTCTGCTCCAAGTGTGGCCATTTTGCTGGTTTTCCTCTCAAGGCCTTCTTTTGTGGCATCTTAAGGAGTTGTTCTTCCTGTTTTCTCCCCTGATCATACACTCAGTGGGAGGAGGTCCAAACTGTCTCTCTGCAGCTCTATTTCCAAGCTCTTTTGCATAACTGATTACATCCAGTTTAAATTTTGCAGAGTAAGATATTCGTTTACCGGTACCAGTATTTTTTGTTTTTTGTATTTTTTGTTTTCTGGCATTTTTATGGTCGCAGAATGCTCTGACATTACCGCTCTCTGTTGCATCTGGGTACTGGCTGCATGCTCTCCTCAGCATCAGCTGACATTAGTTACATAAGGCCTCTGCAATCGGAAGTTTCGCTTGTGAGGCTAGTTCTCAGAGAGAAGCTATCGGCAGTTTCGCAACCACGGTTCTCCTGCCCCCCCCCCCCCCATGTATAAGATGCCCCTCTACTTTTAGGTAAATATCTTAAAGAAAAAGTATCATGTTATACACGGAAAAATACAGTAATCTCCCTCCATGATAACCTCTAATAGTGAGTTGTTCCTTGCTGCTGTGTCTTCAACCAGAAGAAGACAAGTAGTGGAGCTGGAAAAATGTCAGTGGTTCTTCAGGGCCTTGGGTAGAGTAGACTATATTTGGCTTGATGGGGGATGGGTAGTCCAACTCAATCTAAGACAGCTTGATATGTTTGTGTATGATAGTTGACTACGATCTAATACTCGCTGGTACCGTTTCTGGATAGCTGCTCACTTCACTTACTTCTGTTTTATGTTTCATATTTTTGTTTATAACTTAAAAAACAAGGATACTATGACATGAACTGTAACTTTCTGACACAAGGAACATGAGTTATTTCTTTAGTGTCAGTATTGTTCAGCTGAAAGTGCCTGCATTTGCTGGGTATCATGTTATCAAGCAAATTTGGCCTTTATTGTTTAGGTATAATACTGCAACTACCATCATAATACTCTGTTCATTGCCACATCTCAGACAGGATATTGTAGAACTGGAAAAGGTGTAGAAAGGGCAACCAAATTGGTTAAGGAGCTGAAAAAAATTACATTTGGGGCTCTTAAGCAAAGAGGTCTGGAGGGACATGATAGAGGTGTGTAAAAATATGCATGGTGTTAGAGTCCTCCCACGAAGCTGAATGGTGGGAGATTCAGACCTGAAAAATGGATATGGCATATCATTAAGCTATGGGATTCACTTCCGCAAGATGTTGAGACTGCCATCAACATAAGACAGATTTAAATGGAGAATAGACAAATTATGTATGCCAGCTGATGGGAACATGGTAGTGCTACTGCATTCATGACCATTGTGAGCTTCCAATAGGCATTTGTTTGACTACTGTGGGAAGTAGATTGCCAGAGCAGATAGGCCGTTGGGTAGATCTGTCATGGTACTTCTCATTATGATTTTCTTTATCATATTTGACTTCAGTGTCACTGTGTTTAATAAAGACTCAATCCTTTCTACTTGCTCGGGACAAGTACTCTTGGTGTGTGATTCATGTTTTGGTTTCTTTGAAATGAAACGAAGTGTGGTTGAGGCATTCACAAGTCTGGTAAACTTTATTCTTGTTCAGTAGTGTTCTAGAAATGCTGGCCTAAGTTTCTCAGAGCTCAGGAAAGGGATGACCAATTAAAATATGTGACATTCAAATCCTGAAGCAATGTGTGAAGTGCTTTTTTAGTTCTGAAGGTTTCTGGACTGATTTTATAGTTTACTGGCAGTTTAGAACTGAAATACGGTTAAATTTGGTCTCTTCTGTAGGAATATATCCAAAAACTGATGCCCCCCCTGATCCAGAAGTGGAACGAGCTGAAAGATGAAGACAAGGATCTCTTTCCCTTACTAGAAGTGAGTGACCAGCCATTATTAATTTGGGAGGACTGTATTATTTCAGTTGAAATTGCTAAGCTTGGCAGTGCATGAAGGCCATGCTTGCTTGACACTAAAGCATTTGTTTTTCAACTGTCTGATGAAGAGTGAGCTAAAGTGTTACTCCATTCGGCATCCTATGGGTCCTTTTGCTTTCAGGCAACATAGCCCTTGATAGACTGCTGAAAAGAAACCAAATGCCATGCTTGCTTCTTTTAGGGTTGAAATCAAAAGTCTTTGTTAAGTGGTTTCTATGATGATTAATCACAGGCAAGTGAAAGTGCTAGATGGTTCTCCACACAAGATTTTTGAGTAACTGTGCTTCCTTTTGGCAGTGCTTGTCATCAGTAGCAACTGCTCTCCAGAGTGGCTTCCTTCCGTATTGTGAACCTGTCTACCAGCGTTGTGTGACACTTGTGCAGAAGACCCTTGCCCAAGCCATGGTATGGTATACTAATGTCTGAAAAATTCGCCAGCTGTTATACTGTGGATTACATTTGGGCAAAGTAGCCTCAACTAGAAATCGCTATAGTCAGTCATTTGATGGGATCTTTGATCCAGTGAGCAACTGAATCTTAACCTCCTTGTATGTTGCTTTAACAGCACAGCTGCTGGATTCAACACAAGGCTTATGTTGATGAAAACTGTTGAAGTTTCATACTTTCTTTGAGGGTATATGATTCTCTGTTTTGCAATGTACAGATGTATAGTCAACACCCAGATCAGTATGAGGCTCCTGACAAAGATTTCATGATTGTCGCTCTTGATCTGCTGAGTGGTTTGGCTGAAGGTCTAGGATGCCACGTGGAGCAGCTTGTGGCTCGGAGCAATATCATGACTTTGCTGTTCCAATGCATGCAGGTGGGTAAGAATCTTAGGTGTGTAGCTATATAGGCAGGATTGCAGCTGAGAAATCACAGGGTCACAAAGCTTATGTTGTGAGGCACTGGGAGTTATTCCAGATGTTGCAGGCCAGATAACAAGCTTGTGGATATATCATGCGCCTGATAAGGTAAATCCAAAGTGTTTATGTAGACCTGCAGAAGTGTGAGTCACTATTTGGGGATTTCTTTCAAATTTAGTTCAATTTTTATAATGCAGGCACCAAAGTAATGTTCCGTCAAAGGTTTTTAATACATTTGAATTTGTAAGAAGTGGCTCATGTGAGAAAAGTACAGCAAGGCACCTCTGAGTAAGAGCCTCCTGTTACCCCGGAAGCAGGTCTTGAACAGACCCAGCAGAGTTAAGTCCTTTTTCCAATGTGTTCAAAATGGGTTGCTTCTATTACTAGCTGGATTGCATAGCATTTACAAAAGGATTCTTCATAATACTCTGAAGAGAAAAGGATATTTCTATATCTTCAGTGAAAAATTTGTCTGTAGGCTTACAGGAAGAATTAGGTGGTGGATAAATTCACATATATTACTTTGTTTAAAATCCTTGATCTTGTGCTTTGCTCTCCGTCCTTCGCTTAAGAGAGGGAACATTTTCCATTAAGCCAAACTTTATGGGACTCACTGCATGCCTGCACAGTATTGCTTGCTCTAATTTTACTTGCTCTCCTTCTAGGACACCATGCCAGAAGTTCGGCAGAGCTCCTTTGCACTGCTAGGAGACCTTACCAAAGCCTGTTTCATGCATGTCAAGCCATGCATTGGTAGGTACCTGTTCGCTTCTTGCCATGGGACATGTTTTTTGATACAGAAGTAGAGCTTTTTGTTACTGACCTGTTTGGCATATAATAGCAATTCATGGGATGTTTAGCTCAGGCATTGGCAGGGTTCAATGGGAGCAGACACTGCCTCCTGTGTTCCTGTCATATCCACTTTCCATCCACTTTGGTAAACTGGTTGTTGTCATGACACACAAACCTGGTTTTGGAAACTGATTGTCATAACATGTGAGCCTGACTCTGGGTTCTTTAAAACAAATACTTTATCTGAGGAATGGAAGTTAACAGTGATAGAGCAACAGAAACGTTAACACACACAGCTTGTCCTACGTTTATATCTCTGTTTCCTATTTGATTTAGAATATTTCTGTCCCTGAATACACCCTTCATAGTGTATCTTCTAATCTCTGTTGCACCCACAAAATAATCACTTTCTGTTGTCACCTAGCTAATTGCTATATCTTTCCAAAAATAGGACTGCACACCTGGCCCTGCATTCAAGTACATAATGAAGTGGAACCATGTTTCTAAGAATAAGCCCTGCTTAATTTTCCCTTTGAGCCATTATGTTGTGTTAGTTTTTCAACAAGTGCAGATTTTCAAAAGCCATCTATTTCCAATGGATCCTATTGTGGCTTTCCAGTATTGTGCTATAACCATTTTCACTCCTCTTAATAGCACTATATGACAGTTGCTTTCATGTGTCATCAGAAATGGACAGAAGAGCTAATAGTGGGGCACCATTAAGTAATTATTTTGTTATATGAGAAATATAACTGAAAATGGCTGAACAAAATACTTGCACATATTCACAAGCCCACCATTTATAGCATGAAGTTTCTTTCCCCTGGCAACTTCTCCAACATTTTGGGAAAGATGTGTGTTAACATGATTTACAGGTTTCACAGGTGTCAGATGCCCTCCCACCCAAATATTAGTTTTAAATGTGTTTCTCTAAGTTCTGCTGAAATAAGGATTAGGATTATAGGTTATTTAATCCATATTTAGCTTTTATGTGTAAGCCACTAATCTAAAGGTAGAATGGTTAGGTTAACTAATTCTATAGCTAATTGATGGGAGCTGGTTGGTAAAACACCAGTAGTTAATCAGTGAGTTGTATCCAGTTAATGTCCTTCCATTGATACAGCTTTTTGATCCAGCAGAGGTTTCAATGAGCAGAATAGGGTGGTAGTGATTTTTAGCTATTCCCCCTTTCCTCTGAACCGCATCTTTGTAGCATTGCAAGAACATTTGGAACAGCATTGGAAAAGCAGCATGGTAATACAGTAGATAATAGTTGAAACCTTTCTCAATTCCTGTTCAGTTGATTGAGCAAGAAGTCTTCATTCTGCAGAGGAATGGCAGTTAGATACAACCTACTGTCAAGAGTTATCAAGCATAATCCTGAAGAACGAAATGTACCTGCTTTGGTAGTATTTTTTGAAAAATAGTCTGTAATTTTGAAGCTTGGCAGAGACTGTAGTGCCTGCTTTACATGAGACTGTCTTAGCTGCAATCACTGGTATTTCCATTTTTTTAAAAAGTACAGCTAACAGACAACCTGCTTGAGATCCTGGATAGAAGTAGTTGCAGTCATCAATACTGGGCTAAATGGTCTATCACAATGTTACAGTGCATGCTAACTGACCTAACATGCATGCATTTTAAGGCTTAGCAAATACAGAAGAAAGCACCATGTCTTTCTCTGTTTCTGGCCTCATGGGGAAAGGAAAGGAAAGCAAACACAATTGTGATCCAGTTAGTTTCACAAATGAGTAAACTGTAGAAGAAATATGGACTGGAAAAGTAAAACAAGGTTTGGATGGAAAACAAAATTGAAAATTGCTGCACGGAGGGGAGAGATTTGCAGGCAGAGGAAGTGGTGGTTCAGAAACAAGACGAGTGGGGGATGAGGGAAAAGTTTCACTAGCAGGTCAAATAAGGTTCAGAGTTGTAAGAGTAACCAAGGTAGTCAGTATTCAAATTGGCAAGTTTCAGCAAAATTTGGTTTAAAAAAACAGAACAAACTTAGCCAAAACTGGCCACAGGCAAAAGAAAAGAAAGTTCCAGCTAGCTGATAGACTAGTTCGTGGATAGAAATTACCAATGTGATGCACCAATCTATTTGTGTGGCTTTGAAATGTGGAGAAGAGTGCCAAGCAAAAACGAAGTGGGGAGAGAAGACCGAACCACAAGACTGCAATCTTTCAATAAAACCCCCAGGCAGAAAAGATCCCAAATGCCCTAGTTTATCCTTGATCAGTAAGCTCAGAATAGTGGTTAAAAGTGAAGCTGTCCCATTGTACTTATGAACCATTTTCCCCTAAATGTGGCAATCAGAGGTAAACCTGGCTCTGATTTCAACATCCTGCTTTCATGTTGGAGGCAGCGAGGAGATCAGTATTAGTCAACATGCGGCTGAATGTATTCTTGATCAAACGCTTCCTTGGTGGACTCTTAGAACATGTTGTAACTTGTAAAGGATGCTATGGAGGGGGAAAAGGGATCTAGGTCAAGGAGAAAAACAAAGTGAGGCAACAGTTATCACACAGGGCCCCAAATAATGTTTGAACCTTTAGAATAGTGACCTTCTCACTAGCTTGTCTTTGGAGGCTGAAATGGAGCCGTTTCATCACAGTCCTCTTCTGACACAATATTCGGGCTATAGGCATTTGACAGCCATTGCCTGGAATGTGAGAATTGCGCCAGTGCATTGCAAAAAGCAAAAATTTTCAGGGGTGTGCCTGTTTTAGCAAAAGGCCTGAACTATTTCAAGTTTGCAACCTTTTCCAGGGTAGTTTTTCCATTCATAACTTTTTCCAGAGATACCAAGTTCTTCATTCACTTCACTTCACTTCACTTCTGCTATTGAGACATACTGACAACAATACTCAGCACTCAAAGAGATTTCCATCTTCAACTATAATAGTTTCCCCTCTCTTAGCCTGACATAAGAATAAATTGTGATTTTTTTTAGATTTTTGGTTAAGTGAACTTGTATGTGAAGGGTGTGTGAGGCTGCCTCATGCTGCTGTATTCAAAACTGTTGAGATGACTGAGATTGCGATATTGCTGTACAGGTGCTGGAAATTCATGGACCAGATTGTGAATATTTTCCTTTCACAGTTTGGTTTTGGGCTTGCACATACCCCACTACAAGCCCATTACAGCCAGGCCTATGAACTCTTAAAATGAGACACTTTCTTTTCCAGTGTATCTGGGTGTGTGTCTTCTCAGCTGAGCCAGAGTCCAAAGCTAGGGCTGTTGTACTAATCTGAGACTGAAGGCGCTCTTACGCTATGATTGGAGAGATTGCTACCTCTTTTGCCTGTACAGAAACTATTTCCATGGGACTTTGATCTTGTCTGGGGACCTTGTAAGAGTGTGTTTCATTCTAAAAATTCCTTACCTTGTCACTCCTGACTAAATACTTATCCTCTTCAGCTGAATTCATGCCCATCCTAGGGACCAACCTGAATCCAGAATTCATTTCTGTGTGCAATAATGCAACCTGGGCTATTGGAGAAATCTGCATGCAGATGGGTAAGTGTACCATATTCCCACAGAGACATGAAAGGCTGGCCTTATGCTACCTGCCACTTGGCAGCAGTGCCCTCTCCTGACTCTGTATATGAGATGAGTGTCTTTTGGCATGTAAACGTTGGCAGAGTTTTTGCTGCTTAGATTACTTATGTCTGAATTAACACTATATTGCAGCTGAGCTTCTTGGGGTTTGGTAAAATGCAATAAAATTGGTTCTGCAACTCCCGTAAAAATAGTTGCATGCCTGTTTTCTTCCATTGCAAGAAGACTTCCTAGCAAGGGCTACAAAATATTTTAGAGGCTGCATCTAAAATATGAGCCGCCCCGATGTGAGCCGCCCCGAGGCTTCGGCGAATGGGGCGGCATAAAAATGTTTTAATAAATAAATAAATCTGCCTCTAGTTTGCTTCTAATTGTGGTCTGTCTGGGAATTGAGGGTCTTTCCCTGTTTGTACGATTTTACTGGTTCATGCTGTACTCTCAAGACTGCTGGGGGCTTTTCTCTACTTCCATCAGGTACTGAGCCAGCAGGTGAAGGATCAGTTTTGTTCCTCTTTTGGGTGAGGGGTGTGTGGAAGAAAGCAGGGTATTAATAGATAGTTTCAAGGTTAAGACCCAGATTCTTAGAGCTATGGCTCAACTGACTGGTTCCTCCTTATCAGGGGCTGAAATGCAACCATATGTTCAGATGGTCCTGAATAACCTTGTGGAGATTATCAACCGGCCAAACACCCCTAAAACACTTCTGGAGAACACAGGTGAGGTAGAATCCTGATTCCTGTATTAATTGCTTTGCTTTTTGTTATCTTTGTGCTTTTATGGTTAATTACCAGTCTGCAGATAAAGGGTTTATGTGTGCCTTTTCATACATCTGCTTTGGAAATAGGGTTTGTTCTTAAATATACAGGAGCATATGATAGAATGTGCAGAAATGGTTGTAAAACTTGGGGAATCTGTGGTTTGTCCCTCCACTAACACTGCACTAATTACAAGCAGTTCACATGTTTCCATTGCTCTTTTAAGGGTCCTATGGAGGCTTTGTTCCTGGATCACAGAGTTAGTTCTCTTTCCTAGAAGCCTCTGCTAGCCGTTTCTGTACACAGCAGTTAAGAAACATGACTCTTAAGCATTTGATTTATCTGTCTACCCGTTCTAACCGTTTTTACTACTGCACTCTGCTCTTTAGCACTCTGGCCTAGGTGCTGTTCTACCATGTGCCTCTTATTAGACCTACCTACCAGTCTCTTTATGCTGCAGAACTGACAAGGCCGCTGCTTTGTGCAGTTGTGACAGGCTTGTTTCTCTCCCCTTTCTAGCCATCACGATTGGACGCTTGGGTTACGTCTGCCCTCAGGAGGTGGCACCGATGCTGCAGCAGTTTATCAGACCTTGGTTAGTGTTTATACTGAGACAGGCGGCATGGCCTTTTGGCCTCACTTTGCAGGGAATGGCACCCTGGGGCCACCCTCTCAACCTGTCAGACACCCAGACTTCATTCTAGAACCAGTAAAGGTGCATCGTTGAGGCACTTCTGTGCAATTAGTTTCTGTCCAGTAGATGCATATTTGACTCCAAACATTGTTCCTCAAGGTTGTAATTCTCTTAGAGGGACATTGCATGTTTCTGACCACTGTATACAACACTTCCTACAACTGTATACAACACTCCCTGTAATTCTTATCGGCCCCATCTGGTCACACAAGGATTGTGGGTAAACATTGGATGCTCCTTGTGATGTTAAAAACCAATAGCAGACCTCTTCCCATGTATCCTCTTTTTTCTCCCCTTCCCCAAGTACCTAGCAATTCTGAATAGCTAATGTTCCATGGTCCAGTAGGGGAAGCATGCTCACTCAGCAATATTTTTAATGCCAGTATGAAATACTTTCAGACTCACACTTTTTCGTACTGAATGAGAGGTCACTAAAATGTAGCTGACCGCATTGATTGATTGATTGGCTTTCTGCTTCCCAGATATTGGCTCTTCAGTTATTTGAAGGTGGTGGTTGGGAGGGATTTGTGGCCTAATTCAACTAATGATCTGTGTTTAAAATAGTATTCTAAACACCCATAAGGGGTGTTCTGATTGCAGAAGCTTGTTCAGTGGAAGAGCACATGGTGGGCAGAAGTTAGGAGAGAAATAATCCAATACTTGACTCTCTGGTAAATCTTGGTCCTTGTCATGTTTGTGTAATTTGTCTCTGATAAAAAAGCTAAGCTAGCTCTTCTCTTGTTTTGTCTTATTATGCATGGGTTTGGAAGAAAGAAGTAATGGATGATGTGGTATGTTTGCTTTTCCCTGCCTCTTTAATACGGAGAGTTTGTGCTCTGGTTCATAGGTGTACATCCCTAAGGAACATACGTGACAATGAAGAGAAAGACTCTGCCTTCCGTGGCATCTGTATGATGATTGGGGTAAATCCGGGTGGAGTTGTTCAGGTAATTATGCTGTGAAATTTTCAAAAGTTTATGTATGCTAGCCTGTGGGTGGGCAATCTTTGACGTGCAGGAGCATCACTGGAAGGAAAAAAGAATGGTTCTCTGAGCGTTTAGAGTAAATTGTTGAGACAGTGCCAATTCAAGGTTAGGTTTGAAGGCACAGAACAAGCTTAAAAGAAGACCAAAAGAAATTTTCTTCAAAATAACCTGTAGAAATGTGACAGGTTGCTATGATACAAAATTACACGAACTCCTGGTGACTAGATCATCAGTAATTCAGGGCCATCCTTCCTATGAAGCAGGGTGAGGTACTGGAGTTGGAAGAGTGGTGAATTGCTCTGCTTCCCAGCCCAGGGACCCCCCCGCCACCTCCAGTGGATGCTTTAGAGAGCACCACCAGCTGTTTCCCTGCTGTGGCATTTGCTACAGTGAAGAAGCAGCCACTCGCCCTTTCACCAGAGCACATAGTCAGCACCTTGTGATATCCCAGCCATGTGCTGAGATATCCCAAGACTGGAGCTCTCTGTTGCCAGTGCTAGTCCAACCCTTGCATAGCAGCAGCAGAAGGGTGGTGGGTTTTCTGGGCTAGGCAGCGGCTGGGAAGAAAGATTGCATGGGGGGCGGGGGGCTCCATCACAGCAGCACGAGTTGTTTTGCTTCAGGCAGCAAGAGAGCTTGCACTGGCCCTGCAGTAAGTGCCAGCTATTGGAGCCAGAAGGTTAACTTGAGTATTTAGAATTGATATATTTTGCTACCAGATATTGAAAGTGGGCAAGTTCATACTTTTTATAAATTTTCTGTTGCTTCTGTCCTGACCATAGTTAGATATTGAGCTAGAGAGATACATAGCTTGTACTTGCATGACATTCCTTAGCTACTCCATTTTAGAACAGAGTTCCCCAATCTAGCACCTTCCAGATGCTCTGGACACTGACTCCCATCAAGATGGCCCAGCATGGCCCATGGTCATGGTATGCATCCTAGGAGTTATACTGTAAAACATCTGAAGTGCTCTGAATTGAGGAAGGTTGGGGTTAGAAACATGGATTGCTAATCCTGATCATGTGGTTCATGAATTGATTTCTTTACAACTTTTTGATCAGTTTTTGTAGAAGTTTTTTTCAGATACATATTAATGGGGAGAGTGTTAACTAACAAACCATATTCGTAAATTTAGCACTGTTGTACAAAGTGCTATTTTTAGCAGATTCCCAAGCAGGATGCAGGTTTGATACCCTGAGGTTCAATTTATTTTCAAGCCCTGTGCTGGTGCAGTGGTAGGAAATCTGATCTCTATTGAGTTAGGATCTGTGTTGAATTTTTCTTAAGAATTCTTATCTTTCTATAGGATTTTATTTTCTTCTGTGATGCTGTTGCTTCCTGGGTGAGCCCAAAGGATGACCTGAGGGACATGTTTTATAAGGTATGGCACTGTAGTGGGAAGAGGACTAGTTTGACAGTGCACATAAATACTTTCACTCCTTGAGGATTTGTGTCAGTTTGGTAAAACAATGAGATTTATTTATGTACTCTTCTATGGCTTCTTAGATTGGTAGGTAAGAACATTTATTGTTGAAACTACTAACTGCAATGTAGAATGAATATGAGCGTATAATGAGTGTGACTGGATAATGAAAACCACCCAGAGAGCTTCAGCTGTGGAGGGCATAGAAAAATTATTCTTACTATCAACAACAACAAGGCTGCCCCAACCTTTTCTGGCATGCCTGTATTAAGTTGCTCTTGGATTTCGTCTCAAGAATTCCTAGCTCCAGATAAGGCTTTTTGGCATCCCAAGGAAAGCCAGATCTAGGACATTTATTGAGTAAAATGAAGAATTTAGAATGCTAGCCCATTTTCAGTCAGCAGATTAATCTGCAAGGCTCCTATAAGCTGGAGTGGACAGTCAGTGAAGCTTGTCTGATGAGTCCAAACAAAGAAGTTCCCAGTTTACATACTTATTTATTACTAGCGGCAAGGAGAGAGGTCACATCTGTGTTGTGGCAATAATGCCGTGAAGCCTAACCCTACAGACATGCAGGTTACATCATCACAAGCTGTTTCTAGCAAAACCACAGTACAAGTTTCTCACCTGGCAAGTTCAGCTGTAGCTAAAGAGCCTACTGATAAGCAGGGTTACGGGGAGGGCCGGCAGATTCTAACAGGCACTACGTACATTTAACTGGCAAGCAAGCTAGTTAGGCACGGGAATGCAGGCCTTGTTATTGTCTCTGAGAGCAAACACCTGCTTATTTTTTACATGATGCCACTTGTGCATCCTTTGTCCACCTTCCCTGCTAAGACTCCTAAACCAGGCAGACTAGGTAAAAGACATGGCCAGCCGATACAGTTGCTTTTGAATGTAGCAGTGGCCAGTTGTGCCTTTTACCAATTCTGTCTGGATTGCTAACTAAGGATATTACAGTATTCTAACCTGTAAGTAACTACAGCAAGAATTACTGTGGTTAGGTACCACCTTTTCAGGCAGGGTTGCCCTTGGGGGAAAAAACCACACACTTGAGCTGATGCAAACTGCTGCTGGGGTCAAGCAGAACGGACTATATTGTGCCAATTTTATGTGCATTTCACTGGTACCCAGTTTGTTTAAAGGCTCAGTTAAAGGTATTGCATTTAACCAGTAATGTAGTTAATGTTCTGGGATCAGGAAATCTCAGGAATCTTCTGTTATAGAAATGTGCTTAGATTCATTCAGCTTCTGAGGTCCCCTTTGCTGGCCCTGTCTAACAGGTTTGGTTGGTGAAAATAAGAGGAAAGGCCTTTCCTATCATTCCCATTTCTCCAGTGGAATTCAGTTGGCTTTGTCATTAGCTTGTTAAAAGAAATCACTGAACTGTGTTATTTTGGAGGGCATTTTAAAAAGTTTTCCTCTGGTTTTTGCTCTCTGTTTTTGTTATTGATTATAAATGCAAATAAATATATCACAGACCTAACTGATATTTCACAGAAGAAACAAGATACAGACTCCAGCTATTAACATATGAATGATTTTCTAGCCCCATTTCAGTGGGGTTTCAGGCACGGCTTTGGAATTAAAACTTACTTTGTCACTCATGGGATGACCTCTGTCAAGAGAGCAAGGAGAATGTTACCCTGTGGTTCCCTGAGACTTCTCAGCATCTTTCAAGATCGTGAGATCTTTCTGGTTGAACTGAATGGGGCATTGGTACTGCTTTGCAGCGGTTCATCTCTACTTGGAACGCCAACTCCAGTGTATAATTCCTGTGAATTGCTGCTGGCCTTCTTTGCAATTAGGATTTTGGGCCCTACAGAGTCTCACCTTGCTCTTTTTGCTGTTTAGCATTTTCATGAATCCACTGGGTGAGATCATCCAGAGATGTGGGCTGCAGTGTTATCAGTAGGACACTCTGCTGCTTCTGTCATCCAATCCAGGAAAGGAAGTAAATTATTCTGAATTAGTGTCTAGATGTGATAAGAAGCCGGTTAAGACTCAGTTTAGATAAATTGGAGGTGCTGTTGGTGGGTGATAGTCCCCCTGTTCTGATGAGGGTTGCACTCGCCCTTTAAGGCATCAAGTGTGCACTTGGGGAAGCTTCAGTTGGTTCAAAACAGGGCAGCAAAATTAATTGGGATGGGATGATCTGACCATGTTATGCCAATACTCTGTCAGATGCACTACCTCCCAGTCTGTTTCTGGACACAACTTGAAGTACTGGTGTTAACCTTTCAAAACGAAATGACTTGGGCCTGTTTACTTGAAGGACTGGCTTCTTCTGCATGTCTGCCTAGAACCTGAGACCTTCTTTGGAGAGCCTCCTTTAGGTGGTTGGCTAGCAGGGAGAAAGAGAGACTTCTGCAGCAGCACTCTGGAATGTCCCCATTAGTGATGCTCAAAGGCGGCCCACTACTGCCCCAGAGGCTACAGCCAGAGATGCTAGGTTCACATCAGGCTACTGGAGGCTAGAGTTGGTAAACTACTGAGTGAGTGTGTGTGTGTGTGTGTGTGTGTGTGTGTGTGTGTGTGTGTGTGTGTGGTGATGGAGATGGAGATGCGCATGTGATGTAGCGACTTACTTCCACCCCTTCCATTTGCAAAAATCTCTTCCTTTTCAGATTCTCCATGGCTTCAAAGATCAAGTTGGGGAAGAGAACTGGCAGCAGTTCTCTGAGCAATTTCCCCCACTTCTAAAGGAGAGACTTGCTGCATTCTATGGGGTCTAGGTGAAGCAGCAACATTGTACTCGGTGAGTCTGAAACATGTGGAAAAGCATTTCATTGCAAGGATCGGATGTTGGGGGGAGGAATAGTAAGGGGAAGGAAGAAAGTGCAAAGAAGGGAGCAGTTATTGATGGGAGAGGCCTGGAAGCAAGAAGTTAATTGAGTTTTGGCAGTTTTGAGAGGGAGAGAGTTAGACTATGCCTGCTTGATTGTCATCTTCTCAGTTACTCTGTTCCAGTGCATTTGACATGGAGCAGAGGGAAGAATGCAAGAAGGGAAAGTGAAATCATGCAGTGAACTTCCTGGATAGGGATGGTCTCACTGTCCATGAGGCAGCTTGGAAGCTCATGCAAAAGGGAACCTTTTGCTGTGGGATGTGTAGGCAGATGGCAGTGCAGGTAAACACAATCTCGCCCAACTGTACTTGTTCCCCTGCTAATGAACATAGTTCACAGTTTTTCCCTATTAATATTCCTCACAGAAGGAAGTCCTGTGGCTCACTGGTAGAGCCTCAGCTTTGAATGCCAGAGGTCTTAGGGCTGATCCCCAGTAACTACTGGTAGGGCTGGGAAATCTCCTGCCTAAAAATGCTGCCAGTCAGCGTTGACAATATTGGGCTGAATGAACCAAGGGTCCAACCCAGTATTAAACTGTAAGACCTCCTATGTTCCAGTGCGTGGTGAAGGAATGCAACAGTAGAGTTCAAGATCCACCACATTCTGCCATTCCTGTCGCCATGATATGACTGAACTGCAGAGCTGTTGTTAGCAAGGGCTACCGGTGGCCATGCTGTGCAGTGTAAGCAGAACGCCGTGGAGTCCCTAATGGGGCTGCTAGAGAAGTCCGAGTACTGTGGGCAATGGAGAGGCAGGAGAAGGCAGGCTTGCAGTCTGAATGCCTTCTGGCAGCCTTTGTTTCTGTTTAATGCCGATTCTCTCTTCTTTCCCCAGGTTCCTGTGTGCGCTGGGAGGGATGCTGGGAACTCGTCCACAACCCAGTGTTGCAGATCCCTGTTAATGGGGGGTTAGGGAGGACGGGAACAGCATTGTGGGACATAAAATGACTTCGCTCCCCATCTCCTGAAATTTACAAAGTTGGGGGGAGGGTGGGCCTCCGTGACCAATTTAAACAAAAACCAGGGTATCTCACTGGCAGAAGGAAAGTTCTCTTTATTCTGAGGCCCTCATTGATGGAGCGGGGTGGGGTGGGTCTCGGCCCTGGGCTGAGGAAGGGGAGCAATCTTAAACTGCAACACTCTTGAGAAGGGGATCTAACTAGGGGCCATCATAAAGGACTAGCTAATAATAATACATAAAGGATAGGGTTTAAGATGTTAAAACAGGATTAAAAGCTATAATGGTTTAAAACCAGCAGATGAAGAGGGAAGGGTTAAAACTCAATCCAAGGGGGTTATACTACTGTATATTTCCAGTCACCGGTGTTCAAGAGATCAGCTATTCTTCGCCTTTTCCAGACTGCATGGTGACCAAGAAGTAGACTAGCGAATCTGTGAGTAGCCCATAAGTGTCAGCATTTTCATCTAGGAATCTTAAGGAAACCCACAAACCCTTTTTGCCATAGTTGCCATGGCACTGTGTGCTGGATGTGATGCTCAGAGCAAAGGCAGCCTGTGACCTTGTGGGGACCTGTCAGCCATATAGGGAGCAGAACTTACCGTAAGAAATACTGTTGGAGAAGCATGTCTCTGTTTTTAAGAAGATGCCACAGTGCAATGATTGTTACCCTGTTGTTCAGCTGTTACTTTGTGACATGGCTATTACATTACTTCAGCTGTAGGAGGCAGCAGAGAGCAAGGAGCGAAAACTGCATTCATCTGGGAATGACTGCATGGGCCAAAGGTGGGCAGAAGACAGTGTACACTTGATTTTTGCGTGACACATAACTTGTGTCCTGTGCTTTTGTGGCCAGAGTGGCATTTGTTCATAACAGTAGCTTAACGCTCTTAAGGGAATTCAATGCCACATTAATCACTTTGGTTGGTAAAAGGAGCAGTAAACATAACCAGGTGTAGAGGAATTTATAAACTGGAGCCCTTCCATGCATGGCCAATGGAAGCCTGTAGCTTTTGCTGCATGCTTAAGGGAGTTACTGTCTTAAGGAATTCTCATTAAACCCAAATCAGTTTAGTCCCTGGAAATACAACCGGGGGTTGGCTGAATGCATTTGATCTGTGAAGCCATAGCTTTTTAATAGTAAGTGGAGAGGACGTGAAGCAGAAGCAAGCCTATTTTCTCAAAGGCAGCTAGGACATGGGGGAAAGGTAGCACTGCTTCACCCGATACAAACAAGGTTTAGAGAAGTCAGGAGTGCTGGAGTGGTGAGGGAAGTCATCAGGAATATTGTTCCGAAGCAACGCAAATAGAGCTTGTTCAAGGAAGTGTTTGCCAACAGGCAGCATGCAGAGGAAAAAGAGAACCATGAGCAGCGCCACATCCCCCAGAATCTGAGCGGATCCCCGTGGAGCATCGGAAGCATGAGGATTAGTTGCCAGACAACCAGGCTGAACTGTGCCTCATAATCCTGCATTGCTCTCGTGGTGGTAGACAAAGTGATGGGACTCCTTAGATACTAAAGAAGATCTATTCAAGAAAGGATGGATGTCCCTTTCTGGGTTAAGGAGATGCTCTTTAGACAGCAGTTGATGGTGACATTCTGGGTACTATGGGATGAATTTTTGAAAGTGTATTTGTGAGATTGCTTAGTAACTTAAACTTCACTGATATACCCTGTCCTTTCCTTTTCTTCCTATCCCTGGCCTCCGTTTTACATGTTGCAATACTTTGCAGTTCACGCAACTTTGTCATAGAACTTGGTGGAACGTTACTGTCAAGGCCTTAGGGCCTGGGCCTTTTTAGCATGGAGACAGCAACACATCCAAGTGAGAACTGCTTTTGTACTGATCCTTGAATCTGATTGCTCGGGATCACTCCTGCACTTGTCTGTGATGGCTGGGTTTAAGAAATGGAAGTAAACTTGCAAATGCATTCCTCAATTCCTTGTCTTTTTAATCGTGTGGAACTTGAGCAGGTCTCTGGAGGCAATCAGCTAGTTCTTTGCATTTTAATAGTTTTATTACAAGTGTTCCCTCTTGTGCCTCACTCTCAACTTCCTCTATTCTGAGAGGGTGGAAGCAGAGGGTTCTGTTTGAGAGCAATTTATTTTTAAACACATGAACAAGAAATATGCACAGATAGCAGGTGGAATCCTGGCTTGTGCTTCTAAACTACATGTCCAGAAATACAGAAAGAAGGCTGTGAACTCTTCATCATCCAGTGAAGTTTAAGCTACTTGGCCTGACTGCCTCTTGAAATGGAATATGTCTTTTGTACAAGTGCTTCTAGTATTGCCTCCTGTTTGTTAATCCTGGATTTGTATATTTGTAAATGTGCCGTAATGTTTCCAATGGTGGAACTGCAGTGTACCTAGTGTTGAAGCAGCTGCTTGCACCTTGCTCAAATGAGATTTTTCTCATTTTATGTATAATTTTTTTGTCAACTAAAAAAAAAACCTCTTGTGACTCCAGTTTCCATGTTTCCGCCCATTTTCTTTTCCCAGGTTGATTGGTTTGCATTTATCTTCCAAGATAACAATGGGGTGACCAGTTACTATAAAATCCCAAATAATATTTACCAATCCTTCTGTCATTCTACCTTGCTGAGAGAGGGAACTTCAGGGGGAACCCTGTGATTTGTTGTGACTTCCATGGCTTTGATAGCATTTTCAATTTTGTCAGTTGTAGTATGTATACTGGTAAAATTACAGGCACAGAAGTCAACCAGTATTGTATGGAGTGTGCTGTTGTGAGCAATCTTGTTTCCAGCTCTTGTGGCTTTATGCTTTGCGTTGATCTGCTTCCTATAAACTGGAGTCCTTTTTCTTGTCAAGGAAAGCTTCAGTAGTGTTGAGGTCCACAAATTCTCCAGCAAAGAGGAAGGTTATGGAGGTGCTTGAATAATCCATCTTCAATTTAAGACTAGAAAGGCAATTATTATATGGAAAACCTTATTCTTGGCATGTCAAATAGACTGTTGGGATTTATATAAGTTTGTAGACGTGTTTTCAGGCAAAGGCTTTGCTCTCGTTTTGATAAAGCCAGAAGATCAGTTTTGCGCAACATATTTATTGATTTATATCCTGCCTTTTCTCTTTTTTAAAGAGTGGCTTTACATCCTCCTTCTCCTCTCAGTCTTATCTCTGCAACAACAATTTGTGAGATAAGTTGGGCTGAAAGTCTCTGACTGGCCCAAACCCACCCAGTTGGCTTCATGGCTGAGTGGGGACTAGAATGCATATTGCCTGATTTTCAGGCTCTTAACCACTATACTCTCTGACTTGCTATCATATTAGTATCACAAAAGGACTGATATAATTAACCAATCAGACTGATAAACCTAGTCCAAATTGTAATTCATCTTTTGGGGCAGCAGGTAGGAATAATGAACATGTTCAGTTCATTATTGTAATAAACATTACAATACATTACATGTTCATTATATATTAATGCACACCCTGTTGCTTCAGGGTGTAATCCGATGCACACAGGCAGGAAAAAAGTTCCAGCAAGCATTGCTGGCTAGGATCTGGGAGTTGTGAGGCTGTTCTGCCTACTCATGTATAAGATTCCATACTAAGTAAAGTGTAGCCTAGAAGAGCAAAGGTTATTTGTGCATGTATATAATTCCAATTTCTCTGTTTAAATAAAGGTCTAAATTCTTACATTGGTTCACACCAAAATGTGTGGAGAACTTTTGTGACTTAACCATGTGCGATAAGTGGGTAATTTGTCGCTCCCGATATTTTAAGTCTACAACTCCCACCCACTCTAGCCAGGACTGCAACATCAGGGAGGCCACCTTTACCTAGGTCTGTTCCAAAGAAACACTTTATGATGCTTTAAAAACTGCCACGACTGGGACAATACTGTGCAAGTAGTTCTGTTCAGCGAAGTGGGGATCCTACCAAAGGAAGCAGGCCTACTTAAACCTGAGCAGGGGCAACCTGAACACGTCTGCCTGCGCAAAAAGGCAACAGTAGTGGCATGGCCGGTTAACAAGCAGCCTTCAGAGCAGCGCTAAAATAGCGCTGCGCCCCCCGCCCCCCAGTGCCAAGCTACGGCGCAGGCATGCAGCGGCGGCGTCCTTCTCCCCATACCTACGAAGGCGGAGCGGCTGGGGAAAACTGCGGAGCTTGCCCTGAAACGGCCCCATCAGAAGGCCGGCCTTGTGCCGTCATTCCGCGGCTCCGGAAGTGGTTTCTCCTTAGAGACGGGACGCGCGAAGCCGTCAGCGCCGCCTGCCCGAGAGAGGCTGCCTGGGCTGGTGACCGTCGCGGTTCCGCTTCGCGGCAGCTCGGGCCAAGGGTGAGAGGGGCGGTGATCTGCGTGGCGTTCTGGGAGACCGGAAAGCGGGCGGCTGCAGCCTGCCTGCGCCTTCCCAGTGGGGCTGCAGCATCCTTGCAGCGCCGCTGTGGCGGGAGTGCGCTGTTGGCTGGGGTCGGCGGAGGAGCGGGCTCGCGGTTCCTGGGTCCGCTGCCCCGCGGGGCGGAATCGTCCTCCTGCTCTGTCCCCAGGATTCCTGCGGAGCGATGAGGGTGTGGGCAGCGCGGGGAGGCGGTCGCAGGACAGGAAAGCGCCAGCGCCTCCTTCCTCTGGCCGGCTTTTCTTGATCTGGGTGGCTGTGAGCCAGCCCAGGAGAAGCGCGAGCGGGTTTTCAGACATTGCTTCCAACGTGACAACCGGTGAAGAAAGGGGCAGGGCGCCCTGGCGGGCTCTCTGTGGCAGCACTGAGGAGAGCAAAGGTTCAGCCTCTCACACCTCTGGGAAAGAGTCCATTTCAGACCTTGGCCACGCAGGAGGTGGGTGGAGGCGCTGTGGGCATGGCCCTGCTTTCCTCCGTCCACACGTTGCTTGGAAGGGCCGAGCAGAGCCGACGTCAGTTGAGCCCTTTCCGAGCAATCGGCAACGCTGGGTTCCTGATCCCTTCAGAGGTTTAAGGTACAATCCTATACATGTTTACACAGAGAAAGGCCTGCGACTCCCAGCATGCCCTAGCCAGACGTGTATAGTATGCTGGGCGTTGCCAGACAGTTTCCTGACCAAACACCCACAGGATTGCACCCTGGCTTGCATAGGCTGTGTTGGTGCAATCTCGCTCTGTGCCCACCAGTAGCACCATTGAAGGAGAGTGTGAAAAGGGGGAAGTAATGAGATCATCTTTTAATTGTGGTTCATGAGCTCACCTGCTTGCTCATTTGCCTAGTCAAGGATTTTTCTTTCTTTTTATGTTAGGAGCTTCAAACCTATTCCTGTGAAAATTTTTATGTAAAAATATTGACCTGAATTTTTCTGACTTAAAAGCACTGCAGCCCATGCCAAACATCTTGAAACCATTTACTGACCAGCGAGTAAGTTACTGGTTGCCCTCTTACAAATAAATGAAAAAATATGCTGGTAATACTGTATAGCAGTCATAAAACAGTGCACAAGTCTAGTTGTACATCTCCTTACCTGAACTCTTTTTGTTCCCTGTGCAGCTAAGCTATGGATGCTGACCCAGATTGTTCTGCTGAAAACCAAGGCTCTGACAATGACTCTGACACAGAGAGCCAAGCAGATCCAGATACCCAGGCCCAGGAGTACATCGAACGTGTTCTTGGGTCTTCCAGCCAGTGTTGTCAGGCATCCAAGTGCCTGCCTCCTGAATCTCTCTCGATCAGTGATGGAGCCCGAACATCAGAACGCATGTCTCCACCTCTGGAGCTTAAGAAGTCTCCTGTTATTGATGAGACAGCTTCAGGACTGTTATCTCTTCCTCTGGAGCTGATCTTGGAGATCTGTTCCTACCTGCAGGCCAGGTTTGTCCTGGGTGTTCTTCCTTTGGTCTGCAAGACTCTGAGGGACATTGTGCAGGATGAAGTCACTTGGAGAATTCGCCTGCTCAAGAGAATTGGCAACTGCTATCCTGTAGTGGAAGGTGCATTCTATTTCTTTCTATAATGATATTTTCTTTTGTTAGCTCAAATGCAGTTTAGTTATTCCAAAGTAGCTTCTCATGTGTTCAGTAAAGCTTTGTTTCTGTGTAAAGTTGTAAGTGGCATTTGTCTCGGACAGGACTAGATGATCTGATGCCCTCTGATGTTTGGGATTATAACTCCCATAATTCCTGACTGTTGGCCATGCTAGCTGGGTCTGATGGGTGATATTATTGCAAACATCTGGAGGGCACCAAGTTGTCCACCTCTGTTCCTAGGTGTTGAACTACTGGGGAGAGGAATGGAGCAAAAGAATGAAGTTCCTTTGTTTGAAAAGGAAAATAGAAGTTAAATATGTGGAGGCTGATTGTGTGGTTGTGTAATAAATCCTGGGTGGAATGAAGTAAGCGTGTTCATAGCCTTTCTTCCCGTTACATTCTCTTTCTTCTTTGTTTAGCTGTGCCCTTCATTTCCAGAGAGTTGCAGTTAGGTTCTGTAATGCTGCAACAAAGTGATAGGACTGAGCACTGGCCCTTGCAATGGAAGATAATACACTTCCACTCCCCAAACGGAGAGATAACAAAATTGATCACATTCCACTTTTTGTGATGGTGGTGCTTTCTGCTTGTTTATGTTTTTCTGTGAGCTTTTTTGCCTTTTCATTGTGATTTGTTTAACCACTTCAAAGAGAAAGCAGTATATAAGCTGTGTGCATAAAACATTAAACTTGTCCACACTGCTTGAAATTATTCTGCACAGCCCAAAGAGGAACAGCGTCCCTTTATGGCCCTTTTGTGTTTTGGCAGATGACGACTTTAACTGGCCAGCTGCCTGCATTGAACTAGAAGAACACCTCCAACAATGGGCAGAAAACGGCAGGAACACAGAGTACTTTTCCCTTGCAGAGGGGCACTTTGCCTCAGTCGACACTGTGCTGCTCCTCCAGGTAAAACCCATGCTCCCTCTGTGTCGTTTTCACTCATACGGCATGATGGCCAGGCAGAGCAGGCAGTTCATCACATAAATAGCCAGTTAGAAAGTTCGGTCAGGAATGTGTTCTTCTCCATGCTTATGCATCGGAGGTGAGACTTTACAAAAGTCAACAAATTGTTCACAGAGGTTCCACTTTGGTGCTATGCTAAGCTCTCTCCTTGTGCCCCGCTGCCTTTCCTTTCACACTACCCAAGCTCAAACCGAATGATTCCAGCTGTCGCATCTAGAGCAGGTTATGCAAATGCACACATAACAACACAATTTTTCTTTTTGCAGACATTGGTTCTGAGGGCCTGCCATTACTCCTCTTGAGGAGGAGGAGAAGCGATGGCTCATTTCTTCCAGTTACCAATTATTTGTCATCTTATCCAGGGCGGTGAGCTCTGTGTTTCAGGTTCTCGGGATCGAAATGTCAACTTGTGGGACCTGAGACAGCTGGGCAGAGCACCAGAAAATGTGCTAGTGAAGACACTGGGGACAGAGCGCAGTGGCACACACAAGGTAACCAGAATCCATAGCCTGTGATCCGTAGATCAGTAATAGCCGTATTAGGAAAAAAACCCCATGCCGTCAACACATCCCCCAAATATCCAGTGGTGTCAGATCACTTCCTTTCTCAAAGGGTGGGGGCTGTTTCATCTTATAATCTCCCCCAGTGGCTCCTGCTGTCAGTGAGCATGAGCACATAATCCTCACTCCCAAAAATCTCAACACTGACCACTTTACAACATTAGTAAATTCAGTCCCCAGACCCAACTTGCCATTACTGCCCCTATCTTTTGCACACAACAGCGTATTGGTCTAAAACATTGAGAGTATAAAAATCAATGAGCAGCCAGTCTGTATTGCCCCCCACCACACACAAGGGACCCATGCCCTATAACAAAAAAACAGCAATTTTGGAAAGAAGGTAGTCTCTTGTGGCCGAAAATTGGTCTCTCCTTCTCTGGCTGGAGGCCCTGCTTCTGACCAGAGAGTGACTAGTCCCTATGAAAGGGACGGGGTGTCAAACCACATGAAGCATGTCAGTGCCATCAGGCTCAAAGTTTCTGCGGTGCAGGATTGGAACAAATTTTTCAGTCTGAACAGACACTTATTTCCTGAGTATCCCAGTTCTTCTATCCAACTGGAGTGAGATGAAACATGTATGTCCTTAGAGGGAGAAAGCACAGAATCTTTCTCTGTCTGTGCTTATTCAGTAATGTGAGTGAATAGCTGAACAATGATTTTTTCTGGAAAGGGTCAATTAATTGGACTTGCCCATAACATGTGAGGTTGCTTTCTTCGGAATGAATTTCGCTTGTTATTAATATGCCACCTGAATGATCCTGCAGCATTACTCAAGAGTTGGAATAAGGTCTGAAATGTATTGGTGGGTCTTTCTTCCTCTTTTTTGCTCCCTAGGGATGGGTCTGGTCACTGGCTGCAAGAGATGGCCGCGTGTGCTCAGGGTCCTGGGACAGCACAGTGAAACTGTGGGACATGGCTGCTGATGGGCAGCAGTTTGGAGAGATCAGGTAACGTGGTCTCGGTGCCTTCTCTCGTGATTTCTCCTCTGAAGACCTAAACTTGGTGGGGCAGAATCTGGAGTATTGTCCACCCAAGAGAAGGCCTTGCCTGGCTGTTCTGGGTTCAACGCTGTGTTTCTTAGGCAGTGTTGAGGCTTGCAAGCTGTTGCTTGGACCCAAGCAGGTGTGGTGCATATGCAGAAAAGCAAGTTGTTAGGAAGAGTTAGGCCATGGGATAGTGAAACTGGAGGTGCAGGCAAAAAAGAGTGGCACATTCAGGCTCTGTAATGAAGGGCTTTAGATGCTCGAGCTGTTCAGCTTTGAAGATAGCACTGGGTACCAGATGGTCTGCCTGATCTTTTTATTTATTTAGGCTCTTTTAAAAGCCAGACAGAGGGATCTAGGCAAGGGGAACAAGGGGAAAGATGATGTTGCAGAAAGAAGACTATCCATTCTTCTGATATGAACCTGGGATGGAACAGGCAGGTAGAAGAGCTACTTCCCAGCTGATCTTGCAGCAAACATATGAGTGGTAGTTGCTTCAGTCTCTCCAGCCATTTCACAGGGCAGGTGGTGGTGTGTAGCCATGGAAGGCAGTCAAGTGGGAACCAGCAAAGCCCTCTTCTGAATCTTGTCAGTCAAGAAAGAAGGTCTAAGGCTGAGCAGAGCTGTACTGACTCTCTTGTATGCATTTGACCAACGTGTCCTTGCCCCTCACCTGCCTATTTCCTTCTCCTCCTAGAGGGAAAGCAGCTGTGTTGTGCCTTTCTTATCTGCCTGACATCCTGGTCACAGGAACCTATGACAAGAAGGTGACAGTATATGACCCACGAGGTTAGTGTCAGCTGTTCCCTGCCACTTTGGAGCCTCCTTGCAAGAGGGGGAGAGACAAGCTCCTGACCTTTTCCTCAGTGGGAAGAAGAGTAGCCAGAGCAAGCAGCAGCTTCTTGCTGAGGCTTCCAAAGCAGCTACAGCTTAGCTGTCTCAGCTTGCCACCTTGGGTGGAAGGCTGGGTGATGCCCATTGCCACTTGCTTAGGCTAGAAAAGTGTGAACGATTTACGGGGCAACTCCTTGCTGCTTTCTATCTCTAACAGAGGTAAGAAAGTAGGGGGAACTGGCCAAAGAGCCACCCGAGGAAGCTCCACCCTCTCTTCTTGCAGTTTTTGCCTAGTGAAAAGAGGAGACATCAACTGGAAGACTGTGACCTACAGGGGAGAGAACATGTGTCTGAGGTGTTAGCCGAACAAGCCTATCTCGTGTAGGAATCTGGACTCCTGTGACGTATCTCTTGGCTCTCTCTCACAGCTGCTCAAGCCCTAGTGAAGAGCCGCAAGCTTCATTCCAGTGCAGTCCTGTCCCTTGCAGCTGATGAGCGCTTCATCATCTCTGGTAGTGAAGACCGAACACTGGTGTGCTTTGACAGACGAGCCAACAGCGTCCTTCAAAGGCTGCAGGTGAACTGTAGATCTTTCATATCCTTTCTTTGAGATGGAGCCAAAAGATCCATGGAAAAACAAGCGGGTAAAACTGGAATTAGTGTGTGTGTTGGGGGGTGTATTTTCAGTGTTCAAGGGAACACTTAACTCTTCTTTGTAAATTTGACTGCTGGTTCCTTCTGGATTGGTGGAAGGGCTGGAACTGTCAACCACAGCCCTGACTTCTGTTTGTCTCCAGCCTGGGTTGTGTGATGTGCTCTGTATGATGACATTCTGAAGATGCTTGGCTCAGCAAGCCAAGTATTTAGAGTTTATTGAGGTATGTATCTGGCCTTGGCCGACTGTTTTTCAAAATGACATTGCTCTTACCTGATCTTTATTTTTTAGAATTTAGCCTATCAGAAACAAGCCTGCATGAGGGATGGTCAGGAGGGTGGATTTTGCGATGCATTCAGGCCAAACATTATATATTATAGTTTGTTCAACTAAAGAGAGAACCCACTTGAAAGGTGTGAACTTAAAAAGCTGAGTGTTGTGCCGGTGGGAAGCAAAATCAATAAAACCATTCTAAATCATGTTAGATTGTATACCTCAAAGCTAAAACTATGGGCTTAATTTTAAACTGTGGTTTTGCATTGTGTCTGCACCTAGCCTCAAGTCTTGTTAATTTCCATATCTAGGCTATAGGATTTCCCTCAAGGTTGTTCAGGCGTGTGGCACTTACTTTCTATTATAATATATATGGCATAGTCTGTTTACTTAAGCCACTTAAGTCACTGGAGCTGGGTTTCCGCCTTAATTCCTTTCAAACAACAGATTTTTTTTTTTTTTTTTTTTTGCTTAAGAGCTATTATTTCCAGTATACAGTTGGAAACTACAGCCACCGGACGCTGAGCCTCTGTGCATGAAAAGAATGATTCTTTGAACCCAAACTAGAAACTATTTCCAACAACCCTTCTTTTCAGTGACCCTCTGGGTGTGCCCCTCTGGAGAAGGGCTAGATGCCTGGATCTACGCAGCCTCGCTGATTGGGTAGCTCTTCTCTCCCAACACTCTGTCATGGGGCCAGGGACCCAACCAGCTCCTCCTGTTCCTCTCCCAGGTCCTCTCCTTGCACTTCCAAGCTTTGCCTGAACACCTGGGAATGGTGACCTTGAGATAACCTTACAGTCCATTCTCTCTGAGTCCATGCTCTTCATTTCCCAGCCCTCATCCAAAGAGTCAGTTCCACCCTGGCCCTGGGAAGCGCACCAAGAATAACTGCCTCTTTCATTCCCAACACTATGCACCGTACTAAGCCAATTCCTATGTAAAGGCACGTGTTTCTTCCTGCTGTTATAATAATATTAGTTCCTTTCCTTCCCAGCTGGACTCCTACCTCCTTGCCATGTCATACCAGGGTAATCAGCTATGGGCTGGAGATAACCACGGACTGCTGTATGTCTTTGAGAACAGAGGAGGGGGCTTCCAGCACATCCGGGTATGCAGACAGACATTGAAGAGGGACCGAGAAATACAGTTCTTCCCTTGTCTCTGCCCACAAAATAAGTTGTGTTTTGAAAAGTACAGCATAAGATGCTGTGTGCAGTGGATTATAAAGTAGTTGTAGGACACTGCTGAGATTTACCTTAGACGTCTCATGAGCTTTAACCCTTTTTCTTGCTTCTTTCAAGAAGTCACTTCTGAACCCAATCTTTCCCTGAAGTAGTATAACAGAACCTAATAACTGACTATAGAAGACCCAAATGTGTTAGGAGAAGGCAAACATGCTTGCACTGTTTCCTATAACACATTCAAGGTCTCACTGTTTGTTCTTTCCACAGTATTTCGATGTGGGTCATCACTCCCAGATCACTGGGCTCCAGCACTCACTGGGTGCATTATACACAACGTCCACTGACAAGACACTGCGTGTAAGTTGCAGTTCTGAACTAAGGAAGAATGAATGAGTCTGTTTCTGGTCCATGTGACCTTTGCATTTAATTTGTTGATATGGCCATTTCTGCATTAACCTGCAATTTTTAAAAATTGCAGAAAAGTAATACTTAAGTATACATATTTTCTTACAAGCATACATTTCTAAATGCATTTTTCTCCAGAATACACATTTTTATATGGTGCCTGGAACCATTTTGCAGCTGGGAACAGCATTGCACAATTCAGAGAAATGCAAAATGGAAAGAATAACCATGCTCTGGTGTGCATGTTAGATCAGACTGGTTTACTCTACAATGTAGAGTGAACTTGGGCATCCCTGTGGTGAATTCCCATGCAGACCTGAGAGACAGGTCCTGCTGTATGCCATCCTTCATTTGTGAGAGCAAACCAAAACCCTGCCCACTGACTCTCCCAGTTTTCTGCCTGAAAAGGCAGAGCATGAATCATGTACCTTGCAGGTCCAGATACAGCAGCCAAAACTCTTGGATTCTACCAGCAGCTGTGGAAAGGGCTAATGCCTTAGAAGAAGGATCATGAAGAATGATGCGGACCAGAGCCTGCTCTTTCCCCAACAGGTTTCTATGTCTCGGTGTGCAATTTCATTGCTTCACTCCCCACCTTTAGCACTCTCATAGGCCGTTGTTCTGGGCTATGGCCTGTGTCAATTGGCTGAAGGCTTCCTGTGACTTCCTAACTCTGTCCCACAGGTTATTTATTCTGCTCACTTCCCTTGTGTATGTAGTTCAGCAGAACCATCTTTTCCTGTTTGCCAGACCTTCAGCTCCCAGGCCTGAACCTCTGGGATTTCTCTTCCAGATCCATGTTCCCACAGATCCACCGAAGGTCATCTGTTCGCGGATGCACAGCTGTGTGCTGAATGGGGTAATGGCATTGGGGATAGAGATGCTAGTAGATGGTGTTCCAGACCATTTGTATTGGTTCCTGCTCAAGAAAGGGAACATTAGAGCTGGGCAAAGGGAAAATATGGGGAATGAGCATCCTTGCTTGTCTTTACTGTCTGGTATCGGGCACGCGGGCTGCCTTCTGGCTGCTGTGGGCCTTGCTCAACCTACAGGTTCCACCCCCACTTTCTCTTCTTTTGCAGATCAGCGCTGAAGGAAACATAGCAGTGGCTGCCTCAGGGGGTCTCTCTTTGGAAGTCTGGAAGCTCAGTGTGTGATGACAAGCCCCAAAGCGATCCGTGCACACAAATACAGGGGTGTCGAGTCCAGGGTCTTGGACAACATCCCTTCAGTGTCCTGAGTTCAAGTGCCTGGTGGGTTGTTGGTTTTTGTTTCTCATGCTCTCTGGAGCAGTGAAGTCAGGGGTTGAAGGTTCAGCCTCAACTTTTCCCGGGTAGCTATAGGAGAGAGGCTTGCTCCCAGACCAATGCGCCACCTCAGAATCAACCCCCCTTCCTGCCAGCTGCCTGCTCTCCTTCCTTCCTGTGGCCCCCCATGCTCTGATATGCACACTTCTATGGGCCCACACTCAGCACAGAGGAGCAGCTGTTCAGATGCCTAAGCAGGGCAAGGTCAACTTGAGGAAGATGCATTGTGGGCACAAGAATAGCAGTGGTTTAAAGGATCTTCTGGTGACCTTGTTCTGATCCATGTTTACAGTTTAATTAAAGATGTTCTAAAGAGGTTGATCAGGAGTGATGGTGTCTTCCTCTGTTTCTCATGCCTAACAGTAGTGTATACTTTCAAGCACAGCTCTTTGTGGAACTCAGTTTAGAAATGAGAAATAACACTTATGAGCTAGGCAGGACCCTATGGATAACTTTGCACAGTTTTAGCAACAATGCCAGTATAATTTATAAAGGAATGGATGGAACCCTGTTTTACCTGATATATCGAAGTTGCCAGCTTAACAGTGGGCAGCTGAATTTTTATCAGGTGGTTGTACTTTCTAGCTCAGAGCTGGTACAGTGTGTGGAATTTGTTTATGAATTATCTAGCAAAAGCAAATCATATATTGAAACCTTAGCCTTTTAGCCTTGTTAATGGTAGTGGTATTAGGAGGCTTCCAACATTTTAGTTACAGGAAGTAGTTCTTGACATTTCTTTCCACATTGTTTTGGGTAGGTAAAACTGTTAAACCAAACCAGAGTGTAATAAATAATATATACACAATCACAATAAAATAATGGGGAAGCTTTTTTAGTTCTATGTGGTCATTGCTCTACCATTATTCATTCTCCGTCTCTGTCTGTCTGTCTGTCTCTCTCTCTCTCTCTCTCTCACACACACACACACACACACACACAGACTGAGCAAGTGACCTCCTGATGTAATACATGATTTCACCATCATTTACATAGAGAAAACAACTCTGTTAGATGCTGAAAATGCAAGAAGATGCATAGGATGCTCACACAATACAGCCAACAAACAAAAATCAAGGTATTACTTGAAGGAGCACGCACTTGGAACTTGGCTCCCTTACAGACTAGCAGATGTCCTTTTCTCCTTAAAGGGATTCATTGAAGCTGGGATACTAGTCAGGAGTGGTTCCTGTCTAGCATATTCCATAGACTACTGCAGCAAGTCACTGGCTGTTCAGAAGACCTGCAAGGAGAGCAGTGTGGGGTGGGTGAGTGAAGGAAGAGTTTAGCATGATGGAAAGAAGACTGTTCTTCCCTGGAGAGAAGGCTGCAAATTGGAACTCCTTCACTGCTTTGGAAAGCATGGGCTCCACACAACCACCATCCTCGTTCATCCTACCCCATAGTGAATTAAGAGAAAATACCACTATCTCACGCAGTGGCTAGGAGATTCAGTTACAGCTCAGGAAATCTCCAGTTAAAATCTCATTTTTCTCAGCTACCCATCTGTGCTATGGAGAAAATTTGTGGAAAGGATTACAAGTCAGTATTTGCAAGTGTTCTACAAGGTTAATCTTTCTGCCAAACCCCGCTGTTGGTTTGAACGCCTTTAGAGTTGCTCCTGATATTGTAAATGGGATTGCTGAGCCCAGGTCAGAGTGGAAACCCATCAATCCCAATCTCTGACAGGCGAATAAAGCTTCTTTTGGCAAGCAGGAAGTACTGCTTGTCACAGTGCCCATGCTGGTCTCCTCCGCATCACTCTCCTTGGCAATGTTGCTCCTTCAGCTCCCATCACACAATCCAGGGAGAAAGTGGACAGGATGTTAGCACACTGTCCCTCCAGAGAGTGAGCAGGGCAAGTGCCAAGGTGCAGTGCATACATCTTCATGACATGGTACAGGATGAGAGGGGGAAACGGAATGGCAATTGCATCATTTTTTTCCCAGGACAGATTTTTTTCCCTGAGGAAGAACTCTTGCTCAAGAATCAGCGGCCCAGGACCAGAGGGGGGCAGTCATTCTTGGAACTTAACTCCCTTAACATTCATGGGACCTGAAGTAGTTGCAACTAACCCCTCCCACTGACTGTGGTCTGATTTTGATGCCCGCAATTGGGGGAACAATAGCACCCCCCCACCCCACTTGGCTACGTTCTGGTCAATCATCCCAGAAACACTGGGTGGGGAGCCTCAGGCCCATCAGCCAACTCTGGCCCCTTCCCAGGATTCTGGCCTGTCCTTACGTCACTGAAAGGTTATTGGATTTAGCACATTCCCCCTGCCATTCTAAAAGGCTGAAATGGCTCTCTTGAGGCTCAGATATGAAATGAAGAGCTTTAAGTGAACACAAAATGGTGTGTGGTCCCACCCCTTTTGCCAGAGGCCCCCCTCACAATTGGAAGTTTCCCCACAGCAGTAGAAAAGGAAGATTGTGGATGTATATTCCAACGGGTCCGTTCAGCTGCTGAATCTAGCAAAGAATGGTAACTGTGCGTTGTACTGATAGCCACAGATAAGTTCCAGGTCCTAGTGGAATGCAGTCCACACTAGCCTGCTTTCTAAAATGGGGTTGCTGCAGCAGGACCTGTTGTTTTTGTCCAACCCACATCCCCAGTGGGGTTAATGAATCAAATCAAGACTGACCCACATCCTGTCCAACCTGGGTCTCAGTCAACAGTTGTGCCACTGCCCATCATCCCCCACAGATGCTGGTGCAGGCAGAAATCACCTTTGTAGAAATCACCAGAGCAGACAACAGGACTAAGATCTCTTAGTAGGCCTTCATAGTTGGCTGCTATTTCTTTACTAGAAAGGAAGTTTTGAACTGGTTCATGAATACATGACATGTCTTTCTCAGAAGCCCCAAGTCCTCCAGCTTCTCCAAAGGTCAAGCATGGTACACAGTTTGAAAGTGGACCCATAGCAAGCTCTGGAGACAACAGACCAGCCTTCCCCAACTTAGCACTGTCCAGATTTGTTGGACTACACCTCCCATCATGCCCAATGCCATGTTGGTGAGGGGATTTCAATCTAGCAGGCACCAGATTTAGGGAAGGCTGTGATAGACTATCACTGGTTGAGAAAATGGTGCTGGAATCCAGACACTCTAGACTGTTGCCCAAGTCCAGCCTAAGAAACGCTGCTGCCTCAGGCGCAATACCGGATAACGTCCCTCATCAATTCCAGTGCCAATTACTTTGGCACTAAGGCCAAAATATCTCACAACTGTTTTATGTTGTTGATTTTGATTACGTAAAATAAACCATCCGAAGAGCCACGTGGCTATGAGACAGTATACAAAGTGCTAAATAAATAAGTAAGAATGCAGCAACAAACAGTAATTTGCTTCTTTTTCATGGCAACCCAAAGTAGCACCCTGAGAAACCGGTCTTATAGTTGGATCTTCCCTGCTTGAAATAGCCTGATGAACAAACCACTTTCCAAAGAGTTGAGATAAGCCAGCCAAGAAGCCCTGCAGTGCCTCCCTCCACCAACCCTCAGATAACCTTCCTCTTTGGCTGGGCCCAATACTGACACGTTCATTTTTAGAATATGACATGCTGCACCAATATTCTGTAACTGCTTCTCTCCTCGTGTTGCGCAAGAGGCGGCAAAAGTGCTTTGTCTATGCGGAAGCCCACTGCTCCATCCTAAACTTTGATCCTCTCTCACATCTCCCTGCAGCAACTGCCTTCCAATCACTCCATCTTAAATCATCACCTCCTTCACTGAAGTAGCTTCCTCTGCAGGCCACTGTGGTTTGCACATCAAAATGTCACCCAACAGGAAAACAGTATCTGTTGTGACCTAGAGAAAAGGCCTGCCTAATTATTCTAGGGCTAATCCCTTGCTGCCGCCAGAGTGCCAGAGTCAGGGATGAGCAACTGGCCTATGGTTCCTCTCAGTCGTGGCCAAGGGTGGGACGTAACAGCAGCTGCAGGCCAGGAGTCTGAAGGATCACAAGCTCCTACCCCCAGTGTTGGCTAAGCAGAGAAGCAAGCAAAATGCTTTCAGTAGTGCAGGAATCTGCCGAAGAGACTGTTGCCAGCCCTTGCTGATGCGGGAAAAAAGAAAACTGCTGATTTCAGTTTCTGGAGGATCTTGGCCGACATCCCCCGTGGAACCCTTTTCTAACGTTGCCACTGGCTCCGAGTATTGCTCCTCCTCTTTGCCATCACGGCTCACACATGTGCTCTGGGCCAGAGAGCAAGTCAGTCGGTAAGAGGCAGCAGTGATGGAGAAGGAAGGGGCCAGGCCACTCTGGGCGCTGCTGGGCCCCAGCTGTGGTGGACCTGTGCAGGAGCCCGATGATACCAAACCTCCGCTGCTGGCTGGGTGACAGCTGCCAGATTCACTGCACACCGCTTCTTGCTGAGCTTGGGGCATGAGATCAAGGGGCTGGATTCTGGATCCACTTTCCTTGAAATGAGGGGCTCTGCACAGCTGGTCCTTCTGCCTGTTTACTGCACATTCTTCTCCCACACCATAGTTAGCCATATTCAATAGGTTCCTCTGGGTGGCATTTGCAGGAGGTGGGGAAAGCTACTTCTGCAAATATCTCTGAGCCAGGATGATGCTGGATCCAGAGCCTGATTTCCCTCCATGCATAAACTAATTAGCAGGAGTCCATAGGAATGGGGCAAAAAGCAAGAGTGCTACCAGAATGACTGCACTTCAGAGGGAACATTTTAAAATTAATTGAGCGCCTGTCACCAACAATAGCTAGGCCTCTACTGCCATGTGTTCCCACATCCCTTATTTATCTCTCATTGAAATCAGACACTGACAATGCCGAAACCCGTTAAGCCGGTTTAAACAATGTGACAAAATGTACCTACCAGTGCATGACCAAAGGCACTGAGTTGTTCAGGTGTGTGACCTCTCACTGAGTTCCAGCCCTGACTCTTTGCTGCAGGGTAGACAGTACGTGCTGCAATATACCAGAGTTGTGTGGCCCTTACTATAGTTGTGGGGCAGAACAGGAGGAAAACAGGTTCAGGTCAGTGCCCAGCCCCAAAGCTCTCTGGGTGACCTGAGACAAGTTATCATTAAGAGACAGACAGCCACCTTTCTGCATTCTTTGTCAGACAATTTAACACAGCAAGGAAGAACAATCACGAAAAGCATTCAAGATGGGAGGTGAGGTAATTAATAAAGCAGTAGGTGAGAAACACAGCACCTTCCGGCACATGGCACCAAAAAAGAAGCCCTGATATGCCTCAAAGATGCATAATCCAGAGGTAAAGGCACAAAATTAGTTACTCATATCATTGAGATAGAAATGCAATGCATCTCAGCATAGGAAGGAACACTATGACCTGGGTGCCTGCTCAGTCTGCTATCCAGGAGTCATGCTGACAGGTAAACTCCAGGCTCTCTTTCTATGGGTCCTCACCTTCGGACTGGATGGTCCTTCAGCTGCTGAATGGTGAACTAGTTAGTCTGTGGGTCTGATTGAACATGGGCCTTCTCATGTTTTCACCCTGATGGAGGAGAAAATGTAATGCTGGCCAGGAGGCATAGACACACAAGATAGGAATGTCAGGTTCATATGGCAAAAGAAAAAGTGGAAAGTTGAAGTTTGTTTTAAGTAGCATGAAGCAGCTTTCCAGTCACATAGGTCCAAACATGGGTTATCATGTTTGATAATGAGTTATGAGTTATTACATTGTATTTCTAGTTATCCATAAGGTGTTTCTATCGCAAGTTCCCCCTGCTGCTCAGAGAAACTGTTCTGACTTTTCTATGTTTGTCAGGGGCAGGTAAGCATTTCAGTGGCTTCATGAGCGGGGCCAGGACACGCCTACACACGCATCTCCCTTGTCCCAGTGAACTGAGTCAAGATTGCTGCACCTTGAGTGTGAGCAGGAAGGGCCTAGGCTTTAATCTGAGATTCTGGCCAAGCTCAACATCATGGAGAATTAAAGTCCGTTTCCCAACAGCAAGGAAGAGTGGGCCTCATGGATTCAGCAGGCTGTGCATGAGATATACATCAATCTGGGTCATGGTTTCCCCAAGAAAGACCTGAACATTTTGATGAGACATAAACAGGACATCTTTTTGTTATTATGCAAGGTTACATACACATAAAATGGATGAGCTCAATAAGCTGATCTGAGCAGTTTCACGTACTCATACAGAAAGACAAAGTTTCCTTTCTTGTTACCTCATTCTCGGGAACCAGCTCAGCATCAAGGGCCCAGAGAACAGAAAATGTGTTTCCTCCATGTGTTTCCTTTTGAGGCTACCTTGTTTTCGCATGATGACCCTTTGCATTCCTGGACTGTTCACAGTAGTACTTGCACACACTTAAAACCACTGTATGTACTCTCTTGCATGCCTGGAGCTCATATACAGCAAAGACGTGTACAATAAGAGAACGTACATGCTTTACTTAAATCAGTGTTGGCAGCACATAGAACTGACCCATAGAGTGCATCCCAAAGGGCTAGGAAGCCTTCAGATTCTACTAGCTCAGGGAACTTCCAGAGACTTTTCTGATAACCAGGCTGACCCTTCGGAAGATGCAAAGTGCCAGTGATGCTTATCCCCAGCCCAACGTAACACTCCTACCGGAAGGCAGTGTGCATGGCTCTGTGCATTTCTGAAGGCAGGAATGCCAGAGTTTCCATCTGTGGTTCTCTGTGGGGACCGGGGCAATGACAGTCAGGCAGGTGCCCCTTCCTCAGCCACATAAGAGTCTTCCCTCCAGAGCTGGACAAGGCCCTCTGCAGCAGTAAGCAGGCACGTCTCGGTTGGGTGGAAGGACAGAGACTGGACTGCAGCATTGCTGATGGGCAAGGTCAAGGTAAGGGATCCCTGTGAGAAAGCAAACTGTAGATGTAAGAAAAGCAGAGACTGCACATGCCCTGCCTATACAGCAATTATCACCACTTTGATAAAAGGGGAAAATCTGTTCACAAATGCTCCTATCCCCAGCCTGCTTTGCTCTCCAATGCTAAGTACTGTTCTGTCCAACCAAGGGGAATTCAGTCTACAGCCCACTGTGAAGGCTATAGCTTTGCTCCCACGAGGTACTGGGAAGTCACCTAACAGCTCAAGATGAAATCTCCCCATTCTCCCAGGCCATTCCACTCACCTCTACCAGGTCCCAGAAATACACCTTCCCATCCTCCGAGCAGCTCCCAACATGTGTGTCTCGCTCACTTAGGCAGCAATCCATCTTGTAGGTTACGTTTTTGTGGCCTGTATACCTGGAGAGGTCATTGAGAAAATGGAAAGAGAATGAGAAGAATCGCTCTGCTCATCCCAGCCTGGCTTTCCCCATCAGCCCACAGGCAGTTGCCAACAGGCACTGGCAGAGTAAGAATGTAAATGAAGATGACAAGTGACCAGAGTCACACATAAAGGGACAGGGCTGAGTTTGACTAAGGGTAGGGATGAATGATGCGGCCGCTTACTCTCCCAGCAGCTCCCCGGTATCCTTGTCCAACAATCGCAGCGTAGAATCCAAGCTAGCAGTCAGTGTGCATTGCCCATCTTTGCTGAAACACACGCAGGTGATGGGACCTAAAATGAGAACAAGGCAGTGCTGCTGGGCTCTATCAATTCAAGCAAGGTGCACGCCTGTATCTTTGGAGAAGCAAGAAGCTGGATAGTATCCCTGACAACGTCTTCCCAGAAAGGTGACAACAGCTTCTTCGTGGCTCTGGACACCAAAGGATGAAAGCAAGGGATGGTGGCTCGTGGGGATCAACTGCAAGCCTAGAGTGAGTGGGCGAGGAACTGAAGGTGCAAGGTGCAGCCCTGCAGAGAGCCTTCAGTGTGAACCTGAGGGGCATCTGCTAGAGAAAAGATTACAAAACTCACCCACTTCCCTTCTAGGGCAAAAGAAGCAAAGGAAATGTACCAGATAACAGGACCTTTAATTCTAAAACTCTCACTATACCAGACTGCCAACTGATCCATAGGCAGCACTCACTTCCAATGTAATCTGAGTACAGCTCCCCAGCACAGAGGTCATAGCGCCGGACACGGCCATCCACAGAACTGAGAAAGAAAAGAGAGGCGTTGGGGAATTCTGATTAGTTGAGAGAGTGAGAGACCCAGAAATCTCAAGCCATGCACCTTAAAAATACTAGCTCTTACTATTCAATTTCTGAGGTAGGATATCTGCCCTCTGCAAGTTCAACCCCATGATCATTGTAAAGTGCCATGCAGTTCACGCCTCATAGTAATCAAGTGTGTATCATGCACATACTTGTGCTAGTCACCAAAATGAACCTAGAGAGATGGATGGACTGAGACTATGTTAATGAGATGAAGATGGGGATCCCCAAGGTCCTTCCCCAAGGAATGCAGAAAAAGCTTGGTGTTTGAGGGTAGAATCCTAGATCCCCGTTCCACACCTGAATGTAGCAGTGAAAGTTTTAAATGAAATGAAAAAAGCTCTGCTGAGCAGAAAGTAAGCTTTCCATTCAGCTATGAAAGAGAGACAGAAAGACGAGAGAAAGGGAAATGGGCTGAATGGAGCAAGGAGAAAGCAGTGGAAGCTTTTTGTTCAGCCACAACATACTGGGAAGGCTGAGTAGAAAAAGAGCCCTGCACACTTTCTCTTCAGCCAGCCACTGGAGTCATCTGCCATTTTATGGATATACTTTTAATCAGTAACATTTCCAAGTCAGTTCTGTAACTTAAGGGGAGAGGAAAACACTACATAATGATGATAGTATGGCAGAATGCCTAAATTTGTTAAGATGTACAAAGGGATAAATGTGATATTCAGAACACTGAAGTGAAGCATGTTGAAATGCCCAGAAAGCAAAATGATGACAAAAGATGTGACAAAACAAGAATTTCCACCTTGACCTAAATTGGGCTCTGTCACACTTTATGGCAATCCTGCCACACATGGCTGCTGCTCCCATGAAGGAATGGGTTCCGTTCCTCCTTTTTGAAAAGTGTGTATATTGAAAATGTTTTTAACATTAACAGAAGTTTAAAATATGAGGACCTATCTTAGACTTCAAAAAGCAGGGAGTGTGCACTCTCCTGTTCTCCCTTTAGCTTTGACTTCATCCCACCCTTCTTGTGTAACCCTTTCTCACCCTGTAAGGATTTCATGGTCTGACACCTTCACACTGGAGACACTATCTTTGGCTTCATCTAGAATTTGTATTGGATCTTGTCTGCGTGAGCGACAGTCCCAGCAGCGGACACTGGAGTCAATAGAACCTGCATGGCAGTAAAGAAGCATCCCAGGCAGAGCTTAAAATGAGTTTTCCAGGAGAAAAAGCAAGATGAGAAGGAAAGCAGTGGTTACCTGAAAGGATCACGGTTGCCTCTTCATTGAACTGGACACAGTTTACCTTCTGCATAGCAAGAAAGAAAAGAAATATTACTGTCCTGATTGCTGCATCTAACACTGAACAGTTTAAGAGATCTTGGAATTCCTGCTGAGGCCTGTTCTCCATTCCTATCTCTATCCTCTCCAAGAATAAAATAATAAGTCTAGTCATATAAGCAGTGTGCATTAATGCTTCTCTTTCTTTTCTTTCCTCACCCAGCAAAATTACTATGCTCTTGTATTTTTCTTATATTGAGCCTCGATTTCCTACTCCCATATTCTGTTTCTCTATCCAAATCTCACTCTACCTATATTTGCTGATCACTTTACAATGATCATGGGGTTGGACTTCTTGATTCCTAGGATTGCTCCCCTTGAATAGATTCAAACAAATTGAACACCCCAATCACTGGAAAGGGTCATTGGAAGAACTGGTCACACAGAGACAAAGATACAAACCCCCCCAAAAGTCTTTTGCAGAAGGCAGGTATTTTATCTCAGAAATTGAATATTAAGAGCTAGTGTTTTAAAGTGCATGGCTTGAGATTTCCCACAAAGGTACCATTATTTCTCTGTCTTCCACTCCCCAAAACCATCCATTGTGGTGAGCAGTTTCTTGCACCCCACAGGCTTTTTCCTGTCAAGCAGGCAAAGTCGCAGACATTGTGAAGTCTCTGCAGCACACAGCCCATGGCTATCACCAACCCCTTGTGCAAAGATGGGGAACCTGCAACCTGTGGGCCGAAACCGATCAGCCAGGCTAGGCCTTCAGGGGGAAAGAGGATGGATGCTGACTATATACTCAGCCAGCACTTTGGGGTGCTGAGTCCACCTCTCCCTGTTTTCAAGATGAAGGGGGAGTACTTTCCTAGCCAGCATCGAACCAGCTTCAATTTGCCAGGGTTTCTCCTGGTGAGGAACAGCTCATGAAAGTGAAGCTGGTTCTCAAAATCCTGAAATGCTGGTTGGAGTAGTCAGCACTTTAGCCTGGGAGCTGAACAATATCAGCAGGTATGATCCCACCATGGATAACAAGGACTGAGCCCTGCTCCCTAATGCCAGGAGGAGTCACGGGATGGGTAATCTGGCCTCTAGAGCAGTGCTCCTCCAACTTTTTCACCGGGGGCCAGCTGAAAGGTGCCGGGGCTGGGCATGGGCCGGAAAGGTGGTGCCGGAGGTGTGCACGGGCCGATGAGGGGGCGGGGTGGAGGCGGTGTGTGCAGGCATGCACACCAAGGCGGGGGCGGGATAAGGTGTGCACGGGCTGCGAGGGGAGGCAAGGCATGGGCAGGCGGGGCAAGGGGAGGTGAGGCAGGGGTGGGTATGCACAAGGCAGCGGCTTGCTTGCTTGCTTGCTTGCTTGGAGATTGTTTTCTCCGAGCGTGCAAACCGCTGCCTCCCATGTGCGGGGCGTGCTGGGCAGCGGTGGGCACATGTGTGGGTGTGAGGGTGCGGCGGGTCTAAATGGGCATGGCGGGCTGGGTAAATGGGCATGGTGGGCCAGATCTGTCCCGCGGGCCGTAGTTTGAGGACCCGTGCCCTAGAGCATAAACAGTTCCTCACTGCTGGCCTAGTGGGAGCACAAAGGAATTCTTGTATCTAGATCTGAATGGAAAGAATTTTCCTGTTTTTCTGGAACCTCCAAAAGACAAGGCATATCTTACCCCTGCATGGCCACGGAATTTGCGAATCACCTGCCCTGTGGCAACATCCCACAGCACCACTGTCTTGTCTGCGCCACATGAACAAAGTTGACTGTTATCAAATGACCTGGGGGGAGGGGCAGAAGGGGTGTGAGAGAGGGGGAAACAGGGAAAGCCACTGAAATAATTGCTCTTAGATCTGTTACTTCAGTACATTAAGCCCCATTCCCAGGATTCTATGTACATGTTCTGATTGTATTGTGAGCGCAGAATCTACTATATAGAGAACATCAGATTTAATTTTTCAAAAACAAGTAGGAGTAAATTAAGGAATAAAGACAAGTATGAAAACATGAGGCAAGCTTCAAATGTAGGATTAACATTTTCCATAGTCACAAGTTGGACTCTCATTTATTGGTTTTTGTCCCTTCCAAAAGTGAGCAGGAAAGAAAAGGATTTTAAAACATAAGACCATACCTTCATAAATTTGCTTAATTTACCAGTGATAGTTACATTGAAACTACTTTCTGTTGCATTCTGGAGTAACAAATGTCAAAGTTCTATATGGGCATTTTTTCTATATGGCCATTTTGATGAAATATAAATCATTTTATTTCTCTTTTATAGGACTTGAAAGGATTTAAATAATCCTTGTCCTCCTATCAATTTTATGATCACAATAACCTTGAGGGGTAGATTAGGCTAAGAAGCAGTGACTGATCCAAAGTTACCCAGTGAACTTTGTGCTGGAGTAGGGACTAGAACCCAGATCTTCTGTATCCCAGTCCAACATTCTAATTACTACACTTGCACTGGCTCTCACATTGTACAGTATACATTTTATTATTGCATTTTGTAATAAAAAATTTTGAGGAATAATTTTCAAATGTTACTTTACCCTACCGACTCTTATACAAATATGGACAAAGTACAAGAGTTGTTACTACAACCATAATCATGGTGACCACCATGATCACTATCTAGTCCATTTATCATCTCAAATTCTCTGAAGGTATTTATTACCAAAAAACCCCCTCCCTTTTCCAGCAAATGTGTCTCATCCAGCTCTTACCCTGCTGCATCCAAGACTTCATAGCCATGGCCACTGTAAGTCTTGAGAAGTGTTCCTTTGTAGGGGTTCCAGAGCTTGAGTGACTTGTCACTGCCACAGGTAAGGCAATAATTTCCATCCACTGAAATGAGAGGGGTGAGAGGGAAAACCCAAGAATTATTTGTAGCGTTCCTCTGAGATCAGCTTGTCCTATTTCTTCTTGCACTACACAAATTCTATCATTCACCTTGTAGTACTATACTTTCACCCTACCCACAATCAAGCTTTATCCTTGCCCTAAATGACTGTTTTTTTGATCTAATACACGAGTAAAAGCTTGCAATCCCAAAACATCAAGGATCAAGATAACTTACCATTGAATCTCACTGCCCTGACAGCTCCCTGTTTACATTCCAGGGTGCTCAGCAGCTTCTTTGGCAGCTCAGGCTTCTTAGGTTTTGGCTCTGGAAAGGCCATGATGAAGACAAGTAACTTGCTTCACGGGTGTTTTACAAATTCTTCTCCTGTACTCTTGATAGAATAGGAATGCTCAGAGCAAAATCTCATGCACCAAAACTACCCAAAGTTGGAATGATGTACCACAATTGCTCTGCTTCTGGGAATTTGTTCCCCTTGGAGTAACACCACTCTATTTCCAAGAAACACAAATACAAACTGAAATCAATTCTCAGCTGTATAAAAATATTTGAGCAAAAATATTTGGACTATTTATAACAGTAGACAGAATAAAACCGAACAAGAAACCATTAACTTTAGAAAGCTAATCAGCAGAGGCAAGCAGTTATGTCGCCAAGCATACCATGTTCCACCAACCCACCAGAGAGCCTTATTTCCACATTCTCATTCCAAACCAGTTGTCATATTTACACGGATAATGCTCTCTAATAAATTTAGCGTTCTTTAAACATTGTTCCTTCCATTGAACACGATTCTTTCCCATTGCTCTGAAGATCTCTCCTAACCCAGCGCTGTCTAGAACAAATTTAGACCAACTTGCCCTTCCAGTGATTTTCCTATATATCCTCCTCGCCTAATTTTTCCTCATTCGGGAAAAACAATCTACAACAAACACGCTGTTTCTTATCGTTAACAATTTCCCCTAAATCTTTACAGCACACCATAAATCAGAGTTCAGGGGAGGATTACACGTGAACACAAGCGTTCCCTCACCAATTTTCTCCCCTCAGAGTATCGTTTCCTTCTCCTTGGTCCCCCCCCCGCCCCCCGTGATGTCTAAGACAAGAGAGATGGAATTGCGATTGAACTGACGGACTCCCCCCCCATTCCCCCCCCCCCCCCCCCCCCCCCCCCGGTGAAGGCATGCCTGGCGTCGCGAACCAGCGTGGCCCGCAGGTACCAGCTGGAACTAGAGTGCTTGAGCCCGTGGTGTTACACTATTAAGCGCCCTCCTCTCGGCAGGGAAGGGAAACGGAAGCCGAGTGGTTCAGGCTGTAGGTCAGGGGAGCCGGAGAGCGATGTTCAGCAATAGCATGGCGGACCCGCGGCGGCCCAACCGTGTCCTCAGGTCAGTTATGATGGGGGCTTGGGGGTCGCTATGGCAACGCCACGGCCAGAGCGCGGGCCCACTAGAGCATGGAAAGGGACAGCGTGGGAGTCAGTTATTTGTGCTACGAAAGGGGGCGCTGAGGCGCCTTCCCGTCTCCCTCAGCGATTGCACACGACGGGCGGGAGATCACTATGGCAACGCAGTGGCAAAGGCATGCGAGGATTAACCTGTCGTCATACCGCCTAGCCGCGGGAAAATACCTGGGGAGAACCGGAATACCGTGGCAGAAGTGGCTGGCGGGAGCTTTGGGACAGAGGTTGCAAATATTTAGACTGATTCAGATGATCCAGGTGTGCCGCAGCTGCAGGTCCTGAATCAAGGAGATGGTGAAAACAGCAGGAAAATTTGTGGCACCTCAAAAGAGTAACATACTGATTCTTACATGAGGTTTCATAACCTCGAACCTAATTCATCAGTTGCATGGAATACTATGGGAATATTGTGCCACAAAATAATCCAGTGCGTTATCCAGTTTCCATGTAAGTGGGTGAGATAGATATATTCTTATTGCATGCAATTTGCCCTGCAGGAGATCTGCACGGGCTTTTTTGGGGGCAGGAGGGATTAACAAAGTGGTGGATTGTTACTGAAGTAGCAAACAGAAGGCCTTCAAAGAAGTGTAGAGTTCGAAGGGACCTTGGAGATCATCTAGTGACTAATTCCCGAATAAGAAAGTGCTGTCTAATGTGGAACTATTAAGATTTTAAGTGATTTGCTAGATCAAGGAAACAGCTATGCTGCCTAGAACAGAGTTCAAGCTCACTTGCTAGAGGAGCAAGTTAATTATTGCAAATGGTAGCCCATTTCCCTGGTCGACCTAGCTACAGCATCCATCACAGAAGGCATTTTGGTCACTGCTGAAATGTATTTCTCTTACTCCTGTTTGTCACTTCTTTTAACAAAGGCAATTGAAATGGTACTGTGATATAAGATAGCTAAAGAACTTTTTATAAAATAAAGTTTCAGAAAGTTTACAAAATTTTACGAGAAGCCTGTGTCACTACTTACTAATGATACTGTAGATACTATATAATAGGTGTGGTGATGTTTGCATAATTCATGTTTCACATAGCACTTATTTTCACCATTCATGCTGAAGGAGAAGTGTCATTTTTCATGACAAATTCATGTAGCTTTTGTACATGAAAAGATCGATATCCTGCCAGAAGCTGTCCTACTATCATGGGAAGCTGTGTGGCTCCAGTAAATCTGCAGCATTTAGAAATTAAGCTGGTTGTGATAATATTTATTAAATTTATATCCCACCTTTTTCTTTTTAAAATAACTCAGATGGGCTTAAATACTTCTCTTTTTCCTGCTCTCATTCTTATCCCCACAACAACCCTGTGAGGTAGGTTGGGCTGAGAGCCTTTGATTGGCTCAAAATCACCCAGTGGCTCTATGGATGAGCAGGGCCTAGATTACCTTAGTCCCAGGAGTTTGTAAGAAAGCCTAAGCAGAAAACGGCTGTCCTTGCAAAATATTGCAAGTCATCGACCTAAAAAAAAAATGTTATATACCCCCGTGAATCCGCGGTTCAGTCTTTCGCTGGATTTTTCTCCGAGCGAGTCCAAGCCGATCTCCTTGCGAGTAAGCCAGCGCTTCGCCGTGCAGCGGCTCACTCGCAAGGAGGGGGTTTCCTCCGAGTTTGGACTCTGCGGCCCGCCCGGCCCGCGCCTCCCGCCCACACCGCCTTGGCGCCCGGCGCCCATCACTGGCACCAAATTCGCGGTTTTTCACAATTCGCAGGTGCTTTAGGAACGTATCCCCCGCAAATTTCGGGGGACTACATGTTGAAATGGAGCGATCATGTCTCACTATTAACAGGACTAAGGTATGAGCATAATTTTGCTGGTTGAAGCTCCAGTGCATTCTCTGAATGTACATGAGGGAGCAGAGAGTACATTTGCCTTACCCGCAGCATTGGAAGCTATGCTTTCAGTATAATGTACATGTACTGAAATTTAATGAATGACCAAAGGACAGCAGCAAGGATGGGCTGAGTTTTGGGAATAACAAAGATTAAAGAAAGTAGATTAAAAATAATTTGGATCAATATTTCCAGTGGGTGGAGATAGTGAATTGTAAAAGATTATTCTATTAGGAGGAGGAGGAGTAGCAACTAGAAACTAAGAAAAATGATTGTCATTGTAACATGTTACCCAGAAAGGAGTGCAATCATAAAGAGTTAGAGGGACCTTCTAGGCCATATAGTATGTTTCTTTGCAAGAAACTAGAGCTAGACATCCCCAACAGTTACCTGTCCAGCTTCTGCTTGAAGACCTCTGGCAAAGAAGAGTCCACCATCCAGATAGGTGCTTCCATTGTCACACTGTTCTTACTGTTAATTAAGATGTTTTTCCTGTGCTCAGCTGAAATCTACTCTTCTGTGAATTTAGCCTATTAGATTTAGGCCTGCCTTCAAGCACAGCAGAGAACAAATATTTTTTCCTGTTATTGGAAATTATTAGGCATATTCTTGCCAAACATAAGAATTAATAACAAATGGAGAGATTTTTCTGTTGTATATTAGGAGAATAGTCTTCTTACCTTTAGGAATCATGGCCAGAAGAAAGTAATTAGCTGAGTCAGTGATGCTAAACATAATGGTAAATTGTACATGGTTTGAGCTCTTGTTAAATCATGCACTGGAATGGGGCTGCCACAAATGAGACTGGCAGTACAGTTCTATACATGTCTACTCAAAAAATGCAAACCCAATTGGTTTGAATGAGGCTTACTTCTACATACTTTGTAACTTAGAAGATAAGTTTTCCTGCATTTTGGTAAAATACCATTTGAGAAGAGAATGGTATTAGAGTGTTAGCTCCATTTCTGCTCTCAGAAATTAGTCTCCAGTGGTTAGAGCAACAAATATCTACTTAGAGGCTCAGAATCTGCATGAAATCTGATTATTAGCAGTAAAAATGCCATTAATGTCTTTCTTCTTACTGTGATGTTGCTGTAGAGCTAATATTTCCTTTTAAAGCATAATTTATTATTTTATTTTTTCCTCAATCTTGGTGTTTCATTTGTAGATATAAGCCTCCATCCACAGAGAATAACCCTACCCTGGAAGACCCCACACCAGATTACATGAATCTGTTGGGAATGATTTTCAGCATGTGCGGCTTGATGCTGAAGGTGAGTTTCAGACAGCTAGGACTTACCTGCACTGCACTAAGAACACCAGTGAAGCCAATCAAGTTCAAAGCAATACGAGCTGTGTTATCATGTAGCTATGACCTTGTTATTAGATGCATGTTCCTTGGAGGCTTAGCAGAATTATACTGTCCTCAACAGACCCAGGTTAGTTGACTCTACAAGGGAGGACTGATTTGGGCGGCTTATTCTAGTAACAAAAATCACAACATTTCCTCCTTCCTTATATTGTATTGAATTAACTGCACGGTATAACCAATCCTAGGCCTTGTCTGTTTCCCTGCCATTTGGCCATTTTTTCAAAGCAGTTGCTATTCCTTTAAGCCAGAGTATTTGCTAACATACGAGATGATGTAGTATACATTTCTGAAGTCCCAAATGTTGATCAGTTATTAACTGGTCACTGAGAGTTAAATGGCAGTAGCATGGTGCTTCAGTTTCAGATAGTGCTGTTTATTGAATTTTACTAAAATTGTAATGAATCCACATAGTCTACTGAAGATATTTGAGTGAATGCAAATGGATCTGGGAGAAGGCCAAACTGAGTTTAAAGGCTGTACAAAGCACTGTAATGCACAGTGGAAGACAGAATAGTTAAATGAAGTTCCTTTATCTGAATGAATGGTTTACTGTGTATCCATGCTGCAAGCAGTGCATAAAGAGGCAGTGTCATATGCTAGCATGCCTTCTTCTAATATTGGCTTGGTACTGCACAAAGAATCTGATTTGCAGTTACAAAGAACATTGAATATCAGTTTTTTTCTAGATAACACCTGTCGGTTGGAACAGATCCTGTAAAATACAGAGCAAAGTGTTAGAACAATACTGTGTTAATGCTTGTACTAGTAAAACATGATTTGACAGTCATATTAACTGTTAACACTGTTAATATAAGATTTATAGCATTGATTATATCAAATTTACAATTGTATTAACAGACAGATCTGTAGTACATTCACTGCAAACTCTGGATAGCTATAAGTAGTGATGCTTGCATTTGTATTGAATCCATAATAGTATCAACGTTTACATGGGATCAAGCTAATGTCATTAGGTTTTGCAGTTTTCTAAAGACAACCCATATAGCAGTGTCCCTCAGGGCATAACATTTTAACATTTTATCCAGTTTTAAAATATAGAACCCATTATGTTCCTAAGAAATAGTTCAGAGCTTTTAAAATAAACACTTAGGTAGTCTTGAAAAAGAAATAAGGGTGATTTTCAGTAGCTTGAGGTTTTTTAATAGGAGCCTAAGAGGTTCTGTTTCTTCCCATTGAAAACAATGGAGGCAATTTTTAAAAGAAGACAACCTTCCTATAGTACTAAAACGGAGAAAGCACCTCTTCCCCTAGCCAGAGTGAGATAGCAGGACTTTAGAAGTAGGAGATTCAGTTTTCAGTGTTTATTCTGAAGTAGAATGGCACCTTATGGCTTAGACAGAACCCTTATTTGATAAGGTTTTTCTGATTTCCAATCCTCTTCTCACAAAGATTTGATTCAAATGGTACAAAAATACTGCAAACCTGCTACACCTAATCTATTACCGTCAAAGTGAATCAAGAAGGGATTATATCATTTACCAACCTACTACATTATTAAGAACATTCAGCTTTGCATACAAGTCTCTCAGGAATGAAATAAATTAAAATTTCAGAAATACTCTGTAACAACAGCATATTTACATCTGTATGGTAATATCTATGTCTTTGTATCTTAGCTACTATGAATAAATAAATCTTTATTGAATGGGTTGACTAAAAAGAACACCCAATGTGTTCTTTTCCTGAGGTTTCTAGAGTGAGAACTGGATTTTTTGCTGACATAAATAAGACAACTAACATGCCCAGTTGTGTACACAAGTCTTTTTTTGCAGTTCATCTTATGGGGGAACATCCTTGATCTCTGAGATACCCTTGCCCAGCATGGTATAATTTAAGGGGTCTGAATTCATTAGTAAGGTTTTAATTTCAAACTTCTCTGGGAATCAAATACATTTTATTGTCTGCTTCACAATTAACTTTGAGTGAGCTTTATCTAGCAAATGTAACTATCTTTAAAATTGAAGACAATTCCTGAGTTCTGTGAAGTCAGAATGTTGTTAATGGTGTTAGACTTGTACTAGAGAGTAACAGCTATTGCTAAATCTTTGTCACCCCACTGAGGTTATTACTACATTGCTCCATGGTGTTTGTAGCTTAAGTGGTGTGCCTGGATTGCTGTCTACTGCTCATTCATCAGCTTTGCCAACTCTCGGAGTTCAGAAGATACCAAACAGATGATGAGCAGTTTCATGTGAGTCATACTTTTATAATTCTTTCGGGTTAATCTCTTACCACCACTGAGCCTCTGACAACACTCTTAAAAAAAAAAAAAAACCTGTATGGTGCTCAAGCATCCTAGTTATGTAGAATGCAGTATCCACTTGGCAGCCAGCCTTGATGTTACTGCTGTCCTTTCTTGCTCATGCTGGCCTTTCTGTTTTGTATATGCCCCACTGGGTGGACAGGCTGGTGCATCACAGTTGAAGAGAATGGTGGCCAGATAATGGAAGTCAGGAAACTGTTTTTCAAATATATGACAATGACCTGCAGCACTTGTGTGGAAACTTTCAAGCTATGCTGCTTCAATTGCCATATATTAGCATAACTTTATTTTGCCTCCTTAATGCTATCTTGGCAAAACAGCTCAAAGCAATGGGACTTGGTTGCCAGGACTAGCACCCACTCCAAAGGTTCCTTCTGTGGAGTGGAGTTAACAGTATCTAAGGACCTAAATGGCCAGAGCAATGGAGCTCCTGGACACATTGCGCTAATCCCCCCTGCATTCCTACTCAGTCAGGGTAGTACCCTGCTAACTGTTAACAGTACTGTGGACGTTTGGCATGATGAAGTATCTGTGATCCCCTTTTAGAAATCATTTTGCCACCTCCATTTGTTTTCCATGAAGCTCTTTGCACTAAATACCCTTGACTTTCATATTCTAAAAATATCATTGCACTCAATTTCTGTACTTGTTGCACTTTCAAGAGGAGCCTGGTGGAAGATGCTCAGTTCCAATTTGGCCTTTCAACACCTGCCTGAATACTTGCCCTTGTGCTCTGTTACCTAACAGGCCTTCTCAGTGGGTGTTCTAGTGGCCTGGGGAAACCTGAGTTTCCCCCTTTTTATCAATTTAACTTATGACTGGGGATTCTCCATCTCTGTTTCTCTCATTGGGTTAATAATTGATAAGGTTTTTCTCTCTCTTTCTACCTCCTCCATCCTCATCCCTTTCCTCATTGCCCTTTGTTTGTTTGGTTTCCATTATCTTAATGAAGTCCTTATTGATGAAGTCCTACCTAGAAAACTTGCAGTGATTCATCATTGTGAGGATCCTGGGATATATATGCTTAGTCCTGTTAATTTAAATAATTAGCTGCAGCATGCATTTTCTGAAAACAATTCTGGAGACAGAGCAATGGGTTGCACAGGTGAAAGTTTCCCCTGATCCTGACTTACTCTCTGTAAGCTGTTGCTGATGGAAGCACTTTCAGGACATGTTACAAGGTTCAGGATGCATATCAAATATACATGTTCCTGAGCAAGTGTGGTAATGCACTATTTTTTAGTTTGAATGCATATTTTGGGGGGTTTTTTAATATTTATTCATTCTGCTGACGCTACAACTTGGTTTGTTATTAATGATGTTTTCCTAGGGATTTTGCTGCACTCCTCTAGCCCCTTTTTCTTCTTTCTCCAGGTTATCCATCTCTGCTGTAGTGATGTCATATCTTCAAAACCCCCAGCCCATGTCTCCTCCTTGGTGAAAGGATGGCCCTTCTCCTCCCAGCTCCTCTTGCAAAACAGAGGCACTCTCCCTATAAAGAGAGATCACTTTCTCAGGCAATCTGGACCTATTTGCACAAGCACAGTGTTGCAAAAGTACTGGGAATATTTCTTTTGCTGTGTCAATAAAGTGATGGTTGCTAAAGATGCTTTGCATACAATGCCAGATTGACTTTGTTAATAAGGTATTCAACTGAACACCAGCTTAGCTCTTAGCAAGCAAATATCTACTGTATTTGAAAAAGAAGCAGTCTTGACCAGAAACAAAAACCTTAACCTTAATAAACCAATTAAAAGAAGCATCTGCTCTTTGAACCAACAATTGCAGCCAATTAGCGTACAATAGAAATTGTCTCTTGGGCAACTTCTTCAAAGCTGTGTGTATCTCTGCACTGATTGGTAGCTTCCCACTCTAGCCTGCAGTCAGAATAGGAGAGCTGTAGAGGCATGTTCCCAGGCAGCTCTAATGTGTAGCTCTTACTCTGTTAAGCAGACATATGAGGCAGTGATCTTTCTCAGCAGTTCATTGATCTTATACCTAAATCCGGTCCTCCATTATACCAAGAATTAGGTGAATGTCAACTGGGATAAGAAAAATACCCACTTAAGGCAATACATATTAGTTTCTTTTTATATATGTCATTTATATGTGTATGCACACACAGTATCAATCAGTGAGGTTAAACAATTGCAAGAGGAATCTTTTTATGAAGTTCATGTCTTACATAGAAGGTGATTGTCCAGATTTGTGGTACAGTGCGATTCCTGAAGACAAAAATATTATTTATATTTCTTTGCAGTTACTCTTAATCAAATCAAAGGTTTCAAGTTAGCAACACCCTTTCCACAAACAAGAATGATCAAATATCAAGTAAAGACTAAGGCAATGTTCTTTGGCTAAGCTCCAGTGACTGGAATGCAGCTGTTGGTTCATGCCTGTCTGGCCTCGCCCGCCCCGCCGCCAATCTCCTCCTCTGTTGTCTCTTTTCTGGCTTCTAGACAAATCTTTCTTTTGCATATCTTTGTGAGAGAGGAGACTTGATTGGGTCACTGGAGTGGCAGAACTAGAAAATCAAAGTGGGGTGTGGCTGTGGGTAAGGATTGAGAGAGGCATTGTAAGAAAGAAATATAACTTGAGATCATAGAATATGGAGGAGCACCTGCCAGGATATCAGCAGAACACAGGGAGTAGGTTCTTAAGAGTTTGTACGGCTGTACTCACGGGGCCTCGGTTAAGTATGCTAGGATAGATTCTCTTTGAAGACATACCAAGTTCTCTTAGTATGGATTAGTTTTGAACTGCTACTTGTTTTAAGTGGCTTCATTGCCATATCTTTAACAGTATTGTGACAGACAGAAATTAAGCAGGTTAAGTTTTCTCTAGCATGGTCCATAAAGCTTTGTTGTTTCTTTTGTTTTTGTTTAGGTTAGGCTGCTGCTTAAGGCACAGCAAGAACAAAAGGAGGCAGGCTTAGATTAACAAACTTTATCACTTACACTCACGGTTGTTAAGTGAGGAGATAAATATTTCCTCCTCCTATAGAAACGTGCTTATGGATAGAATAGTAATCTGGACGCATTCCTGATTGTGCATGCGGACTCGAGGGCTGGCAGCTTATTCCAAAGTGAGAAGTTGTGTGTTATCTGAAAAAAATGGTTTTCCTTTCTTCACACAATCTCGGCGCCCCAGCCGAGATTTTCTTTGGTTGAAAATCCTCAGCTTAGTTCCAGTGCAAGGGGAAAATTCACCTCCGCACGTTGGCCCTGGGGCAGAGGCTCTTCAGGATCGAAAGACTGGGAGGAAGATGTTTAGCGGGGGAGCGAGGAAAATCCAGATGCATTTGTGCATTTCCGTCTGTTCGGAAAAGCTTGTAACCCTTTGGGGCATCCTGTGCCTTTAAGAGAACGGCAACCTCTCATCCCTTCCCCGATCTATTTTGGCTTGATCCTGTTTTCATTTCCGCCTTCCTGTTCCGCATATGGTGCCAGGAAATTCCCCGCTTCCGCACTTGCTGTGCAGGAGACGGGGGTGGAGCGGGGGCAGCGTAGTCTGTGTGGAATGCAGCTGGAGGGGGGCGGGCGGGCAGGCATCAGCATGCCTTTTTAATCGCTCACCACCCAGCAGGCTTAGCAAAGCTGGTCTAGGCTGTATTCATCCGCCTTGACCTACATTTCCTTACGCCCAGGCTTTCTTGCACGGTAGAATTCGGACATCTGGATTCAGGCCCTGTTCAAAGGTGCAGCCGGAAGAGCAAGAACACCCGTGCATCTTTGAGGCATTTGGAGTTTGTTTAAACCAGATCACTTTGCCTATGTGTGCACTGTAGCCCAGGAAGGGGCTTGTTAACACTGTACTGTGGTGGCGGAATGCCCAGTTTAAAGCACTCACTGGACATGCAACACCACGTGATAAGTTTTTGATTGCTAGCCTTTCAGTCAGGTCAGCATGCTGGGCTTAAGCCTGCCTGGTAACTAAAATGCTAGACTTGTTAGCTTTAACCCTTAATCTAATCTAACCTGACATATTAGAGATGCACACTGTTCTTAATAGTTATTAAATATGTTCATCAGCTGGAGCTCTGAATTACACACACACAAGTTGAGATATAAGAAGCTGCCTGAGACTGAGTTAAAATGTTGGTCCCTCTGACCCAGTATTGTCAGCATGAAGTGAGAAAAGCTCTCCAGAGCTTCAGGCAGGATTATTTCTTAGCCTTGAATTGAACATGGGACCTTCCACATGCAAAGCATGTTTTGTATCATTAACTGCAGGTTCCGGTGATCAATCCTGATTAAAAGAAAGTCCTAAAAGTATACTCCCAAATATAGAGAAGGAGTGATTGTTACTCTTCTAACCTATCCAACAGTGTCTGAGCAGAGGGACCAGGTTAAAACTGTTTTAAATATTTGTACTGTATTCTATAAGAATAAAATAAATTATAATGTAAAACAACATAGCAGGAATTGCTAAATTACCCTTCATAGCCTAGAATTGGTCTTCAATATCTGGGAGGAAAGAAAGATCTGTCAGGCACCAAAAAGATAACAGGTTTCAGGCAAGTCTCTTGGAGAAATTTATTCCTTAAGTTGGGTCCCACTACTGAAATGGCTTCCTTTGGCAGTCACCTGAGCTGGGTCTCTGAAGATGACCCAAGGCTCTGAACAGGGAGAAGGCATACCTCTACAAACTTTTTCCAAGTTGTTTATGACTTTAAAGTTCAATACCAGCCCTTTGAATTGAGCTTGTAAATAGGCTGTCCCTGTTAGTAACCTAGCAGTTCTATCTTGCATTGAAGTTTCTGAACCAGCGTCAAAAGTAGCCAAGTGTACAGTGCTTTGCAGCAGTCCAACCAGGAAGTTATCAGAGCATGGGTAACTTGCCAGGCTATCTTTCTCCAGATATTGTTGTAGCTAATCTATCAGCCTACTCTGATAAAGGGCATACTTAGCCATGAAGGACACCTGGGCCTCAAGTGACAGTGATGGATCGAAGAGCATCCCAAAACTGTTCACCTGATCTTTAAGAAGGGCCACTCAGCTGGGCAGACAAGCCACCTGCACACAGTCTGGACTGAGCTTCAGTTTGTTCATCCAGTCTATTTCACTTTGAGGAAAAGGAGAGGTAGAACTGGAATATTGTTGGCATCCCAGTTTCCATTCTCAGTTCATGTATGTTAACTAGCATGGAAAACACAAACCCTGTGGAATCCCATAGCTGCTATAGAACAGAGCGATAATCCCACAGTGCCACTTTCTGGAAGTAACTGTCCAAAGCTGCTGGAAACTTTGTAAAGCACTGCCTAAAGTGCCTCATCCAGGATGATGCTCTTTCTCCCAAGGGGAGAGAACAGAGTCGTGTAGCCTCTCCAAAACTGTACTACTGAGCTGTGGTGCAAGTGAGTAGGCCTTGCGGATTGATAAAAAGAGTGTTCTCCCCCACAGCACAGCAACTTTGAGAATGGAACTGAGCTGACAAAGGAAAGCCCAATGTAGACTGGGTGGTTGGGTGTACTGAGGTATGTCAGAAAGATACAAAGCGTATAAAATTGAGATGATAATATCTCACTCATGTTTCAAGGAACAGAAAATGTGTTATCAGCATGGGGCAACCATCCGTTTGGCTGCAACGTCCCTCCTTACGCTCCTGCTTCCTAATAGAGCTTTGGCTGTGGGGCTGTATAGAAATGAAACAAATAATAAAAGACGAGAGAGAGCAAACACTTGGGATGAGTGATAATGGCAGCACAAGGAGAAAAAGAGAAGTAGCTGTTTGAGGTTTGGCTTGTGGGGGGAACAGCTACTGCTATTGTGCAGGAAGGAAGGCAGCCCCACCCTGTCAGTGTTGCTTCCCCTTCACATCATCAGCTGCAAGTAGAATGGGCAACATCAGTGTTGCTGTTTTAAACAAAAACATACATTATTCATACATAAAATACTTCCCAGACAGTGCAGTAGATATTACCTCATAGACCACATTCACATATTGTTGGAGCTGGGCAGCAGCAAGTAAACACACTAACTGTGAATATTTACATTTTTAATCAAAAACCTAGGAATGTTCTGTGCCTGTGCTATTGTTGAAACATCTGAAGTTATTTATTTAGAATTTATTTTTATTTATTTATTTATTTATTTATTTATTAAAACATTTCTATGCCGCCCCTTGCCGTAGCATAACATAAAACAACACTTCATAAAACTAAGGGAAAGAGAAAGGGGGGAAATAGAAAATGTGACTGTGGAAAAAAGATCTTAAAATCTAAAAATCGTAATTATTAAAATGATGGTTGAATAAAAAGGTTTTTACCTGGTGCCGGAAAGAGTATAAAGTTGGTGCCAGGCGGACTTCTCTGGGAAGCGCATTCCATAGTCTGGGCGCCACTGCAGAGAAGGCCCTCCTCCAGGTAGACACCCTCCGTACCTCCTTCAAAGAGGGTTCCCGGAGCAAGGCCTCCTCTGCTGATCTTAAGGGGCGTGAGGGCATGTAGGGAAGGAGGCAGTCCTTCAGGTATTCTTGTCCCAAGCCATTTAGGGCTTTAAAGGTTAATACCAGCACCTTGAATTGGGCCCGGACTTCAACTGGGAGCCAGTGTAGCTGATAGAGGACCAGCATTATATGAGAATAACGACCCACGCCCCCCCCCCCCA